GATAAATGCAGCTGAGTTTATCGCTTGATTTAAGTATTTGCACGATGAGTCTTGATATTTATGGTGGCAACATTCATCATTATAGACTCAATGTACACTGTTTTGAAAGAAATCCTTAATTTGCTTTAAAAATTGCTTAGGTAGTCTAAACCTTTAATATTACTTTGGCGTGAAGACAGGAGAAAAATCTTTGTAATAGTTTTTGATAATTATATTTTCAAGAAGTGAGTTACTGTATATAATCCAAATTAAGCCAAGTTTAAGGTGTGTAAGGGAGAAAAGTGTAAGTATTTGTAGGCTGAATAATCACAATATCCAAAAGGCAATTTTTAATTCTTGTAAAATTAAAACTTTAAGATTCACAGCAAAATCGATGGAATACAGTTCCCAGTTTTCATGTGATAAGTAATCTGAGTATGTACCGAAAGCTTTTCACATTAAATATGTTTAGTTTTTTATTTTGTTCAATAATTTAATACGTGAGGCTAAACATCTTTTTCTCTGATATTCAACAAAAATCCAATATTTAGCAATTTTGAGGAGTTTTCCTCTCATTTAGTCGATGAGTGCTGCATACAATAGTGTAATTTTCATTGGAGCTAATCACATTTGTCATCATTTTATTAAGGTTTCTGAACTAGTAATTCGACGTTACTGACGAACTATCACTAACACACCATTCTCATCAGTCAATTGATGAACTGCAGTCGACACTATTCTTACTGTTATCTTTCATTATAACATAGGTATCTACCGTTCCTTATATTAGTGCTAATGTTTAAAACTGAGAACTATAAATAGCCAGTTTGTGTCAGAATATGACTCTTCAGTAGTGGTCACTCACAACCCTAACAGCGATTAAACTCAGATTCTTCATTACCAAACCATTGAGTTGAGGTCCAGAGGCACATATTTTAAGCTTCAATCGATTCGCCGTATAGAGGGGCAATTACCAAACGCCATCAATAACGACAGTAATGACTTCTTACTGGAACTTCAGGAACTCACCACAAATAAAATCACTAGTGAGGTTGCGAGAATTATTACTTGAACTGGAATTACTTATACATTCATCGAATTCAATGGTTGATGTTTCAAAGTAGTGGCTGGTTATCCTATTACACACGATTTTCAATAGTATTCTAACAATATATATCGTAAAAATATCCTAAACATAAGCGAAAATTTCAATCGAAATCAGGATAGGAGTGCAAAGTGTTGGAATTTTACTGTATAATTTATTTGAAATGTTTTAAACTAATTTATTTTCAGTTTGGCTGATCAATAATACGGGTAACCACAGTTTTAATGCAAGCATAAAAGCAAAGTTAGAAGATTAATTGAAAATTATGAGGGAAAATATATTCGTACTTCTAATATACAGTGTGCAAATGAATATGGTTCCATAAGCTATCATGAATTTATTTTGAAAATAAACTAGTCAATTTTCCGTAAATTACATAAGGATTATAACGGCTGTACAGTTATGATTTGGTACTCTGTTCTAACATGTGGATTATCGACGTTTTCCAATCTATTTGTTTTCACATCAGTAAGAATTTAGTCGAGTGGATTATGTAGCATTGTTTAGTATGATGGAGGTTTTAGTCACCAATTGATATTACGTCATTTCAACTCTTTCTGAATTTTATAATTACATCATTCATAACTGACCAATTTCAATTCATATCTCTCTTTATTAACATTAATCTATTTTCAGTTACTTCATTACATAATCGTCTAATGTGTTTTAATTCCATGATTTCTAATCACTATTTCAATTTTCTGGAACCTTCCCTCCAAAACTCTATATATTCGAAACAAAATTTTATGACCTCATTAACTCTAACGAAATCTTTGCCACATTATGTTACATATATTCTTCCTTCATCGCCCTCTGTTGTATAAGTATGTCAATATCTATAATAACGTTGAATTTCAAATATTTTAGGTTGTAAGCAGCTGATGAGAACCTAACGAAATAAAATGAATTCATATTATTCTGCACCAACCTTTGTTCTTATTCTCTTTAAAGTGATATTAACTAATTAACAATTGAAAACCATTGAGCAATGACACAGTTATTTCGCTAGAGTACGGAACTCATGAGTTGTCCAAATTTACAATTTGACCACCAGACAGCACAAATTTGTTCAGTAAAGGCTACTAAGTCGAAATTCAGAAATTTAGATTTTGGTCTTGAAAGCCCCTAGGCCTTGAGCCTGGCTCTGGATGGAAGGGAATAAATTATGGTTCTTCGCTGGTCAGAAATCCGATTATAGGTTTAAACGATTATTCAGTTCTCTCTAATTTTCATTATTTCATCAATTCATGTAGTATATTCTTGAGGAGTATCATTTTATAAATGGAAGTTAACTGTGAAATATGCTTTAGGTTTTATTTGTTGTATAAATATCTTGAATATCAGATTATTTTATTTAAATTTCATTTTTGGTTGAAAAACATCAAAATGTGATTATAGCTCTTCTTTAAATATTGAAAATATTCACTTTATATAGTAACAGGAAAGTCAATGGATACATGAAACGAAAATCACAACACCAGTCAGTCGGAAATGATTGCAAAGATTCTCAGCTTAGGTGGATGATTTTAGTGGTGTCGTGTAGGGAATGTAGGCCTTCATAGTGACGTTCAAAACGAATATGAAAGCTCTTCAATTACACTGCATAGCTCAGAAAACACACCACTAAATCCTACCAATTCATCCAAACAATTGATTCCAGGATGTTCGTTTCTTCCTGTTTGGGACTAGTCAGCTAGGTGTTTGAATATCTGTGTTGATGTCCATATTATGGTTCAAACTCAGTATCTTTATTTTCAAACGTTCAACGCCTTATCCGCTTAGCTTTTGAACCCGTTTGACAAACCATTGGTTATCTAGGCTCAGCAGCTAAGAGTATAATTGTTGAGGGTTTGAAATGGAAGGTGATGGGTTTGAGTCTTGATGTGAAGATCAGCACTGAGATGCTTGTACATCCAACTGGTCAGTCTCAAATAGGACGGGATGGGTGCCCTGGTTCAAGTTACTTTGTGGAGATAGGCATGACAAATTTATTCTATAATTTTTCTTAGCCTGTACATTTATCATTAAACGATTGTACGTGTTATTCAAGTGTATGACCTTGAACACACTTTCTTTCGTCGTGTTACACTCATGGCATGACACACGCTGTTACCTACTAACATATACACTACTATACACATACCTGTTGTTCTCCATTGCTCGTGATTGTGATAACTGAGCTCTAAACCACCTACTGTCTACATTTATAGACTACAGCCAAATTATATTATATTCTACGTTTGGCTACATCACTGGAAGGAAAACAATCTTACTGGAACCATCAATCATCTATAATTGTAGATTCTGGTACCAAACTCAACCTGAACACGCACAAACCTGATGAATTAAGTAACGTCCCTAATTTTCATTGTGTTTATAACGTTTAACTGATACTCAATAACTCTGTTATTATTTTGAGTTCATGTATTGTTTAGTCCTCTACGCAACTCTACTTAAAATGCTTTGGATTAATGGCAGTAATAAGACAATGTTCTCAGGAAGCACATACTCCAAAAGAGACCTATCATTTGTAGCCCTTAGCATCAACAGCCATTACAAATGAACAAATTATCCAATATATACATAAGAGAACCTGTGTGAAACACGAAATTGTCATTTTTCCTAAAAGTAAAACATTTCATCATGGAGTTTGTTTCTAAAATGTTTCATTTTAATTTTTGTATAGTTTATACTTCAATTTACAAATTCAGCTGCTCCTGTCGAGATGTCGAATGAGTGAACATCTACCAGCTTGGTTTAGAAATGGCCAGATAATAACAATACGCAGTTCTATCTTGGCACATCTTATCGATAGCGGTTATACTGTAGATCGTAAGCATTTCGAGTGATCTATCGTATAGCTCCATCATTTCACAACGGAGTCCGTTCCCTCCTCCTACATGTCGCCGAAGCCATAGGAATTAGTACATATAACCCCAGGTTATGTTTACAGAAGAAATTCGTAACCCCCGTATCCCTTCCATGGCCAGTTATAACTTAACAAACGACCTATTTTAATATTATTTATTTGAAGGAGTTTCGTGGAGATTTTTTTTAGAAATTTTAATAGTTGGAATCATGAGTCGATTGAAGCTAGGTCACCATGGAAAACCTGGAAGCACTGGACGGCCGTTTCGTCCTATCGTGGGACTCCTCAGTAGTGCGCATCCACGACCTCGCCCCCTGGGAGATTCGAACCTAGGACCTATCGGTCCCGCGCGCGAGCGCTTAACCATTAGACCAATGAGCTGGCCAGCATCTAACGGTGTTAATGTCTAACTTCAACCAATCCACGAAGTTGCGTCACCGTCCGCCATTGTCTCCAGTGAGTTGATATCTCACCGATAGGTTCTGAGTTTGAATCTCGCGGGGGGCGGGATAGTTGATGCGCACTGCTGAGGAGTCCCATACTAAGACGAAACGGCCGTCCAGTGCTTTCAGGTCTTCCATGGTGGTCTAGCTTCAATTGACTCATGATTTCAACCATTATTTATTTATTTTATTTTTGCTATCATTAACCTTATTTTCACATCCATTATTTGTTTGTAATTTTCCGCCTCTTTCCGTTTGTATTCTTCACTATCTAATCATTAACACACTTCTTATTACGTAATGATTTTAATGTTTTGTGATGACTACTCCAAGTCTATTTACCTACGTTTGACCTTCTATTTCCAATGTTTAACTATTGATAAGACTTATCGTATTTTATTATTCTTGCTACTATCAGTACACCTGTCTCCCTACTATCAACTTGTATTTTTACGTATTATGTGTGGTGACCTACTCTATTTCATCATGATCATTAACCCGAATTGCCTTGATTGGTTTAACATTTTCGCATAAATATTCATGTATATCAGAGTAAAGCCTGATGACGATCTAATTGAAAACAATTGTTCGCCTATACGTGTTGGTCTAATATAATTATTTGTCGCAAATTATTACTTTTATAACAACACTACAGAGGGTAAATTATATATCAATCCAATAACAAATTTCAGTAATATATTTAGAGGAAGAGTAACACACAGTTACATTGAACAGTATTCAGATTCTCGAATTGTGAGTTTTCCATTTCTGAAACCATACGGGTGCACGCTCATTCATAATTTTGTGTAAATCACTACTAATCCTCTCCATATAATGCATATCATTACACACATCATCATGTAAATTGCTAAACAGTTAGTAAACACTCTTTCTCCTCTAATGTTAAATATGTATTTAAAACGGATCAAAGAATTAATCTGAATCCAATTTGCACCATTATTAGTAGTAGTTTGAGTTATCCCGTAGTTGATATTCAGAATTGAATTTCGATCAGCCTTCTCTAACATACTGCCTCCTGTTAGAAGTGCCTCGATATTTCAACTCTAAAGCTGGAATACAATATATGCGTTTTGTTCTAACTGGAACTCCTCAGCTTGACATACCTGAGTCTCAGTGTAGAGGTCCCCAATGGGATTCGTCTCAAATTTCCAACTTAAACTTCCACTAGTAAACCTAGAGTCACAGAAAAAATATTCCAAGGATTTTTATCTTAAAAAATATAAATAAGAATTTATTACTTACGGTTGTAAGAATTCTGATGATGCAGCATAGTTAATCTGACGTAAAGTGATGTATTCAGATGGATTTGAAGATTCCATGTTTGCACAATAAATCTACAAAATATGGAGAAAACCACTGAATTTCAATAAATTTCAGTAAAAGACTACGAAATTCTGTTATTAAAATTCAACCGTTGGTGGGTCTTCGCTAGTTCAGTTGTTTTTTTAAATACATTTTCTGTATTGATATTCACTATTCCAACTGTATGAAATAACAATCAGTCAGTCTATATTGCGAACACACATTTATACTAGTAAAATCACTAGTATGGTTTTAGTTGTTTCATTTATTAAAAAATAAGTTCTAGGTTGTAAATTGAATTTATATATACGTCAATGAAATATAGCTTTAATATATAATGTGAATTAAGGCTATTTACTCAGGATGTACATATGGTAACAGAGACTGATCAACAGGAGTCATGAATATCAGCAACGAGAAATTTCAGACTTTTGAACGAGTTACTGATTATCTGGACTTAATAATTCACTAGATCACACAAAGGAAGTTTGCTGCTAAAACCATTAGTTTCAAGCCTCTATGTGAAAATCAACACTAAGATCAAAGCTGAAATCGTTACAAACCGATGTTAGTGGGTGATTCATTATGAAGTAGGGAGTACTAAATATTTCTTTCTTCTTAACCCGTAACTCCTCAACGACATAAAGCCATGACAACATTAGGGACTAGCCTAATACCTTTAACTTTCTTTGTAAGAGGATAACTATTGATACGCTGAGTCGGAATTCAATCAATTTGTGATATTTTGCAAAAATCGTCCACCATTATTGACAACATTTGTCTCGCAGTTGAACTTTATTGGTCATAATTTCTTACTTCGAAAAATTTTCCGAGGCTAATCATTGGTTGTAACTGGGGATTTATTCTTTGTTTTGGACTAACTTCTCAAATACTCATCATTTGTCATTCTTGCGAATTTTATCGATTCGAGATAAATTCCGTAATGAAAATAAATTATGCATATTACATTAAACAACATGTGTGAGATACACTTATAAGAAAAGTATACTTAGTTGTATGACCTTGAAAAATAGTTGGAGTCATGTTTATTGGGTGTTCTCTGAAATTTGATTACAACTGTTTGCCAATAGATCAAATCGTTTACCGGTTTCGATCATTTCTAGTTGTCCCCATATCTCATATATTTATATTTAGTACTGAGTAAACGTAAGTAATTTCTCTTCACTGGCTGATCGTCCAGTTCTAATTTTAATAACTGTTCACTTATTAGCTTTGTTATAAAAATTTGATTTTGTATAAGCCAATATCACCCAGATACATTCAAAGCTCTCTAGACAGTCGACTGGATAATATTTCTCGTCTATAGAGTACCAGTTCCCTAAAGATTAGAGGTGCACCTGACTGATAAATGTTGACCAGAACGAAACACAGATTCGGAGTTTTCTATGGACTGCTCTAAATTACATTGCGTTTCACACAATGAGTGCAAGAAAAGTCGAGTGATGTAGATTGATGGCTACACTGGAACCTGAAGCACCAAAAGACTAGACAAATATGACGTTGGTCACTATTCAGTGACCGGTCAATCATAAACGAATCACATTAGTTAAAATAAATGAAAACAATTCAGTGTTATACCATTATTATACAGAATTCGAGATTCATTATAATCTGTTTATTAATAGATTTTTAGTCTTAGTCTTAGTAAAGAGTACGATATACATACAGATTGATAAATTAAAGAAGTAAATATTAATCAAACTAAACGTACGAAAACTTATCGTTTTAAACGTTCAATTAACAAATGAAAAAGTATCGTAAAATTATGTAGGAATCTATACATATTACAAACAAGCATTGACAATAAGGGAAAGATTCAGCTTACATAAACTAAGGATTGTTCAATTAATAATTGATATGTGCCATCATCAGCTGAAGGATAACGATATTTTAACTCACGACAACTTTTAGGGACTTCTGTATTAATAAGGGAAAAGTGAGTACAAAACAGTTTCTTTCTTAAGCTTTCTAAACATTAAATGAGTAAACTCATAAAATTGTAATAAGTTATTCACCACATTTGTTAGAAGTGATAAGGTAACCTGTGCAAAATTAACTAAATAACTTGATATGAATTAAAAGTAATGGTGTTCGATTTCGCTATCTTTACAAAAACGGAACGTAAATGAACTCATCGATAAATAGGAATGACTCGATGATCTGTGGAGATCAATGCCTTGTTATATATATTTTATGAGTTTAACAACGGATGTCATATAACCTCCAGTGTAAAATATTATTGAGATAATACAGTTAATCTGAAATGTATCTGTTGTTAATATGTCCTTAAATGAGTAGAAGAGTTAAAGATTAATAAAATCTGACATATCTCACATTGACAATTCCGTTTTAGCATCAAACTTTACATACTATTATTATGTTTTTTTTTGTTGATCATGATTTTTGTGACTATTCAATATATTTAGTAAATTAATGTCTCTCGAGACAAAACAATGATTAATTCCCATTAGTGATAGAATAAGTTGTGTGTTTTGAACAGTAATAAAAATTCTTTTTATTAAATTTGAATATTGGTAAGAAATGGGATACAGGATGTATGTTTCATTCTATTTGGAACTCTTTAAGTAGGGATACCTTCATTTCGGAGCTGATGTTATGCATATGTCAGTAAATACCGATCAACGGAAAGACTCAAACCCTTACAAATAATGAAAATGACCTGTTTAAAGCCATTTTATGACTATTTACACAAATTAAATTGTTCTATCACCTATAGGTTTACATGCATCCAATAGATTGTGAAAATTTTAACATTTTGTGTCTAGAAACTCAAACGCTGCTTTGTGTTTGATTGCTTGATGTGTGATTGCACAACTCATAGGTCATTAATGTAATTTTACTAGAATGGTAATTTTGTAAAGATTGAACAGTTCTTAGACAGTTTCTGTTACGGATCGAATTTAACTGAGACAAACAATGAACACTATAGAAAGTTGGTCTACGGTTTTGTCTAAGAATCTATCGCAGCCCTTCTGCAATCGATTTCGATTATTTCTAATTTTTGTTAAGCCCTTTTATTAACTTAACAGACAATTTTATTTGAGCAATAACAACTCATGTATTTCATTGTACTATTATAATCACTATCTTTTCCGTACAAATGTGTGCGCTTGATCACATGACAGCCTACGCATATATCTCTCAAGCTTAAATGTTTATCGCTTAAATATCGCTCGATGAGCCATTCTCTTCTCTCTCTCTATGTATACTCGAATTCTATTATTAGCCTTTCCCTTGCTGTGCCCTTATTCGATTTGAACATAAATTCGGCTCTGCATTTGCTCGCGTACACCTATTTGCTTCTCTGATTCAAACTCGCTCGGCGTGCTTATAGCTTTGTAATCTGTGCTATCCGCTGACAAACTGTAGTCGCCGCTTCTTATTGATTTCCAATATCGAACACCGTTGAAGTTTATATAATAACGGTTATCACGGTGATTGACTAGAGAAGCTAAGCTACTACAAACCCTTTGTTTCAAGCCTGAAGATTCTGGGCTCTCCCTATGACAGGATTAAGGACGAGCATTGTTGTGAAGCTCTAAACTATGACAAAATAACTATCCAAACACTCTCTGGTTTTTGATTCTTATCTAACTAGAATCAGTTCGTGTTATCAATTATCTTCAAAGTAGATTTAAGTTTCTTAGTTTATCAGTATCAAATATAAATATTCAAATTATCTGTACACATACCTGCACATAAATTTGGACATACACCACGATTACTGGGTTTCAGACTCGCTGGACATAAAGTCTCTGAATATTCATTACCTAAATCATCTACACATTTTACTTGACGAGATCTCATTCTTGATTCACAAGTATCTGGACACTAAGATTAAAAAATGAAACAAAATAAAAAGAGGAAAAATGATTAGCTTTAAAAATGTTGTAAGTTAGACGAACTTGGTAAAGTTTGGTTATTTTAGCTAACTGATTGAAAAAAGACGGTGGTAAAAGTATAGATAGGGACGAGCTTAAAAAGAATTCCAACTAGTTTCTAGCCAACAAGAAAACAGCTTTTGTAAATAGATAGTTTGCTAAAAAGGAAACGATAAAATTGGACAGAGTAAACCGATTTTACGTAATTAGTAATCCCGTCAATGTTTTCTGCAAGTTGCTCTACCTGTAAACCAAAGCAACAACGATAATGTAAACTCATTCTTATGGATGTAGATTGTCTATATTCTAGAACCTATATAAGCACTCGATCAGATTTGTGGGTCTTTATATTGTTCCTTATTAAAGTTAGATATTTAGAGGAAAATTAAGGATTGATGGTTTAGGGTTTCATCCCGTAATGACATCAGCTATAGTGTAAAAATGCTCGGTAGCCATATGAATGAACGAGAGTTAGAGTTTGTTTCAAGATTAAGGGTTTAGGATTTAATGGTGGTCTTGACTTGCCTATTATCTACAATCTACAAAGACACTAACATTTTTATTCTATGGTTACAAAACGTAATGTTTTCTTATTATTTTGAACGTTTTGAGATCATAAAAATATTTCTATCACTAGTTGAACATGATACTTAAATTGAGCTCAAAAGCTTAAAAGTTGCGTTCTCTTTTCTAATTAGCTCGTTCGTTTATTACACTTTTACCGGTTCTATTATTCCCTAATTGAAATGGAATTATAACTACAAATCTTTTAAATTGCTTCGTATTTATAAGTTAATTCTATTTTCAAGTTAACATCATGTTTGCGTATATGATACTTTTAATGTTTCATGACAGTCAATAACGATATCTTTGTTTAAGTGCTATGAACATTGTAGCAATTACTTATCATATTTACATAGGCGTATGAACTGTGAGGAATAGAGCAGTAGTAGAATTGTATTCAGATACCTAGTTAGCAATTCAACTAGACAAATATTACAATCAGTTATGAGTAACTAAAAGATAAATATATTTAGAAATTTAGTGAGTCTTATTAGGTTAAATAAAAATATTGTGTAGTTTGCAAAGAACTATTAATTAGCACCATTTTCCTATGACGCAATACCTTTATTTAGACCAAGTCAACATAAAACAATTAAGTAATAAATAGAAGAGTTGATTTTCTAACTTACTAAACTCCAAGATCCTGTACTCCATTCAAATCGTTTGCATTTGAACAATTCACAAATGGTCCAGTTCAATGGTTTTTCTAAATGATTACAAACCGCATCATGAACTGGACCACGTCTTGGACTGATACATTTGATTATTCTTTCACGTTTGGTCAATTCGCATCCTGTTATATTGCACTGAAAGATAGAAAAATTGATTTGAAGATCATATGAGATCAACACGGAACTTCTTAAAAGTCAGAAAAGTTATTAGTAATTTTCAATTGTAAAACTAAAGGTTTTCACACTTCAACTTCAGCAAGTATATTTCAAGTGCTTACTAAATTAAAAGACTTTCTGGTCAGACGATTCGTTATCTATGCTTCTGATGAACGGATTATTTCCACGTAAATCATATTATCTCACCTATTTTTCTAAGGCTTAATGGGAGAGTTTCAAACAACACATGCAGAGTGATCAACCAATTTATCGAAGGATAAATCGGTTTCAGCTTATGCATTTATTCATAAAAGTTAATAACTATCAAAAAACCATCATTAAAAGTGATGGTTACCGTATAAATTATGTTTCAACGACATTTTCTAATGTAATGATAAAGAATACGCTTATCAATTTATCCAGAATGACGTTAGATGATCAAAATTCAAGAACAGGACTTTAGAATTTTAGTAGTTTTAATATGGGTCTATCATTTGTTAAATAATTTCGGATTTATTTTACACATCAGTATACCATGTGAGGTAAAAACAAGCAATAATTCAAATACATCGTACCGAAAAATGCCAAATTATTCATCACGGCAGTATAACAGTGAAGAGTGACCGTTATTTATGATCAATATACTGAGAAATTCTGAATTTATTTTTGATCGATGCAAAAATTAGTTTTAGATCAAATTTAAAGGCGATTTAAGTAAACATCCTTCCATAGAATATGTTTTATTTTAATATTAACATTTTCTAGCCTACTAATAAAACTCCACCTGGAGCCCCTCTGAGACTACTGCCGGTCTCAGGCCTCGATAAAGGAGGAGGGTTGGACATGCGGTTAGCAGCCCCATCCGGTAGAAAACTAACTCGATAAAAAACGCTAACCAGAAAAAGTAGTTCAAACCATTTAAACTCTGCCCTGGGAGTTACAAGGTCTTCATTCAGAAGAGTTATGACATCTCACATTGAAAGCCGAGTTCCTCCGGAATTCACGATGCTGATACCCCTTCTGACAACCATAGTAACCATTAATTTGGATACATAGAATGCTTGTACAATGTGGGAGACCGGGAGGCTTATCCAAATTGCTGGAGCCTACTAATAAGTATCTAGTGATCTGTTATATTCATTTACTATGTTCAACTACAATCACTCATATGAAATCTTCATAGTGAACAAGCTTCATTGATAAACTATATTAATAATAAACATGTATTAACTAATAATTATCTTTGAGATAAATATCATCGATGATAGTGAATAATAACTGATCAGTATTGTAAGAATTTACTTACATTAGAAACTTTGGTAATTGAATTGAGATCATGTGGTGCTACAGTAATATATTATTTTCGACAACGAAATATTCTGTGTTTTATCTCGGATGTGGTCATGGTTAATAGCTGCCGCGTAGTCTCGAAATAGAACGAAACAAATGTCAATTGGTTCTTCGTTTCCAATGGTTGTCTTACTTAAGTTAGTTAAATATATTTACTACCTTCAACTCGAGTAATCTCCTCAAACCACAAATCTTAATTATGTGAAAAGTGTTATTAGATATCAGTTGACAAATGATTATTATATACAGATTCATGAAATTAGATAGGATAAATATTTCTTATATGAGACTTCTTCTTAGGTAAACAACTATGATAACCGATTCCCAAAAATCTCACTACTCATACACTTACAAGTCAATTGTTTTGAGTTTCAATATGAAAAACATATTTTGATGATCATAGTTCATTGCTGAAGAAGTTGCTTTCTCTACTTGCCTAAACTCTGTTGGTTTATTTATAAAAAAGAACAGATCAGTTTGTCTAAGCGATTCAAATTTTAGTATTTTGTATTACCGGGTTATTTGAAGAACGAAGTGTTAAATATATTGTGACCCACTATATTGGTAGAACCTGCTGTACTATAAATAAGAACTTTCGTCTAAATTTGAACGAATAGTTTCACAATATTTGGGCGCCGAGTTAATTTGAGACATTAAAAAGAAGAATATGTTTGTAAAATCTCAGCGAATGAATTTTAAGTAAATCCAACGATTGTTGTACTATATTTAGTAAGTAGTATAATCAGTACTTAATCACTGAGTTCTCATAAACTAACAATAAGAAATATGAATACCCATTCAAAAATATGTCATATAATTTTCTGACAGTTAGTATTTGTTCGATTTATACCAGTGAAATGTGTTATTCTATTGTCAATAAAGAGTTCTCGTTTTTGAATTAACACATTTGAAAATAGACATGAAACTAAAAAAAATTTCACATATTTATAAAGTCGTAGAAAAATAAAAATTATGGCCAGAATTATTATAGAGAATAGCTTCGGATGATTTTTATTATTTAGAATTTTTAAATATTCATGTCTACCTTACATTTTTGATATGATCACTGGCGTATGTGAGGGAATTCAACAATCAAACAATATTCTTATTCGACAGCTGAATGTTAGTTCTATAGTTTAGTCGGTCTCGGACGCTAAACTAAATAATATGCAAACACATGGTGCTTGAATAAAGAGCTCAAAACTCAAACATGTTTAAATTTTACTCAACTAATGATCTTGTTAGTTTGTAGCTTACATCAACTATTGGTCTCAGTTAGACGATCATTGGAAAGGAGGGATTACTAAAAAGTTGGTTCATTCTAGCATAGAACTCCTCAACAGTACGCATCCACGGCACAATAAGGGATTGGAACTAGGGCTTTTGGGTCGCATGGAGAACGCTTAACTGTTAGAACCACTGGGTTGGCGTACAGTAGTCCAATACCATATTTAATGAACCAATGTCATTGGTGGAAAGTGTTACATACGTGATGTTTCCGAACTCTCACAGTCGGGATTTTTTACTAGAACATGAGGTACATTTTTGAAATAAGTCACTAGTATGCTAGCTATTATATTTAAATATTAGTCTATTTTCAGTGCCTGAAATATTGCAATTAGACCACTATAGGGTTGAATAAAGACAGTTTATTTAGCATCCCCTACACATTGAAATAAAGAAATAAATTAGAATAAGGTATCAATTGAAATCAAAAGTTGGTAAAAAGTAATCAAACAGTTTCAGATTTCTGTTAAGCTGGATGTATGTTTAGGTCTGACATACCTCAGATGATGTAACGGGCCACCAGAATACTTCTAATCCTGTACATGGACGCGTTCTGCATGAAACTTTATCAATAGGACGTGGACTTAGACATTTGCGTCTTGTTGTGGCACTCTTTTTTATAGTCTGTATGGCATATTGAAGTGAATTTACATGAGATGTCTCTGTGTTGTAATAAAATACCTGTTTATCATCTGTTGTCTCAACATTAATTACAGTCCCATTTGAAGATCGGCAAACAACTTGACGTGATCGTACTCCCATGCCACAATTTACTGAACACTGAAATAAAAGTGTTTATATACTACTAGTACAAATGTTAATGAAGGATTATAACAAATTCTAATTCTAAAATATTAATGAACAGTTTAACTCATGAGTAGATCTAATTTATGGAAACAGTTTTGAGATAAATTGTATGAGGAATAACTTTATTCTTACTTAGTAGCTTGTGAATAACTAGGTTTCACCAGTGAAAGTAAACCATGCTACTGCCTCAGCGTAAAAATAAGATTTTCAATACTCAGTATCAGCTAACGAATATTTATCAGTAATACTCAGACTGTACTGTAAAACACTTAGGAAAATAAAACTTGTACGGTGTTTTTATATAAATATTATCATGTTCACAGTTAATTCCTCACGTTAAGGATAACAAAGCAGTGACACAGGAACCAGTCCATTTTCATTTCAGTCCTATCTTTCTCTTGATACCTTATAGTTGTACTTAATTTACAGAATAACTTCATAAATCTACTTCGCTGTTTTGTGTATACATGAAAAATGGGTCATTGAAATAGCTTTATTCAGGAGGAAGGATTTTTGAATATATGAAAAACTGTTAAGATATCGATACTCCACAAGAATGTCTACTACACAATGAATTACTTATATCATCAACTGTGCAAAAGTAAACTTTGAGCAAACGAAAATCCAATAACTCTTTATTAATTGACGCTTTAAACATAATTTTTGACTCTCCAATATATTTGGATTTATGTAATATAATCTCTTTCTTCAATCACACAAATGAATGATTCCTATCAATTCAGTGTATTGTGAATACGCTCTTTACTCAAAAGTTCACATTCTGTATTATGATGCGAATCGACAGTATAGTACACTTCAAAAATACAGTCAATACTCGGTAGTCAGTGTAAGTCTATTTATCAAAGTGTGAAGTGACGATTTATATATAAAGGTTAAATATTGTACTTGAATATCTAAATACAAGTAGATCCACTGTAGTTTCAGAATTACAATCTGATAGTTTTAAATTCACTGCATAAACTAATGCATCTCAGCTGAGTTACATAACTAAGTGAATCAGAATACACAATTGACAGTAATTTTCAACGTAATTGGAATGATTGTTAGTTAAGTTTTTTTAAAGAACTGGACTTACTTTTGACCATTCACTTTTATACCAATAAGGACAACTTAGGTTTATTAAACATGGCCTTTCTGATATTGGTTTGGCACCGGCATTTCGACAACGCTCATGATCAACATCCATTACATTTGCTGAACGTGATCGACGAATTAAAGAAGAATCAAGATGATTTATCGATAGACGTAATGAACTATCATCTTCCGATTTTTGTAAATGATTATTTATTTGTTGTGAAGAGGTCAATTCAATGATACATCTAATTTTTCGATGTTGTATTCCGTACTCACACTCACCTATACACTGGAATAAAAAACATGATAAAATGCGTGTCATTCATTATTGACAAAATCGTCCTGAAAATCAACGGCAGGATCAACCAAAATTTTATTAATAATTATATAAACCTCATCCCCATTGAACAAGTAAGTGGTTATTCGGTAGCTCAGTGGATAGTGCGCTGGTGTTTAAAGCAAAATGCAATGGGTTCTAGTCCTGATGTGGGCTTAAAAACTAGGATCTAAGTACGTCCAGCTGTTAAGTTCCACATAAGACAAATACTCCTGCTCAACAATCCATCAATTCTTAAAAACATTTTTCTTGCGATCACAAACCCAATAAAGGTTAGACAGCTGTTGGGAAACTGGATGCACTAGACCACCGAGTGGTTCTAGTATGGGACTCCCCAACAGAGCATATCCACGAATCCATAACCAAGAATCAAACACAGGGTCCTCCATCTCTCAGCGAACGCCTAGTCTCTAAACCACTGAACCGGAATCTAGTGGTGTAGAAGTTTAGCTTCAGTCAATCCATGATAATGGGCGACTTCCTTCTAACTTGGATCAACACTTGATTTCAATGGAATTCAATCATCTCCACAATCTCATGCTGAAAATATTTTTAGTTTAAATCTCAGTATACATAATTAAAAATAATGGTTGAATATAATTATATTGAAGTCAAGTTGATTCTAGCTCAATGAATATTTATTGAGCAAAAGTATATTTTTTTCTCTGTATACGATCTATTTTAGTTTTCATAAATCAGAGGATTAATACAGAGGAAATAGATGAAATTGCTAAGTATTCTGGTCAAAATACTTTATTGATCCTACTTTGGAAAGTGAAGGCATGTAAAGTTCGCTGTCGCATGGCAATATACCAAAGATACACATATTGAGTATAATCGAATAACTGAATGAATTACTTTGAGTTCGAACTAAAGTTTCGCTAAAAGAGTAGTGATTTAATCAACAAAGTTTCAATAGGGCATTGACTGAAATGTCTGTGACAAATGTCACCTATTTCTAGTCTTAATCTATTCGACGTACTATTTTGTCTAGAATAAGAGCAGATTAAAAAAGTAAAATATTTAACTAGTTCATAAATGTTGACGTTATGAATTTGTTACATATAAAAGTGTCGGGTTCCTACTCGAAGAATTTAGTAGTCAGAACTCTTGAATATAAAAGCTGCAGGTAGTTCATTCCTAACTTGTCAGCATTTAAACTTTGAACACTTAAGTGATCATCACTTTATCCTGTTTACAGATTAACAAAATTTTTAAACTGGCTATACCTAATGCTAAATTGTAAGTACTGTGTGATATCACTATGGACTGGTTAATCAGATAGTTCATATTCACTTCATGAGGTGAAGTCCATTTGATGTGGCTGAACGATTAGAACAGTATTACTATGTAAGGATGAAATTTTCATATACTTACAGACGCATTCTTTCTTGATGTTTCAATTTTTTGCTCTTAACACTCACAATAACTGAAGGTTTTGTTTTGAACTGAAGAATGTGTTGAAGCTTATTATTCCCTCTCTTCTAAATTAGAACAGTGAGATTTTAGAAAACATTTATTCAATTAATTATTGTAATGTAAACTTACTTCTTGCCATTCTTCAGCATGCCATATAGGACACGGAGCTTCAAGACACGTTTCTTGTTCCGTTGGCACAGGCAATAAGGCATTATAACATATTTGTGAATCAACTACTTCAATATTGGATCGACTCGCCGTAAATATAGAAGTATATGATACTGAATGACGTTTATGTAGATTCGCATTTTGTGTTTCGACTACACACATAACTTTCCTTTGTCTAACACCTAGTCCACAAGAACTGGAGCACTGAAATGTAGTAGAAAGTAAGCACCAATAAAAGCAGATGAATATCGTATTTCAATGTCAAATAATCTAAAATTGTCAATAGAAGAGCTGAGATATGAGCTACATTCAGCAACTATCAATAAAGTAACTCAATTATCCTAAAGTAACTTATACACTGATGTTAAAGGCGGTTGATAAGATGTCACGGGCTGAGATTTTATGCAACTCGGTACTTGTCTTCACTCTTGGGGGAACCTCTCATGGGATTCGAACCCGTGTGATTGGGAATCAAAGATGTTGCCAGTGAGACATTAAGTCTCATTTATGCGTTTGACACTATTTGAAATGGATTAATCCAAGTTGTTACAGTGATAAAATTTACAGTCGATCTTTGAAAATCCGAATGTTTTTGATGTAAACATGCAATTATTTAATGAACATGAACTATCGTATAAGATAAATTTAATGAATGGTATCAACTGTTATATGATTCATCATAAAACAACTTGCAAATCTTTATACAGAAAGTATTGGGGGTAAATTCCTAAATCTGCAGTAATATTTAGAATAAATGTATTTAAACCTTCTTTAGAAACTTACAAGAATTTGACCAAATAATCTCTATGATAACTCTTTTAGTCTTTTAATATTAGGCTTTCTTATGGATCTATTCATTTCAATATTCTAGTTTATATTTAAAATATTCTGACAAGCAAATCTATAGTCAAATAATTTAAAATATTTTACAAAAATTCAGTACAATCTAAAAAGAATTTTTTTACCACTTTATACTACTTAAAATGTTATCCGATGCCTACTAAACCATAAGCCCAATCAGATTAAAACTTATTGTGACACGTTTTCGTCAATTATTGATTTTTGCTCTAAAATGTCCTTAGGTATTTTAACTTTTGTGAAGAGTATTATGTATTTATGTAATTTAATCTTTATCTTATCAGAAGTTGATTTTTGAATTTATTTTAACATGGTAAAGAACTTATTGTTAGGAGAATAATATATATACATTTCAGAAGTTGAATAATACAATAGGACCTGTAATTTATGTTTATACAGTAATCACTAATTTGACGGTGAACTATTGTCTAGTACTTGACACCAGTTTATATAACTGAGTAGTCGGTTTATTTATCAGAACATTAAATCCACTGAAGTAGTATGGTACATGTTGATAAATTTACTATTATGTTTTAGAAACATAGATTTAACATCAAAGAATGAGTTTTTATTTTAATATTTCGCTTTATTTTACTGAACTCATTTTCTCTCTATTATCTTCACAAACACTACTATAGTGTACTATGATATATATATATATATATATATATATATATATATATATATATATATATATATATATATATATATATATATATATATTCAGTAGTTTGATTTGCTTATTTCTACATCTTTAAGAATTCATACCAACGTTTCGGGTGTTCTTAATTTTGTCAGTTATCTATAGTTTAATTAACTTGAATGGATCGAGATAGTCCATCTGAATATTCCTTTCCAATTTAAAACTATGAAAAATAAACGACTTAAAGTCGGCATAAAATGATTTAGAATATCATTCAAGTTAGGCAAAATAACAAATGTATACTAACTGCACTCCATGATGTTGTTCTCCAAGCTGGTAGACGCAAATCACATGGAGCTTCATTGCAAGTCAGCACAACAGGCTCGTTTATATTGTCAACTTTTATAGGTATCATCTCTTGATCATTATTTATCCGTCGTTCAACAGTTTCCACAAATATAGTATCGTTTGTTTTATCAGTAAATAAACGTGGCATATACTGAAGATTTTGCAAACACTTATCATTGTCAACAATATGTATTCCTTGCAAAACAACTTTTTTTCATTAGAGCTTGTATCCAAATCATCTTTTAATATAACACTTTCACATGATATTCGAGTTTGTTTCACTCCGCTTCCGCAATTTACAGAACACTAAAGAAGCAGACGTAAAAGGAACCAAAATATGTGTTATATTTAAAAAAGTAGATAAAACATAAAGATTGAGGGGAATCTTAAGGACATTTATCGATCGAAATCTTGTGAAACTAATAATTTCAGGTTAACATAGTTTATAGATTGATTAATAAATGTCAATAGTGTATTAAATTAAAGTGATTTTGACAAACATTAGGCAGTTAAATGTAATCGATGGGAAATCTAGGGCTCTGATTTTATTCTAATCGGCATACGTTATAAAGGCCTACCCTTAATCTTGAGGAAACTGACTAGCATTGTGAGACTCGAGACTATATTACCTAGCCTCACGGACTAAAGCTTATATGACATTTTGGGGCGACGACTATTCTCTTGTAGGATGAAGATATATATATATATGGTTATTCACTGAGTATTGATAAATGTCATGTCTGTTTACTTCTCTGGTGCTGATTAAATTCCTCCGATCAAGAAATAAATGTGCTTACTAGTCAAAGTGACTGAAGATCGAGTACACTATGTTGAAATTTTTTGAGTGAGAAGACTAGATAAGAGGATGACATTAATTAGGTCAGTGTTTTGTTATGAATTTCGGCCAGGTTGACAGGTGTGAACATTTTTCAGTGTGACATTTTCAGGTCAACATTTCCTTGTATCAATGCAGTATAAACTCTGCTCCATATGGCAAATATGACCTATTACTCAATGCGGCAATTATATTACTTTTACCACTACAGGTGAATGAACTCAACAAAGTTAATACTAACATAGCGGAGATGTCTCTTTCAGATATAGCAGATGGCAATGTGCATAAAACAGTGGTGAGGTAGATATAACAATCGACTTATCAGTTAAAACACGTTAAACTGGGGATTAATATATACGCGTACTACCTATATGAAAATCTTTTAATTAAATTTAGATCCTAATAAACGGAAAATAACTGCGTATTTAATTATAACCTTTCTAGGGTATCTGTTCTCCCTGAGAGTATAACACAAGGTGTTCAGCTCTTCTTCAACTATGTCCATAGAACATACTGTGTGCATTCAGTAACTAAGAGTTTTAATTACTGCCCTGTCCAGGTATTTTTTCTGTTTAAATTCCTTTTTAATGATTCATCCGCTCTCTTAGTCAAAAGAACGTCCAAAAAGGCTATTCTACCACCACTCTCTTTTTCAGATGGAAATAGAATGGCTAGATGTACTTCATTAAACTGCCTAAGAACCTCTTACTGTGATGCGTTATCTTTACGAAGGATGAACGTATCATCCATATATTGACAGTAAAATGTGAATTTTTGAATAATCTTTCTGAGTGGATCATTTTATAGTTTGGCTCGAAAAAATTTCAGCTAGCATAGGGCTCAATGGTGAACCCATTACAACACCATCCGTTTGTCTATGGATTTCTCCGTTGAACTTGAATTTCATATTCATTCTGCATTTCCAGTAAAAACTCTTTTACGACCTTGATAGGAACTGTAGTTTCAATTTCTTTTTCACTCAGCTGTTCACATATATATACTACTGTCTCTATGAGTGGAACATTTGTGAGTAATGAAGTTACATCTTAAATTTTCACTTAACAAGTTAACATTCCATTCGAGTTATATCAACATTAGCATTTTATTCTATTTTGTTTGGCAATCCTAAATTCACATGCTTTAACTTTAAACGATGCACTGTGCCCTTAGCATGGCCATTTTTCGGATAATTAATTTGGATATGAAATTGCAGAACCTGAAGAAAGTTTATCGAAAAGAATATTCTTTGTTCAAATATTAGTCTTTGAAGATCAGTGACATACAAGTTACCAATTCTTGAAAGTTTGGTGAACTTAGCTCATCCCACCCAGATTTTATATTAATTTAAGGTCTTCTGATGAGTAACATCCTTAACGCCTGAAGCGTTAGTGATAAATAGATAGTATATCCTCAATATTTAACCCCTTTTACTAACATAGGTATTTTTAATTTGCTGACACATTCCTTAAATGTCCTTTTCTACTATTGTAGTGTAAAGTGTAATATTTTATGGTGAGAAACATTTGTTTCTGATCCTACGCTGATTATAATCAACTGGTTAACTTACGAGGAAAAATCCCAAGTTAGCTAGCATATGTCGATTAGCTTGGAATTAGTATTTGAATATTCTTTCCTCATTTAAACAAATGTAAGTTAATTCATTCTGAAAATTATAGATCAGTACAATACGCCGTTATTTTCTGTTTATTAAGATTTATAATATATCAAACTTTATCAAGAGTTAACAATTAAATGCTAATTATTTTATGTAAAGGTACCATTTTAATGTTTATTGTTCTGACATAATGAGATGTACTGTGAAATGTAGAGTTTTTAAAATGATCTAAAATGATATATACTTGTTTGTGTTATGAGATTTTACTAATTAGTGTTATTCAAGTTAATAAATTATGACATTAACGTTGATTTATGAATTCATCATAAGATGATAAAACCATGGCTTACATGCTCACACTTTGGTTTATGAAAGCTTAGTTCCTCTTTTTTACTTGTCATTATCGTCACATATATGAAAAAAATAGCAATTAGTATCCAGGACACTGTGATAACACGTAATTAGAAAGACAACAATAGTAACAATGTCACGGTGTAAGCATCAACGCTGGAGTGCAGGTACATCCTGCCTACGAGTCTCAAATAGGAACAAAAACGCACGTTCTGGATTCCGCTGTTATCTACTACCTAATTTTAATAAAAAATGTCAACATAGTTTGATAATTTGTTACAGCTTTGACTGACTCAGTATCAATTTATCCCATACCTACTTTATGTACTTTCCCAAGTAAATTGATGATTTTGCTCATTCTAGTACTTTAAATTAACCATAAGTTAGTAGTATATTATTAACTCTATCATAATAATTATGTTATAACTGTAATTTATCTAGATGCTGTACATGTAATTAGACAAGACTTTATAAACTGCAGACATTGAGATCATGATTTATTTCTTGAAGCTTGTATTCCAAGAATCCAGAAAAGGTTAATTACTGTTCTATGTACTCATATCCACTGAGCTCGCTTATTGCAGATCGTTGTCTTTAGAAGTATTTTATTTTTATCCTTAAATTATTTTAACCATCCATCTTTACTTAAAAAGCTTGTCACGTAAGGCTATATCGAGGCAATTCGCACAGGACGCACATATGCCAACAAGAGACTGATCAATTGCAGTCCTAAATAACGATTAGAAGATACAGGTAAAACAACACCAAGTGAATTTAAAGTGCATAGTAGTTGAAAAATGGCTAAATTTGCTTTATTTACCGCTGACAATTGTCCATTTCCCCATCTGTAACATTTTGGTTGAGTACAGGCTTCTCTACCATATGGTTCTTCCACTAGCTCCCCAAGCATACTAGCTTTACGACAAAAATTTAAATCTAATTGTATTCTTTTCATAAAATAACTCGACGTCAATTGATCAGGCATTATATATTTGTTTAGTGAATTATGATAATTATCATTATTATCAATGATACATGAAACATTCCGGTAACGAACACCAATAATTTTATTGATTAAATCTTTTCGATCCGTAATGTTATCAACTAGACGACAATTGGACTTCATCTGTTCATCCAACGGTTCACATTCGGACCATTTAGTTGTAGACCAATTAATATCATTTCGACATTTAGATAAAGAAAAGCATTCATCATATTGTTCAATATATAAATTGTGTTCAAGCGATAGTTGGAAATTGTTATTTTGTTGATAAAGTAGAATGATTTCTTGAGCTGAATGAATAGTGACAGATTGTTTTGGAGCTTTTGAATGGTGAATCATTGATTCACCGTAAGTCATACATTCATTGAGAGGCCAATTTTGCCCAATTTCATCTTGACAGTAAAGAATTCTTTTACGTGTTCCATCTCCACAAGAATTGTTGCACTAAAACAAATAAAAAGTTATTTAGGATAGTTGACACTTCAATACAGTGTTTGCTCATATATTTTAGCCAAAAGCTTTTATAGAAATGTTGTATAATAATAAGCTAAGTTAGAAACTTTGTAAAGCGGCAATGTAGTTAGTCAGTTAGACACAAAGTAGAACATGGCACACGTGTATATTAGTTTGGGCTGTCATGCCCCATTAGCACAGGACGATGAAATTGTCACGATTCATCATTGCACATTTATAAAACCATTCAGTGATATTTCCTTACCAAATATCATGAAGTTATTTAGAAAGCAGCCTGAGTTTATGAACAAGCAACTGAACATCAACACGCATATCATAAATTGGCTGTGGAACGAAGACTTCTTATAAACAATAACTAGTATAGGGAGGTAGAATAGCTAAACTCCATTTGTGTAGTAAGAGCGATTGGACTAATATTTTCATAGAAGGGCTTGCTAAGTGGGCAAAAATGTAGACAGTTTTACTAAAAAAATCTAATGATCAAACGACCTAAAGTTTAGTTGGAAAGTTAGTCTGATGAAGTTGTAAACTAAGCTTACTTCTGTCCAATTCGATAAAATCCAATACACAGGATAACATGAACCTTTACATGTAACATAAGCTGGTTGTGGTGGAGCTTTTCCCAAGCCTGCTTTATGGCATACAAGTTCTCCTAGTTGAGCAACTCTCCAAATTCCTTTTGACTTATTTTTTTGTTCAGCAGGTACAATATATTCTTCACACACATACTCGACAGCTTCATGACCTTCATTACATCGTGCTGAACAGCTACTAGTATAAAAGTCATGAATACCATTTGATGTTCTTCCTGTTAGCACTGGTTTAGCTGACCATCGTACACCACAATAGTCGGAACAACGTCTGAAAACTGATGGAGGCTTTGGCATAGAGGCGCATAGATAATCAGCTACTGGTCGCAATAGATCAAACTGTGAAAATTGACTTTGCTCAGTATCTTTCGGAACTAATGGATAACATTCCGCAGGTGTTGTGACGTTTCCTGTAGAAGCAAAAAAATTGTGTTATTTGTGATGTGAATTTGTGAATAAAATAATTTTTCAGGCAAAACCTTTTGGTGCTTAGTTTCTGTACAGCACACACAGTGAACGGCCAGACTCAACAATTCTTAGAAAAGTAATTTAAAACTCAATGTAATAACGTAGATTAAAACGGGAATATTGTGGTGTTTACTACTTAAGTCTGTCAATATAAGTATTATGTAACACCAGTCGGAAGTGGAAGCCCTGTCAGTAGAAGGCTAAAAAGATCAAGTTGAAGAGAATATAATGGGAAATGGAAAGGAATTGTAAATAGGAAGAAGGATACAGAATATGAAAGACAAATGATGGAAATTTGCAAATGAAGTATTCAATGTTTAGTTCTCATATTTTATCAAGGCACTCCGTAATTTTGTGATAAAATCGGTTGTTCCAACCTGTGTTCTGGTTCATCACAATATTATAGTTGATGTGAATGGGCGTGACTTACTGAGTGGTCTTCCCTTTCATATAATCCCTCATTAGTCACTGTTCCTTGACTTTCGCAGTTTAACTAAGTACTAGTTTCACTGTTAATCACATGAATTAGAACGAAAGTCGAAGATGGTATGAATCTGATAACCTTCTGCATTTCTGTAACGTATTTTTGTTTGCTTATTGATATCATTCACAATAGTAACTGATATTATTTAAGTATAATATCACTCAAACCCTTTCAAATGATAAGTGATTATAATTTCGTCATATATTATGTCTTCTGATTGAAACCAATCTAATGGTGCATACATACCAACTTGTTAAAAATTGAACCATGGACCTCAAAATTTATTCCTTAACCTGTAGAGCAATGTGCTTTTATGTCATCCAACCTTCCTCACTTTCTATTTCAATCAATCGGTCTTACAGAACATTAGTCATCTAACACCATTCTAAGGTAATTCCCTAACCTGCGACAATTCTAGACTTGATCAGTTACTAATTTTAATCAAAGTCCTAGGAATCCTTCTAGAAGAGAGTTCATAATGAGTACGTGATTCCTGCTTGGCTAATAGATTTGTCGAAATTATTTTAATTATTGAGGTGGTTTACTTTATGAATTGAAATCAGCTAGAGAATCATTAGAAATCACAGAACACTAAACAGCTGTGTTGACCTAGTATAGGTCCCCACAGATTATGTCAGTGAAAAGTGCAATCTTAAAAATCGAATCGTTGTCTACAAACTTTTCAACTAAATCAAATATTTGTGGTGTATCTCTTCTAAAGATGATCATTTGTCTTATCAACATGACATCTTTGTTGGTTTAGTAATTGAAATTTGCTAATTTACATTATTATAGTCTTAATAGTTGAGATTATGAGTCAGTTGAAGCTAGACCACCATGGAAAACCTGAAAGCACTGGACGGCAGTTTCGTCCTAGCATTGGGCTCCTCAGTAGCGCGCATTGACGATCCCACCCACGGGGTTCGAACTCGGGAACTACCAGTCTCGTGCGCGAACACAATTGCTAGAACACTACTACAATCGCCAGAAAACCCCTTCCGATATTATTATAATTGTTTTAGTAGGGAATGTGATATATATGTATAATGTATTACCTTAATTAAGTAGACATATGGACTAGATCAATAAAGAGAAAATAAGTCACTAAGTAAAGGAAGCAAGAATAATTTGATTAACATTTTCTAGTTTTAAATCACAAAAATACTTGAATTGTGAACAAAAAACAGAAATGTTTATGTCAAATCGAAGAAAAACAAAACAACAAAATGTATGAATGAGTGAACGAACGACAGAACTGGACTACAGGTGTTTAAATCATTCAGTAAAATTGTCTTGGATTTGTTAACACTACATTTATTATCCACACCCAGTTAATGATTGAAAGTGTCACCTTGCCTAATATACAAAAACAAACAATATATATAGTCAGCAAAAAACATCTGATTAATCTGGTAATTTTATGTATACGAATAGTTTAAATTCAAATGTTTTGAGACATTCAGTTGCTTAGAATAAGTAAACAATGAGAGTCAGTTAATATTTAAAGTAATTGATAAAATGAGTGAACATTATGGATTGAAGGATTTTCTGCTTTTTTTCGTTCTACTCATATGAAGCTGAAAGAAGACAAAATAACTTAGTTTTATCATAGAATATCAGTTGTACTAACTGAAGTTATGTGATACAGTTTTAAGAGATAACAAATGAATGGTGTAAATGTCCTGTTGCTAATATTGTATGAGTTTGGGAGTAAACACTGTTTAATAGTTCGAACCAATAATAGTATTGTCTAAAAATGAGTGAGTTTTTCGTACAGTCAGTTTATTGATTAAAAGAACGTAAAAATATTTAGGTCATCTTCCTAATGAAAACTAGATGTATGTTTATTGGCTAAACTACTTTCGGTGTTGCTCATACAGAGTTAGTAGAATGTCTATACTTTTACTACAGAAGGTATATGTACTCCTGCGGAATCCCATGGTTTGTCGAAACCTCTGTACCACACTTTCACTTTCTCCAGCCAAATTTAATCTGTGATGTAAACTATAAATTTAAAAATCTCTACAAATCTCCTATACTAAAGTCAATCTGGTTGTTGAAGTTTAATATACAATATTTATTAACTAAAGAAAAGGTAATCTTCACAATAAATATGAATTATTTTATTTCCATATAAAAAATCTCCTAACTTATGTATCCTTTAGTGTTCTAATAAATTTATATTTAAAATGTCTAATATTTACTAAATCTTCCGTAATCAGAATTTTAAAAAAAATTATTGACATCAGTTACCTGCACATGTAGTACAACCTGTGGGTAGTTCACTAATTCTCCAGACGAAATATATTTTTGGTTTCTCATTCTTAATTTTACGATTATCCAATTCACTTGGTTTATGCTGTACGGGATTAATTAGTTTATCAACTGTTTCATATGATGAGTGAGTATCTTGTGATCTTCCAGTACGACGATTAATTCTATCTTCAGCTAATCGTGCTTCACTTTCCGCAATGAAATATAGTGAATTATTTTTTGTGATTTATCAATAAAGTAACTGTATTCCACTCTTGGTAAAGATTGAGTTGTATGCGAGTTTTCGACACGAATCTAATAAAATATAATAAGTAAAATTAGAAAATTATTTATGATAATGTTGCAACATTTCTGAAGAAATGAAGTCGTTCGTTGTATGCAACTAATGATGTCTTATTAGCTAACACAAGGATATTTACATGGCTTTGATAGACTATTGAAATCATAATACTGTATTTGGTTACAACGAATGATATTTCAGAGAACTTCCGTTCGTCTAACGGTGAAAGTATGCTTGAAGACCAACCAACCAGTATTAGGAAAAAGACTATCAGGCTTTTACGTGGAATTCGAAAGTGAACGACGTTTTTATTACATCACGTAAAGCGAACATTAGGAATAACGCCGAAAAACTACTTGTTTCTGTTATAGAAAACGATAGTGTGAACCATATGAAGTAAAAATGTAAATAGCATGTAGGGAATAGCAACTGGAAAAGACTGCCCACGACAGAGTTCGATGGAGAATGCTGGTTTGTAGTCTATGCTTCTCCATGGGGGTAACGGGTGTAAGTAAGCGAGTAAGTAGTGAATCGTTGTATGTTGAGGTTTCTTGGGATAAATGTTTCATATATCTTACAAGTGCCTACCTCGACGGACAATGTTAATTGGTGTAAGGTTAAGTCAGATGATTTCTAAAAGCGTCCAAATTAAAACGTGGCACCAGTCTGTGAAACCATTGGCGGGTGGTCTGAGATTTGTTGGCAGATGCAAATCATCTGGTAGGAGTCGGCTTAATAGCAATGATCAGTGGTTCAAGACGTTGGGTGATATGACTCAGATCGGCAGGAATGGTACAAATGCACTCGTACTCTATATATTGAATTTCAGCATTCCTTCACACATAAACTTCATTCTGTCTTTTCCAACTGCATTCTCAATAATTAATCTCTCATCATTATAACTACTACATTATTTCAATTCTTTAGCTATTCATCTCATTGTGATAATACGTTAAAATTATTTGGCTCAATACTAATTTGTGCTAAACTCTAATGTTCATTATGATTAACTCACTGACTGTGCATGAATGTATAATTTGATTATGATTTCATTGAAAAGACTACATTCACTGAATTACACGTGACTGATGTTGTATTCTTAATAAGTAAATAACTAGTTTTAAATGCGTACAAAGTCATTACCTCATTTAGCCATCATGTTAAAAACGTTTTTATCAACTGACATAAGAAACTTTCAGGGACTATCATTAACGTTATGAAAGTCAGATTAATTATTCCTTATTTTCAGTATGGTGGAATTTATGGAGACTACAGAATTTTCGTAGTTTGAATCCTGAAGTGATCTTAGCTAGACCACTATTAGAAAACCTTTAAACCCTAAAGATAATTAATAATCATGTGCTTGTTGGTGGGCAGCTTTTAGATACAAATTTTTGATGGGGTTTTGTTCTCTGAGCTGAATGGTTTGGTCGTGCAGCTTTCATCTTTATTCTGAACGACATCATCAGCACAAAATTCAGATAACAGTGAAGTGTTCGAATTTCTCCATATGTGTTTCACATCTTGTTCTGTACACTTCAACGTTGATTGGTTCTTATTGACCTTAAATTTGTCATTGTTTACTCCTTTGTTTTGGGTGTGTCTCCCATTCGTTTGATTTTTGTCCCTATATTTGTGCATAATTTTCCTGATTGGTTGATAAATTGGATCGATTTCAATGTGCTTGTTGATTGTTGGTTGACCTGATTGCCAGGCTTCTAAAAATTCCCCAGTGTTTGTGCTGATGATGTCGTTTAGAAGAACAACGAAAGCTCCACGACCAAACTATCTAACTCAGAGAACAAAACTCCATGAAAATCATCCACCTGAGCTACAAATCTCCACCATCTAGATGCAACTCTCGAAGTTCTAGTGAAAAGCCATGACCAATGGAATTCAGCTATGTAGGATGTGAGGCAGTTATTTGCCACGGACAATGGAATGTGGTCGCGCAGTATAGTAAGCTAATTGAAGTTATTCTTGTATATCATTGGATACCAGCTCAGTGGTATACAGTTTTGGCATTCGTGCTCGAAGCCGAATATCTTGAGTTCAATTCTTGGGTGCAAGGTCACCGATGCTAACCTCTGGGGAGTTCAATGGTAGGAAAAAACGGCTATTCAGTGCTGTCAGATTCTCAGAAGTGGTCATGATCTAAACTAAGATGTTTTGCTTTATGTTTGTATACACAAGGCCAGTTATTTTTTCATCTGAAATGACATTTAACCAGTCTTTCGTCTATTCTCTATACTCCATTGACAGTTGGCATTTTATAGTTAATCTGTTATATTTTTTCAGACTTTATTATCGTTTTATAATGTTTACTTGTTGTAAAATATATGATATTTAAAGATGTCGACCCTATGGATATAAATTTATTTTCTAAAAGTTTGGTTATATAGGTTAACTTTTTCTTTTTTAGAGAAACAAATATCCAGAAGTGAATTGATTTTAATCGTTGATTTCGACAGCTTAATAAATTAGATAACAAAACTTTTCAATTATGCTGGAACAATAAACGTCTTTTATTTTAAGCTTGAATCAAAGACTATGTAACCATTGAAAACTATGTTGCATAGTTTTATTCGAGTATGGGACTATTTGTAAGTGTTTACTTAATACCCTATCAGGGATCGAAATCAAGACCTTTAGATTTTACTTACGCTTAATCTTTGGACTAGGGATTCGGAGTTCAGTTGTTTGCATCAGTTTGTGATGAAAGCAACCTATAAATCGCTCATCAGCCAATTATTAGAAATGATTAAAAATGATAACTAATTTTATGACTAGAGTTGGATTTTTGAATACAAACTTCAGGTTTATTTAAATGGATCCATGTGACATTCATTGTGTGAGTGAACGATATCTGACAAAATAAACTGAACTGAATAATACAGCGTTTATTCTTTGAATTCCAAATTTTATATTGACGTAATATCCCGTGTTAATTAGACTCGAAGCTTCTCAGTATTTTTCTCTGTCCAGTGCTAATTCCCCTCATTTGTTCTTATGTAATCAATCTGGGTAAATAATCAATTTATAAAGTTTCATACTATCCCACCTTTGAAGATATTTAAAACTGATTCTTGAATCCAAGCTTAAACTGACGTTTTATACATCTGTCGTGTATAATAGGTTGCAATAATTCGTCAGTTTGTATTTCATTTTATCATTATCAATACTATGTTAGTTCACTTCACATAATCTAATTTTAATTTTACATTTAAATGCATTTTTTTTTAAATTTTAAGGTTATGATAATAAAGAGGTCATTGGTAAGCAGTACTTCTCAACTCAGTTCGTATTTTTAATACCCAAATGGGGATATTCGAATCATTTATATTTACTTGTTTTGTTCAACTAACTATTTTCTTCAAAAACTCAACAAATCCTATCTATAAACCTTATTAATCTAACAAAGACTGATACAATTTTTTAAGAATATTCAGTAAGTGTGATTTTGAAAGCTAAATGAGGATTAGTTGGAGCTCCATTTTCAAGGGATGAGTATCAACTGAGATGTTGTTTTTAGATTGGGAAGTATTGAACATATTTTTTCCTAGTTTAATCTACTTCAACCGTTCACACTTACTACTCTACTACTCATCGAACTCTGGATCTTCAGGTATTGCTGAAAAGTCTTTATCATTCGACTAGTGAATCAGAACTCAATAGTTCGTTTTATTGAACAAATTTTGCATTTATCTTGTGTGAATGGAGGATAGAGGAAACAGTAAAGTAGTGTTTATATAGTATTGAAAGAAACCTTGAAACCGTAGCCTGCACAATATTCCTTTCATATATATTAATGAAAAATTCAGGCTAAGAAATCTAATAGTGTTTATGAACTATTAAATAACTTATACAAAACTCTGAATATTAATTACTCCGTGACAAAAAAACATTAGAATGAAGAGATAGAACTTTTGTATATTTCGGAATAAAAGTTACCTTTTAGTTTATTAACTCTATGATTTCAAACATTTACTAGTTAAACTATTAGAATGCTAGAGTACCGATCGATCAATTCTATGATCTCAATAAAGATGTTTTTTGAACTACTAAACTATGATGAAAAATGACGTTACTGTTATACGGTGTATATCTAACAAATTGTAAGTTACCATATCCTTATATTAATAAAACCACGAACTGATCTAAGTTACACAACCATTAAGAACCTGGAAACATTGGGTGGCCGATTTGTCAGCATTGAGAATCCAAGAACATCGGTTGGGTTCGGGAATCATCAATCTTTAGCCTGTCCTGCCAGTACTCAATAATGCACAAGTCTAACATTCATCAATCCAAGATAGCGCGACCTTCTACTGTCTTTGATGGGCATTCTCTTCACATTCAACAGGGTTGAACTTTAGCTGTGAATAAACGAGTCTCGCATTCAGTGCTTCCATGTTCTTAAGGGTTGTCTAACTTTGATCAATTCGTGATTTCAATGAAATTCAGCAGTCTCCACAAGCTCATCTTGACAATTTTCTTGAGTACCGGGACCGAGAGAGTCTTCCAAATTGCTGCAGAAATGAAGAGATACAATATGGAGATGCTTGTAATCAGTGAAACACATTGGACGCAGATAGAACAACAACGAATAGCTTCAGGGGATCCTCTGTTATGCTCCGGCCATGAAGAAGAAAATGCTCAACATATACAAGGAGATGCACTGATGCTATACAAACAAGTACAAAATGCACTTATAGGATGGGGATCTCATGGACCGAGGATCATCAAAGTCTCCTTCAAAACAAAGAAAGACGGCATTTCAATGAACGTCATCCAATGCTATGCGCCTAACTACGACTACAATGAAGACGCTAAAAATCAATTTTGCGATACGCTGCAGTCAATCGTCGAAAAGTGTCCAACAAAGAACTTGACCATTCTGATGGGAGACCTAAATGCCAAAATTGGAATGGACAACACTGGATATTAATAAATCATGGGACGACAAGGACTGGGAGAAAGAAACGAGAACGGCAAGAGATTTGCAAACCTATGTGCCTTCAACAAACTGGTTATAGGCGGCATTATATTCCCACACAGAGGTTGTATGAATTGTACATTGCTACGCTAACTAATATCGATGGTATTGAATTATTTCTTCTGTCATACCGTTCAACATATGATTCAATGGATATGAAGATATATTAGCTTCCTATTTCCTGAAGGTTTCTTGTTCAAAACGGTTTATTTCAGTTGATAAGGTCGTATACGTTTAGTATTGAAGTTCACATTAGTCAGGTTTATGATGAGTTGGGAAATTAGACAAATCTATTACATGTTGGGTTGAATTTTTCTATAAACTAATTTTATAATACATGGTTTCATTAAAAAGGAATTTTTTAGAAATGAAATCCCTCACTTCTTATGTGCCTGAAAGAATGTAAAATGGGGCATTTATCTTGCCTGTGACAGATCAAAAAACTGCCGTGGAATTAGTTGTGGTGATTTAATCATCATGAACAATTTTATTTTCATTTTACTTATTTAACATATGAGGTTTGGACTGGTTTGTTTGATTTTTCTACGATACAATTTTAGTATGTTGAAAATATGTGCGAAAATTTGAAATTTGTCATGTTGTTATAGACTTGCTTGTTATTGTGTAAATCAATATATCAAAACAAAAGTCAACGCAACTCGAAATGCTATGATACAGAACTTATTTGTAAATTAGAATGGTTAATTTACAATAGATCAGAATGTTTCGTTGTAAGGTGTCTGGTTATAATCGATATGATGATAATAAAATAAATCATGCTAATAAAGTGTAAAGTAGGAGACTTCTGACGGATTAATGGGGATATCAGTAATGATAATAATGATAATAATAATGTCGTGGGGATATATTATGTAATAGGAGTAGTGTTGTCGAGGTAACTACGCTAATAAATCCATGTAGATTGGGAAAGACTAACATGTAAATTTAGAAAAAGGCAGGGAAGATAAAAACACAAGAAGAATTTTTAACTTATAAAATTATTTAACGTACTAAGAGGTTTTATTTTGAACTTTAAAACACCACACAATAATTAGGGACTTATAACTGTAGAGCCTGGTGATGGAGTTAATAAACACAAATATTTGTTCAAATATTCTTCGTTTCTAAGTATTAATTTATATATATTGTTCTCTAATTGCCTCAAAAGTGGTAGTAGGCTTGTCGAAGATACTTTTGTAGTTTTTCCCTATAAATACTATTACCTAATTATAAAATAATTGGTTGATATAGGTCGAATTTTTAAGACATTATGCGTTTCCCAACAGAATTCTGGTTCTAGTTCTTTTATTATCGAAAAATGGATGGAATTCAAATAGATTTGTATTCTTTATGTTTGTCTTGAACTATAGGAGGGATATAAAAATGAGTATGAACATAAACTTTACTTACAACAATATTCACATCTTTATTGAGCCTTCCAGTAATTGAAACAATTTCTTCACGACTACGACTACCACTGTAGTAAAGCTCGGCTCCAGCAAATGGTTCATGTGTTTCACCTCTACGTATTTGAGTTTTTAACTCCTCAAATATCACTTGATTGAAGAGAAATAATGAAATTCGTTTATGCAAGGAGATAGATTCATTTGTTTTAGAAAGTATAACGCATTTTCATTTCAGTATTTGAATAAATATCTAACAGCTGATCCTCTCTTACGGTTAAGATACCTGTCTATACAGTTCAATATGAATTATCGATTACTATCGGGAAAATTTGGTAAACTTAAATGAGATACTATATAAGATATTAGTTGTAAGTAAATATAATCAATTTTGTGTTGAATAAGTTAATTAATAATACATGTCGGTAGAAATGGTGAGTAGTTAAATGCTCAAATTTACCTTTCATTGACATATTTTGTTGATACCTTTAGTTCTTGTGGTTTCGAAAATCATGGATTGCTAAAGTGTTGATTCTTTCTATTAAATGTGCTAATTATCTAAAAAGTAACATTAGATCTCTTTGATCTAAAATTTTGGCCAACGATTAAATTCTATACATAAGATTAATGGCAAGTTGGTAATCAACATGTGTACACGCGTTTGAAATTTAATCCATGGATAAGAAATCTACAGAAATATTAGATCAAGAACCATCTGTGAATCACTAAATTGAAATCTAACACTGATGAATTTCATACATTACTTCACATGGTTGATAAAATAGCAATATACCTTAGAAAGTAAAGGAACGAAATGATCTATTTTTTATAAATAGTTAAACTTTTCAACTTACACAACATAAAATCGTCATACGAATCTGAGGAGTAGGGAATAATACGATCAGAAACTTTTCTGACAAACGCATTCGTAACTCCTCTCGGAATACGTACAGCTGTGATTAAACCTGAAAAAACAATACGATTTTTTGAAAACAAAATTGATTTTTTATTTTAAACAAATAAAGCTTCTCTGTCTAATTAAATTTGTTAATTTATAAATCAAACATACCACGTGGATAAGTGCCAGGTGGAGTTAATGTACTTCCATTGAAAACGCCTTTAATTTCCTCACAAGTACTATTATCTCCACCGCATACACGACAACGATCAAAACGTAATCGAGAGCCCAAAATACCATCACAGCCAGTTTCCTGCAAGAAAATATAATAAAATAATACTTTAATGATATATCTACAGCCTTATGTTCACATAGATGGGAAAGATGAAAACGTAGAAGGTTTTTATTTAAGATTTCGCTTTGCCGATTTTCTCATATAAACATCCATATTCATTATCGAATAAATCTAAAGGGTGTATACATTTTAGTAGTAGACTCAGAGTTACTTATGTCTACAAACTGAAGGATGCAGTGTAACAAACAAAAAGTGGAGAGTTTATATCACAGATTGACCTCAATTAAACAACTATTACAAGCCAGGAAAGATTACGCATCTGTTTCACTCTAGTATTAGACTCTTCAGCCGTGTGTGTCCAGGACCACTGTACCAGGGATCGGAGATTCATCACTTTCAGACCTTGTATCAACGTGGCTGCTAACCTTATATCAAATGATTTACATTTCTAACTGTAATTAATCAACAGCATTACTCAACCGCTACTCAGTCATTCATTAATTTCTTAAGTCTTATGTAGATTCTAGAGGTTGAGTGCCCAAAAGCGATGAATTAAGTCCGGGGTTGTGAATGTATATTTCTGAGGAGTCGCACACTAGGACGAAACAACTATCTGGTGCTCCCTGGTTTGCAGTGGTTGTCCAACTGAGATAATTTTGTGGTGTTAACTATATTTGAATGGTCCTTGTTTCTTCTTACACCATGATCAAAATATTTCTGTAAAAATAATGTAAAGCATTTACACCTGTTTTTAATAATTAATGGAAGTGTTTCTGGATTGTAGGTAACTAAATAAAGTTTCACTTTAAGATATGCTACACGATCACTTAAATACAATTTTCACCCTAAAACACTGTACACTTTATCACTTTTGTTTAATAATGGAGAAAAAACAAAACTATATTTGCAGGTATCTATATCAAGGTTGGGATATAACAAAATATATTTATTATTAAAAACTATATTTAGTTATAAAAAAATCCTACTATAGATGAAATCGGAAATTTATTTTTCATGCTTAATTATCAACTTACCCAACATTTGCCTTTTATGCATATATCATCTCTTTGTGTATAACATGGTGTTCCATCTGGTAAGCTGAAACCATGGGATACAGAATGGGAATTATACAAACAGATCAAATTGCATGATGTAGGCTCACCAACTACAATAAAGAAAATGAAAGTTGTTAAAGAAAAAAGAAAAAAGATAAAACTTCACTCATCACAGATAATTTAAAAAAGTCTGCTATAAATATTATTTTCATGACCTAGTAGTTTATAATCTAACTTTATGAGTGATCTAAACCAAATTCTCTGTCGTAACGATCATAATAAAAATTGGTTAGATTTGTTAGAGGTAGTGGTTAGGAAACCGTGAACATGGAGTTCGTGAAAGTTGATACTCATCAGCAAGGTATATCAGTGACATTGAGGTAAATGATGGCTAGTAAAGTATTGACATCAGTGTTATTGGGCTTCATAGTACGGTGCATTAACACTGAGTTATTGGGGCTGCGACTGAACAACTGTAGGATTGAAATGTATGTAATTTATCAATCACTGAATAGTGACCGACTAACATTCAACGTTTCAAACTTTCCACTGCTTTAGAAATAGTTTACCTCAGGCTAAACTTATGCATTTTGATTACTCCACCTAAAAAAACATGTGATTTCAGGACACAGGGCAAAAATACAAGGCTTGTCGGGATAATAGTTAATCGTATGGCAGTCACTTAAGTTGAATTGATTAGTTAATTAGCTGTCTTGGGGAATAAACCCTCATTGTGTTAATGAATAAAGTATCTGAGATGCTTATTAGACCATTTTAGTACTTATCATACAGTCAGGATTGCTCTATTATATTGAATTTTTTAACACCTCAACAATACAATATTATAAAACTCACTACGTTTGCTGAGAAGCAAAATAATTAATTCTGGACTTTTAAGGCTTATACAGTTTTCTTAGTTTAAATCATGAACTGGTCTTAGTTAGGTTACCACTGAAAACTTGGGGGAAGTTGACATCCATTTCATCCAAATACAGAACTCCTCATCTGTGTGCATACACGACCCACATCCAGAAAGTGAACCTTCTCTCTTGCGGGAAAATGTTTAACCTCTATACCACTGAGCCGGGATCTACTGGTTACAAGAATAACTTCAATCAATTCATGATATTGGACAACCACCCATCAGCCCTTGTTTGTGGTGGATAGCCGTCTCATATCTGACATGGTCGAACTTCACTAGTCATGAATTCTCCCAAGAGTTCCAGGAGTTACATGTTGAAACTAGCCAATAGTTCGCACATTATAAATTTTGGTAAAGCAAGATTTGTCAAGAATGTAGAATCTCCGTAGGTTTGACCACAAAGCGGTCCTTATTGAACCACCATGGAAACAACTGTTCAACTTCAATACTTTTTCAAGTCATATGGAGCTCGATAACTCAGTCTATTTATTACATTTACTGCCTTGTGGAGTATATTTTATACTTATTTCCTTCACTCTACCATTAAATGTATTTCATTCTTATCCAGTGAATGATTTTATCTCATCAATTAAGGAAATGATGGAATATTAATTTTTGCACAAATATTTTATGTACGTTTATTCTGCCAGCTAAATTCCTTCAGAGAAGTTTTAAATAAATTGTTTATCAAATAAAATTACAAAGGACACTGTTTAGATTTGTCATTTCTATGTATTACATAATGATATTTATTTTATAGATAAAATATGTTGGTCACAAAATATCCACTGTCCGTTCAGTTGTTATCATCAGATAAAATTTTCTCACAATAATCATTGAATAAACCTATGAATTAATTCGTTGCGTAATATTACTTACTGTCAGTGTATACTTGTATATTTTATGGACACAACCACACAGCATTATAAATGTCTATCTGAACAATGTATAGTTAGATTAATTAGATATATACATATCTTGTTTTGGTCGCTCGTACCGTTTTTTGTCTCTATCAGCATATTCGTTATTTCATTTCAATTTCTTATTTTCTACATAGTTTTGGTGCAGAAAGTAATTCAATACCAGGGTCGTCAATATCCACTCTTAGCTTATTGTGCGTTAGATCTGAGAAAGAAAATTGACGAATTCCAGGTTTGAACTATTTTATATACATTCTAACAAATCCTTTATATTGTTTTGCGTTAAATCAAAATACACAATTTTAAATAATTTAGAGACTACGAAGTTATTGCAAGTTTTATTGTATTTATTATAATGCACTTGAAAATTGTTGCTTAGTGAATTACATTTGCAGGAGTGATCTGAATTTATAATTGGATGTCTGATTCATCGTAACAAGAAGTGATAACAATGTAATTCATTTACCAAAATCAAATTTATATATACAGTTAGATTCTGGTTGCTTGTGAGATAGATAGTAATGAGACGCGGTTGCTTAAATTGAAATAGGAGAAACAAGGTTCGAATGGATACTTTACTGTCATAGTTACTTGTTTTGAAAAGATTGTAACTAAATTTATGTAGACTGTGTCAAGTACTTGAGAAGTTAGTTCTGTAAGCTACAGAAATTTAAAAAAGGGCTTCACAAAGAAATAGAAAAAAAAGTCGAAAACACGAAATTTTTCGTTGTCGATTGCAACTATTTCAGAAATTGTATCATATAGAGAAATCACTCTTTACTAGCAAAATGGTGAACAGTAGTTTTTCTACAGGTGTTAGAAGACAAGTAAGTAGATTTCGTCACTTTGTAATAATGTATCAACCATTGTGCAACACAACATTTATTCAATTGATTTAGTGATCAAATTACGGATTTAATCAACAAAATGTGTCCAATAACATCGACTAAGTAAGATGATGCTGAGAGACATTCATTGAATGGCTGATTATTAAACTGATTACTAATTTGTTCTACGCTTGTTGTGACATATACTGAGAGTATGACATTTAAAAACTTAACATAGAGGTAGAACTTTGTCACAAAAAATTAATAATATTTAGATTAGTTTTAGTCATTTGATATTGAAGATATAGGCTTAGAGCTTCTGCCCTGATAGTTTCTTTTTAAAATTGTTTCTTAAAACTTAATCTAATATATGAGCTATGTAATACTTTTATTTTTCTTGAAAACGTTCTGAATGATAAAACGTATTACTTTCGGATGTTCACGTAACAGAAAGGCGGTATACTAGATGAGGATAGTGAAGCGGCATCAATTAGATGGTTAGAAATAACGTATATGTGGACTACATTTCTTTTACCGAAATGAGGGTAATGGCAAAGTATTTACTTGTCTTGACGTGAACTTATCGCTTTTGTACTTAAACCACTTCATCCTAACACACCGATTAACATTTTCTAAATTATTTTAGGAAAAAGTCTGTCGTTGACAAAACTGTACAGTTGTTCATGAAATTATAAATATTGATCAGGATACTTTAACCAATATTATAAGTAAACGTTCCATAAAAGGAATGAGATATATTTATATTTGATAACTTTTGGTTTTTATAATTTACTCCACAGACACTGACCTTAGTTAGAGAACTACTAAAAACAAGGAAAGAGTGGGCTGGCTGTCATTTTTTAGTATGTGACTCTTCAATACTACACATTCAAAACCTCACCTGGGATCAAACCCACCATTTTAAGAGCGCTGAGTTTGCTTCCAGTAGTTCATATTCCTAACCTTATTCAATTCATGACATTGGTCAACTTTCTTCCGAAGTTGATGAGTAAAATGATTAGTAAGTTTTGATCTTTATCACTTTAATTTTTACACTTAACTTTTACCAAACATGATTTTGTTGACATGTGCGTCTCCAGCACAGTTTTGATACATCAGTTTTCAATTCATTTTTTGAGTATGATCAAATGTTTCACTACTCCTTAAACTACTTTTAGTTAAAACAACTAAAAATCGACAATTAAAACATATTATTAGTAAAGAACATAAGTTATTCAATTCCCTAGGAGTAGAAAAGGTGTAAACGAAATCACTCTTATGTCTCATTGTATACTACTTCTATCAGAAAATCTTACAAGTAAACGACATTTCCAGTAAGGTTAAAAGAAATAATATGGAAGCTGTGTATGATATTAATATGTTATAAATACTAACAAAATGCTTAAAGCTTTTCAAATTTAAACTGTTGGTAAACACTTCTAATGAGGAGTTGATTAGTCAATGAATCAAGGGTGGAAATTTAATGTAGTTCATTGTATTATGGTATAATGTTAATAATATAAACAGGCTAAACAACTATTTTGCTGGTTATATTCATCAAGGATTGATTTCAGTCGGAGTACGTTTTAAAGCCACGGAGTGTTGGGTCCTTCTATAAGACTTCTAAGAGTTCATAACAAGCCTTGAAGGTCCTAAACTTTATCCCTGGTGGGGCCACAGGTTTCTAGTGCTATGTGATCCTACACTATAATGAAACATATGTCCAGTGCTCCCTGGTTTTTAACAGTACCCTTAATGATATCAATTTACAGCGACACACAACTCATATACTATATAAGTTTCCTAAAAACCTTTTCAGCTAGACTATGACGATTATTGTTTTGTTATTTTTGTTCACTAGCAGTCAATGGAATCCCATATTCATGTCTAGTTATTATTATTATGAGTTAAAAGAAAAAAATGTGTATAAAGTAATTTCAAAATAAATGAGTAAGCATTAAAATATCCTTATTAGTGAAGGCTTGAATTATTTATTTGATAAAATTCTATACTGATGTTTTATCAGTCACTTTCGGTACATACGCACTACGTTGGCGGGTGTCTGTATTCGGTAGATCAGTGGATGAAAAGTTTGCGTTTAAAGAGAAAGGTACTAGGTTTGAGTCCCAATGGAAGAATCAACTCCGGGATTCAGTTACATCCAACTGAAATAATGAGCGAAACATGAGTCCTGAATTCTACTACTGATAGTTACAATTCATCTACTTTATTGTAATTATCCGTTTTAAAAAAATTTTAACTTACGTTTCGGAAAGTAAGCTCTTAATTGACCTTTGTATTGTCCATCTATTTTATCACATAACGTTTGGCGAATATTAAGTTGCTTCTCACAAGGCTTCATATATTAGCAGTATATATAAAATAAAAGATAACAGGGTAATTGTTATATTGCTGATAACAAAAGCTGTCAATTACAAAACATAGAAAGTTAACTTAATTCTGTAAACGGAAAAACAATTGTAACAAATATCTATACAATAGTAAAGATTCTTTAATATTGTTGAGAAATTATTGTTTAGTTGAGTGTTTTGTGAAGATTTATTTCGATTTCCACATAATCTCTACCACACACGAACATTATCTCGAAAATCGTTGAAAATCAGAGAGCATCGAAAACTGATTGGAACAGTGTACATGCATTATCCCACATACAATCAAAATCATGATTTCGTGTTTCGTAATGAGCACTTATCTTAAGAAATCAATAATTCGTTGTTGAACTTATCGATTTGGTATGTGAAGGAAACCATTGAAAATAGTATAGAACCGATAGAATTTGGCTAAGCGTTAAAACTGGAATGTGCGTTTCGACCTATTTGGGACTTGTCAGGATGTACCTGATTCTCAGTACCAATGTTCACACGAAGATTTAAATCAAATGCTTTTCGTTTCAAGCACCTTGCGAATTATCCACTAGCCTACTGAGTTCATGTATCCATCTAATTGTGCAACGGGTATGAATTCAATTTATTTACAAAAGCGTTGGAGTTTTCTTGTGATTGATATTCTCCATCAAATTTTGATCAGTCGAGACCTTAATATACATCAACTTGAAGATATAAGTACATTCAGTTGACAAGCCCCAAACGAAACGAAATACTTATGATAAATTCCCCTACTAGCCATAATTTATCTCTTCTATAAAAGTTGCGACAAAACGGCCATATTAAGTTGGGTAACACAGAATGCACATATACCAACAACGATTGATAGAAATTGATTCAAGGAGACGAACAACAGGAAAACTCGAAACCATTACTATTTCTTATCTCTATGTTAAATTCTAATACATATTTGGTTGTAAGCAGCTGAAAAAAACCCACGAAATATAATGAATTCATATTATTCTGCATCAATATCCGTTCTGGTTTTATTTAAATTCATAAAGGGTACTAACTGCATGAGACAAATTAAACTGTTTGTTCGTTTATTTGCCACCAAAGAATTTTCCATTTCATTGCCTATCTTATACCAAGTTAGGCAATTAAAAGACAAATAGTTTGGGTATGTAGTTTAATTATTGGGGGAATGGATTCTAAGTTCGTTTTCTTCAAATTTAAAACCCATATTTTCCAAACTTTGCCTTATGTTAAGTTTATTTATACAAAAGGTACAATTGTACCATACTGCTGAAGATGAATGACTCACTTAGTATGATTCCCTTGTATATTTTCTTAACTAATGATCATGTAGATAGATTGAACAAATAATATGGTAATAATGAATGATGAGTATAGAATACTTACAACATTTTACATGGGTTTTGAATTGTTCAAACTTTACCACAGATTTGTTTCATAATAACAAATAGATTTCGAGGATCTTTACATTGGTCCAATGTCAGTTATATTGTATGGTGGTACATTTAGCTGATTCTCATTAGTTCAAAGAGTTTTATTGACTGCAAGAAGATATCGTTTTTGAAATCACTCAAAAATTGAATGGTAACCAGTACTGCTTTATAAAACCTCCGGAAAAACCCCAAGTCATGTTCTTAAATCTGATTGGTTCAGAGCTCTTTGAAAGCCTAACCTCTCAATGGATTATATAATATTGAAAACATTTTATTCGACAAACTTTTATAGAATTTTAAATTTTGATTGAATATTCCCCCTTTGTTTTATTTGATTTACTTCATAGACCATTTAATTTCCTCTCTAGAATGTTTTTACCATTATCAAAAATGATATCTGACAAGGATAACATGTTTCAAAAAGGGTGATTTTTTGAGTTTTTATAGTATTTTAAATACAGCATCCTTTTCATTAAAAAAATTTATAATTTTTTAATCCTTTGTTTCAGTTATTGTGACTGGTAATATAGTTTATCAATGTTTAGTCATTTTATTCTGATTTCAACATGGTAAACTACTTAAATATCATATGATGCACTTTTAGAGCAAAGTGCGATTCATAGTTTACATCACGAAATGACTTGACGTAAAAAAAACTACTTAACATAAGAAAGCGTTGGTCTGATGTTTTGCTCCGGTTTTCTTCTCAATGGTATGTGTCTACGATCTCTACAGAGATGGAACGCGAGACTTTCCGGTTTCATGTAGAGTGCTTAGTCCCTAGACCACTAACACGGCACTCACCATTGTGCATATCTAACTTCAGTCAATTAGCGTTATTACGCAATAATATTACAAATGCACTGGTGAACAACTGTTTCATAGCTGATAAGGTTGAACTCTATTGGTCACAGTTCCTCACTAGAATTCCTGAAATCGAATCCCGAAGTTATTCATTAGTGAGTGATTGGTTACCAATAGTGCAATCATTTTGAGGATATTTTCGAATTTTCATTGTTTGCATGACTAACTTACCTGAGTTAAACAACTGTTGAAAATCAAGAAGCGCTAATTTTCAACAACTGTCTGAGTATGATCACTTTATGATGTAAACTACGAAACTCGATAACCTCAAACCTGTTACAACAAAGATACTATGAATTCTGTAAAAAGTCAAAATCTGTGTAATACATGTATAAATTCAGTGAATTAACATAAACTTTACCTCAGTTCCACATGACCTCATTCGAGTTCGTGTTCCATGACAAAAATTACCACCATTCTGAGGTCTAGAATAGGACGTATAGAAGAATGTATGGTAAAAAAAAGCAAATTTGATGAATTAAATTTTCTTAGTGATTAGGTACCAGTTAATTATAACGAAATAGCATGTTTAACGTTGGAGTTCATTGATACACATTTCATTGATGAATGTCAAAATAACAGTAGTGATGAAAATGTACTCATGTGTATTAGTTCCAACTAATTACATTTCTAATTTGAAAACCTCCTGACACGATGGAGTTTTCACTGAGTCCACTAAGAAAATTTTACTTACAACCGTATAGTAGATGAGAAAATGTTTTAACAAAGTTTTTTAAATTATGTTTCTTGTATTAAAGCTCGTAATTTAATACTGGTTGCCTAGGTAATTATTTCTTCTTCCATACTGCATAATCTTAATCAACCATAAAAACCATCATTTATGGTCAGTGAATTCACATTTCGACTAACGAATTCATTGATTAATAAGAAATAAAGTTGTGATAAATGTAAATCATGCATAAATCGCTTCTTTTTCAACAGCCTAAAGTTGTATAATCTTTAGAATAGACTTGAGTTATCCGGTTGTTAATATTCAGGATTGAATTCTGATCAGTTTTTAATATGTGAAACATGTATGAATGGAATAGATATGGTCATTTTATAACAAGTATTTTAGAATAGATGGATTGTGGCTAGCATCCACAGAAATGCCATATCAACGCGATTGATATAAACCGGCGAAGACCAATCAAAATTCAGTCCCGAATATCAACAACAAGGTAATTCAAATCGCTACTTATAATGACATAAACATTATACCCGTTAGATAGTTTAGTGGTTGTCTAGACTTGATAGATCAACGCATAACATGTTAGCATTTCATGAGAAAAGCATTAGATTTTAGTCTCAGAATAAATATCAACACCGAAAACAAGGTTTGCCCAGCTGACGATTCCTGGACCGTATGAAACTCATATTCCACTACAACCGGAAGGTTGTCTAATCTGGACTTGATTTTTATGAGTCTAAAGTCAGTTCAAGAACTATTGGAAAGTCAGAGAGCACTGAATAACTGTTGGTCCTATTTCAGAACTCTTCAGTGTTGTGCATTTATAATTCACCTTTGGGCTTAATGCTTTCAACATTACCAGTCCATCTAAACAATTAATTATAATATGACAACAATGATCTCTAGTTTTTAGGGTTGTGCATAGTGCTTCAAATATTTGACCTGTAAATTTTAAAGTAACTATTAGGAAATGCAGATCGATCTGAATTAGAGGTTTGCTAACACATATTAAAATAAGTGTATTCATACTTATGCAAATGTTTAGTCATCTAAAAGTAAAAGCCTACACCATCGCAAATCTTGTCACCAATGATAAGTAGATTTGTGTATTCGTCAATGTTAAGTTTCAGGCTAGACAAGAAAATGATTTTCTGAAGTAAACTTTGATCTTCAGTTATCCTTAATCAGTGATAATTGTCATTTGTTTGTGGAAAAAGTTTATAACTTCATTTCAAAATGTCTGTTACATGAACACTTGTTGCAGACATCTTAGTTACTTCCTATAACCCAAGACTACTTGTTAACATGAACTCGGACAACAGAGTAAAGGAGCAAAATGTGAGTTAATGTTTTACCTCAAGGTTAATTTTTGTACGGGAACTAGAGTATATTTATTGGTTTTCAAATGACTGATAATCTGGAAACTCCTCGAAACATACTAAATATAATAACAATATTAGTAATTGTACAATGAAACTTGACGGTTTTCTAGATGTCTCTGAGAATCGTTTATTCACTCGTGATTGGATAAAATGTTTTCATTATTTTTCTGAGCCTACAGAGACTTGGTGAAGAAATATTCATTAAACCATAACATATTGAAGCGCAAATATTTAATTATTTCCTCAACGATGTTTGTGTAAACATTATTCATAGACGTGAGAATAAATAGCTTATCGAATTAAGAAATTTTTTAGTCATACTCATTATAGTTATAAGGTAAATTCTAACATAAATTGGCAAAAATATTACTGTCTTACTCAGGATTATTGCATTCACGTTCGGAAAATTGTACTCCACCGCCACAACTACGTGAAACACTTTGACCATGATCCCCATTCACCCCAATTTCCATGTAATGGAGTTGGATTTTCATTAGTTGATACACATCGTCCCTGAATACACCACTAAAAATGAAAAAAAGTAATGTTGATAATAATCTGGAGAAATTGGTAAATTCTACGTATGACAAGAACTTAAATGTTTAGACAAAATAATTTAAAATCTGAAGTAATTTTTATTGTAAAGTTACTTTGAAAAAATGATTAGAAAAAGCGGTTAGTATTTGGCACCGTCACTGTGTTTTATACAATGATACTTGGCTGAAGTCATTCAAAAACGATCATCATTTTGCAATTTTATGGTTTCGTGACGAAAAGAATGAGACGTTTCTTTAAACTATAGCAATTTGTATTTAGTTGAAGTTCTTAGCATGTTACGTTTCGCAACTTAAGATAAAGATATGTAAATTTCAGTCCTGATTCTCAATACTTTTGACAATAAGAAATATCAACCAGTCTCAACCCTCGATATCGGATATCATCTAGTTATTAAAGGGGATTTTTCCTCTTAAAATAATAAGTGATCAACGAATAAGTACAGAATTATCTATTATATAAATATACGTTAACAATTTTAAGATTAAACTTTGATGGAAATTACAATTATCTAAATTCATTACGAAGTCTGAGGAATTTCAATGTCATTTAAACAAATTATTTACGAATTTTAGGAGTAAACATCTACTATACAGTTTTTAATAATCAGCATTTTATATCAACGGATATTGACTGCATGAGATAATTAAAATAAAAATAGACTGACCAAATTATGTTTGTGCTCGTTCACTACTCAGTGTTTGGGATAATACTTTAAAATGAGAGACCTTGGACCCTCATTGTACACACTTAGAACAGATTAACAATCTAGTTCCGTTTTGTTGAAATTTGAACAGGATATAATAATTATGGGGCTTAGAATTGACCTTTATAATAAATACTTCAACAATTAACCTTAAATTACCAAGGTAACATAAATGAATACTGATTATTAATCTTATTCATTGTTCATTAATCTTTAAATTTTCGAGTGGCTAAGTTTTCCATAATCTCAAGGATTGGACCTTAACAACTCCTTTACAACTTTTTAAGAACTGTGTTGGTGTCAATTCAATGGTCTGTAATGATTGTGTGCTAATGATACAGGGCTTACTGCTTCCCATTTTTATCAGAGCATTTTATACTATTTGAATCTCAAGGTATATTAAGGTATATGTTCTATTCACTTTGATTGTATTGTTGGATTACTCTTACCTATATACCCATGCTTGTAAACGCAATTAATGGAATTGGTACTTCTTGGTTATAAATGAAAACGCCAATAAAACGTTCGGTTGGGTATAGAATCCACATTGTTAAGTCATCCAAGTATATCGTAGTCAGTAATTACGGTCGTGTTTTCATTTATTTAGTCACGTAATTTTAGATATTTTGAAATGTATTTTATTAGAGAGTTAATTAAAGTTATGACCTTTACAATCTTGTAATTTTTCTTCAATCTTAACTGACGGCGCTAAAATTGACAACTCCGTAGTACAATAGATTGGTAATTTCGTAGTGAGAAACATTACGTTTTTCATGTAAGCTATAACGATAAAGAGCGAGACACACCATCATGTGTTACTTACTTACTTATGCCTGTTACTCCCAATGGAGCATAGGCCGCCGACCAGCATTCTCCAACCCACTCTGTCCTGGGCATTCCTTTTTATTTCTATCCAATTGTTGTTCATTCTTTTCATGTCTGTCTCCATTTTTCGGCGTAATTTGCTCTTTGGTCTTCCTCTTTTCATATCGCCTTGGCGATTCCAAGTGAGGGCTTGCCTTGTGACGTGGTTGGGTGCTTTCCTCAATGTGCGTCCAGTCCACTTCCAGCGATTGTTCCTGATTTCTTCCTCCGCTGGAATCCGGTTGTTGCTGATAGTGTCTAGCCAACACACCCGAAGTGTTTTGCGTAGACAGCTGTTAATAAACACCTGTATTTTCTGGATGATGGTTTACGTAGTCCTCCAAGTTTCCGCCACATACAGTAGAACTGTCTTGACATTTGCATTAAAAATCCTGACCTTGGTGTTGGTTGACAGTTGATTTGGGTTCCAGACGTTCCTCAGTTGTAAATATGCTGCTCTTGTTTTGCCGACCCGCGCCTTCACATCTGCATCAGATCCACCGTGCTCATCAATGATGCTGCCCAGATATGTAAAAGTTTTTACATCTTCCAAATCTTCTCCGTCAATTGCGACTGGATTGATGCATGCTGTGTTGTTTCTGAGAATCTTGCTTTTCCCTTTGTGTATAATGAGACCTACTGATGCTGAGGCTGCTACCACACTGGTCGTCTTCTCCTGTATTTGTTGTTGCGATTGCGATAGAAGAGCCAGATCATCTGCGAAGTCTAAATCGTCCAGCTGCATCCTAGATGTCTACTGTATCCCGCGTTTCCCTTCAGATGTTGGTGTCTTCATAATCCAGTCGATCACCGGGAGAAAGAGAAATGGTGAGAGTAAGCAACTTTGCCTTACACCGGCATTTACCTCGAACGAGTCTGTCAACTGTTCTCCATGCACGATTTTGCGGTTTAATCCATCATAGGAATTCTGTATGATGTTGACTATCTTCTCAGGTACGCCGTAGTGTCGAAGAGGCTTCCATAGTGTTGTTCTGTCCACGCTATCAAATGCCTTTTCGTAGTCAATGAAGTTGATGTAGAGTGATGAGTTCCATTCAAGTGATTGTTCCACAATGATCCGTAGAGTTGCGATTTGGTCTGTACACGATCTATCCTTACGGAATCCTGCCTGTTGGTCACGAAGTTGGACGTCTACGCAGTCCTTCATCCTGTTTAACAATACCCTGTTGAAGACTTTTCCCGGTATTGAGAGAAGAGTGATGCCCTTGTAGTTATCACACTTGCTGAGATCGCCTTTCTTCGGTATTTTGGTCAGAAGTTCTTCTTTCCAGTCTTTTGGTACTTGTTCCTCATCCTAAATCTTATTGAAGAAAATGTGGAGTATCCTTTCAGTCACCGCTACGTCTGCATTTAGTGCCTCTGCTGAGATGTTGTCCGGTCCTGTTGCTTTGCCACTCTTGATTTGTCTGATGGCCATGCTGATTTCTTCAATTGTTGGTGGGACAACATTGATTGGGAGGTCCGTGGGTGCTGCTTCAATATTGGGTGGGTTGAGTGGGGCTGGTCGATTCAAGAGTTCTTTGAAGTGTTCTGTCCACCTGTTCCGTTGTTCTTCAATGTTGGTGATTACCTCGCCTTCCTTGCTTTTCACTGGTCGTTCTGGTTTACGGTGGTTTCCAGAGAGTTCCTTTGTCGTGTCATACAGTTGTCTCATGTTTCCTTCTCTTACAGCCTTTTCCTCCGTCATTGCTAGATCTTCCACATATTTACGTTTGTCAGTTCTGATGCTCCTCTTCACTTGTTTGTTTACTTCTGTGTATTCAGCTTGTGTCCTGGCTTTTTCTGCTCTTGTTCGACTGGTATTGATTGCTGCCTTCTTGTTCCTCCTTTCTTGAATCTTATCCAGTGTATCAACAGTGATCCATTCCTTGTGATGGTGTTTCTTGTGGCCCAGGACCTCATGACGTGTTGAAGTGATTGCCTCCTTGATCCCCTTCCAGTTGCTCTCCATAGTAGTTCCTTCTCCATTGAGTAGATCATGAAAGGCCTGGAACTTATTACTGAGGACTATTTTGAGTTTGTTGAGTTTGCCAGTATCCCGAAGAAAGGCCGTATTAAACTTTTGTGCTGTTGTCGGCCCCATGGTCCAGTGCTTTTTGAGTTTTAATTTCATCTTGGAGATCAGCAATTGATCATCTGATGCTATATCAGCTCCCTTCTTGGTTCTCACGTCTTTCATCGCCCTCCTGAACTTTTTATTGATGCAAATATGGTCGATCTGGTTTTGTGTAGTGTGATCCGATGAAGTTAATGTGGCTTTGTGTGTGCGTTTGTGTTGGAATATAGTGCCGCCTATAACCAGTTTGTTGAAGGCACATAGGTTTGCAAATCTCTTGCCGTTCTCGTTTCTTTTTCCCAGTCCTTGTCGTCCCATGATTTATTAATATCCAGTGTTGTCCATTCCAATTTTGGCATTTAGGTCTCCCATCAGAATGGTCAAGTTCTTTGTTGGACACTTTTCGACGATTGACTGCAGCGTATCGCAAAATTGATTTTTAGCGTCTTCATTGTAGTCGTAGTTAGGCGCATAGCATTGGATGACGTTCATTGAAATGCCGTCTTTCTTTGTTTTGAAGGAGACTTTGATGATCCTCGGTCCATGAGATCCCCATCCTATAAGTGCATTTTGTACTTGTTTGTATAGCATCAGTGCATCTCCTTGTATATGTTGAGCATTTTCTTCTTCATGGCCGGAGCATAACAGAGGATCCCCTGAAGCTATTCGTTGTTGTTCTATCTGCGTCCAATGTGTTTCACTGATTACAAGCATCTCCATATTGTATCTCTTCATTTCTGCAGCAATTTGGAAGACTCTCTCGGTCTCCCACATTGTACAAGCATTCCATGTATCCAAATTAATGGCTGCTCTCGTTGTCAGAAGGGGTATCAGCCTCGTGAATTCCGAAGGAACTCGGCTTTCAACAAGAGGCGTCATAGCTCTTCTGAATGAAGACCTTGTAACTCCCAGGGCAGAGTTTTAATTCCGCCTGGAGCCTCCTTGGGCTACTACCGGTCCTAAGCTCGGATTAGGGAGTAAGGTTGGGCATGGGGTTTACGACCCTATTCCGCAGAAAACTCACTCGCTAAAAGAACGCTAAGTAGAAAAAATCATGGGTTACATTAGTGTAAATAATAATTCGAACTTCATCCTGGTAGGTTTTCAGGTGTAAGGTCAAAATTGAGAGCAAGTATGTAGTTTATCCTCAGTCAAACATCCAGTTTGATTATATTGCAAAAGAACACACCTTAAAAATAATTTGTTCTGCACTAATAAATGGATTATTCACCAAATATTTAAACGTTAATATTTTGAACAGAACAAAACTAATCGTTTGCACGTATTTATATGGAGAAATGAATAAAGTGCCACATGTTCATTGTACTATACATGTCCTGCCCAACTTACCTAAGTTAACTTTCTAAAGAGAACCCAAGATCATGAATTAACACGAAGGTGTTTGGTGAAATCTGTTGCAAGTTGATATATCCATATATATGTATATATATCATCTATCTATATACACAGCAGGGAATTATTCCTTTGATATCGAACTTGGAAACACGTTTGTGTATTGTACGTTAACTATAGTAGTATGCTAAAATCATTTTTTTAAATTAAACCAACCGCTTATGTGTTTGCCCTTTCAAACCTATGTCATAGTCTGTGGTAATATTAGAAAGTGAATCATGTTTACTAAAGACCACCATTGATGCACATGACATTGTGTTTGATAAATAGATTGTTAAACTTCCTTTTTTTCATTTTAGGTTTATAAAGATTTTTAAAAAAATATTTTAGAGAATTATCATAGATTTCTTTGTTTATTAACTTGAATTAATTATTAAAATGCTTGATGAAATGTTTAAGGATTTCAATTTGTAAGGGTTATCAAGAACCAAGTGATTGACGAACCAGAAGTATGATTAAGACCTCGAACAAGTTATTATAATTTACATCGCGATCTTGGTTTAATGACCTCTGAAAACCAGTATGTACTGAATGGGCACTGGCAAAGAATCCCTATCTACAGTAAATTAGCTCTACAATGCTTTCCGGTTTACAACGGCTACTTACTTTAGGTTGGTCCTTGATTTTAACTATAAAAAGTTCGACAATCTCCACAAACCCTCCTTACAGTGATCATGATTCATCTGTTTTAGGCTGACCATAGTGAAGAAGATATTTATGCATCTTAGTAAGGTCTAGTGTGAAAAATGGTATGTCATAAGCAGTCACTTCTCAAATGCTTTATGTTGTCATTTGAATCAATGACCTGAAGCACTGAATACAAAAGAAGCACAGTCAACCTCTTGGAGGCATCACATTTAGTCAGTTGATAATCATTCTTTTGATAAAGTAACTCAATACACTTAGATTCATTCTTTTTGGCTATTTTTCTTTCTTACTATGTGCTGGCTTCATTTTCATAATCTATTACGTGATTCACGTATTAAGTAATCGCTATCGTCTCATGTCACTTATTATTCCCATAGTTTTATTTGACTCGTAGCCTATTTCAAGTTGTCAAATATTGTCAAATATATATAAGTGGCGTTTGTTGAGAGTATTGAATTTTTCAGCTAATGTCATGGACTAATCTGAATCAGACAACCATTGAATAACAGGAAGCACTAGACCATTGTTACATTCTAATACTGAACTTTCCAGAAGTTCTCATTCACAACTACAACAGGGTCTAAAATGTCAGTCATTCGATACCTACTCAGTAGTTTGAAGTTAAAGTGTCTACCATAGGGCTCGAATGTTTTGTGTTCGATCCCCAATGGGGTCATGAATGTGCATTATTAGAGTCCTATACTAGAACAAAACTGCTATTCAGCAAATGCTGGCTTCAAATATTTGTCTAAGGTCAATTCCTAATGTAAGTTGGAAAATAAATCAGTAATTGTCACCGACGACAGTCACCAATTTTTTCAGAAATTTGATTTACTACATAAACAAGAAAGTAAATCATGTGAATTAATATTGTACACAACACTCATAAATAATGGTATAACTAATTAGTATGTATTTTTCTTTCTAAGTGAATTATGAATCTTGTTTCTTGGTTTGTGGGGTAGTTTATAACATAATTTTATTATGGGTAACATACTATAAAATATATTTTGGCTTAATTATAGATAATTATATTTTCCCGAAATCTTGTAATTAAATCAAAATAATTGATAAAACTAAACGTATTAAAGCATAAAATAATTTATTCAACGATGGGAACTTCTTCGATAAGTTCAATTTCAATGTCGTACAATTTTACGTATATGTAGTAGATTATAGTCGAACAAATAAATATTATGTCTATAAGAATTTGATTAACTGAGAGTTGAAATCTGATTACACTATTTTAAATAAAGGAGGAAGTTTATAGAACATCAGAAATAGATAATCAATAAGGTAAAATAATGGAACTGTTAGTATCGTGAAGTTGAAGTAAATATATGTGGAAGGTATTAAATCTATTAATATTTTTGATTGAATTCTGTAAGTTATTTTTAATAATGAAGCCGAGGTTTAACATCCTGCGCCTACTACATATTGTAGAATCGATTATGTAAATAACGTGTTCAATTTTGCTGAACTACACAAGTAGATATTTAAGAATGCGATGGAAATGTGGCCTTGACGACCAACTTAAGTACCAAGCCTTTCATTAGCAGCTGAGGCGATATACTATTATTTATGGGACGAGATACCAGAATTCAGACGAATTCGGAAGTAGTAGTAGCAGAAGTTCTATTGAAGTTCTAAGTACAGCATATAATACACTTTGTAATAATTCTTAAAACTAATTATGTCACGGCCTGACATAAATTTGTGAAAATAGCAATATATTCTAGTATCTTAACACTCTGAAACAAACACATTATGATAATATGCTCATAAACTACGTGTATCATTACGCTTGATTCTTGACACATTCTCATTGTACCAATCAAAAGACAAATGTGTGATAAAATCAGTAAACACATCAACGTAAAAAGTGGATTTGAATTTGTTGGAATGACAGCATATACGTACATAGCAGTCAAACATGCGGTGTTTCCTGAAATAACATGATTATTTACTTATATTTTACCGACGGGAAATATTGGCTACAAATGCAAATAAATAGTATAAAGGAAAATGGATAAATCGATGGAAGTAGGTAAAATGAAGCGGCATTTGCTTTAATAGACTTTAAACATATACTTCATGTTTATCAATGAATTTTTTTTCAAAAACGGATACAACAAAAGATATACTCTTGGTTTGATACTAAGAGGCATGCAACTGGCTAAACTAAAATGGGCCGTCACATGATAAATTAATTTTATGCAACAAATCGGTGAGTTAACTTAAGCATTTAATCACTTTAGCTGACACATATCCCTTGTTTTCATTGATACCCCTCTTGAGGACAGTTTGTGGAAAATATCTCCTTCAATTTAAGGTGCTCCTTACAAAACGTTTACAATGATACCACTGATTAAAATTCATCACCTTCAGGTATAATTTTATTTTTTTCAAGAGCTGATATAAAGGATACATTAATTATGTTCTAAAATCCCTGAATCAAATTTCTATATGATACTCTGTAATCAAAAATCATTATCTCAGCGGTTAATAATCAAGTTGAAGTTACACAGCGTCTCTATACGACGCAATATACACTAGGTTTGAATTTAATTGGTTTACTCTTGCCCTCTAGTTCACAGTTCTCACTTTGTGTTAGCCTATGGAGTAAAATATACAAAGAGTATAACTAAATTTAATATATACTGGTAAAGGTTATGTTAATGACTCATGAATAATTTTGACACATCCAGGATGGTTTTAGTAGTTAAGTTGATAAGTGATCTTCTTTATGAAGTTTTCAGTATGTGTTATTCATAAACATATCTTTACCGATTGCTGTAGCCATTTCATATGAAACATAAATCAGTCAGAACTTGTTTCAGTTTCTCTTGGTTAGGGCGAATTCTCTATGATACCATGTTGTTAGTGATGCATGGTATATTAAACAACACTGTATTATAAAAGCCCTTGATCCCTTTTATGGTCGTGGGTGCTTATTGTTAAGCAGTTTTATTCTACAGTGAAGTAATTATCGAATGAATACTGGTTTTCAGTTGCTCCAATTCAAAGGCTTAATGTATCCCAAAATTTACAAACAAATGGTTAAGAGACCATTGTGTCACCAGCTTTTATCAACTTTCAATCAACGTGCATATATTTATTTGTGACAAAAAACATAATAAAACTTGTTAAACACATAAAATCACTGTATACACCAATGTTTTCACCATTCCGGCGGCATCACAAGAACTTCAGTGTCGCCTAAGGTATCGTACCTGAGAGGTAGGAAGGATATTTTCATAGCTTAGTTCCTTTACAATGAGAAAATCACGTTATTCCTTATGAATTGCAAAATTTAAAAAGTAACACTTACTTTACTACTCCCGCATGGTGTTCCCTCAGCCCAAGCCGTTTCCATTGGTAAACATGATCTATGTTCACTATCTTGACAATATAGCTGGCGACAAGCCGGAAGCTAATTATTAAGATAAAAGTTACTATTAGTACGTAGTCAAGTAAATTATAATTTCCGTACATAGATCAAATCTTTACAAGTCAAGGAAAAAAAATGAAAAAGTGTTTCTTCAAAGTCATCAATAGTCAATAACATTTTCAAGGGTTTACAAAAAGTTCAAAATAATGCGGAATGGAATATCGTCTAAAAAACTTTTGAATTCACAAATGAAGTCAAATATTTATGTTGGCTGTCATTAAAATTCATGGATTATTATTTATTTTGGTTAGTTCACCATATGAAATCTTAGTGATTTGTGGTAGTTTTTGTAACTGAATATAATACAGGTGCTCAACTGAAATATCGGCTAGATATATTCGTATTAATTATACCAGCAATCTTGACTAAGTAGCTTTAAACTGTCGCCTTTGTCATAAAGTTTAAAAGATTCTGTTTTTTATCCTGAGTAAAGTAGTAAGTGGACGAAATAGCTCTTCATAGTCTCCTGGTTGATGAAATGATTTGTCCGGTAGCGTCGGTTCACACGTGACAAACGGTCTCAAAGACAATCAGTGCATGGTTTGAATCTTTTCGAATGTCGTTGTTGCATAATATTTAGCTTTGGGTTAGAATAGGATGACTCTACAGTGCTTCTTGATTTCTAATATTTTTTCTAGCTAATGATATGAACTATTTTTGTACAAACCATTTTTTCAATTTTCATTGACAGATAATTCAATCATATAAATATGTTGCGAAAGTAATGGTATGTTCACCGAGTAACATTATTCACTGACCGTGCGAATTTCAAGTTTAAGATATAAAGATATTTACTGGGTTTTCATCTGATTGATTTTAACCATTTGATGTTAAAATGGTTCATTCTTAGTTTCAGTTGGCTAAGTATATTGTATCCGCTCAAGCAAACTTAATCTCCATCTATTTTAAGAGTAAATTCATGAATAGGATTTTTTTGGAATGTAAAGACTAGACCTTTTAAGCATCAAGCAGCAATAGGTTTTTAGATTTTTCCAGTTGGTTATTAGTAAGCAATTACTAATAGCTCATAATAGTTTTCATCAATGATGTGTTATATTATATACCTAGATGAGCCTGTTCACTCGTTTAGATCATGGGAGAAGACACAGGTTTTTTAACCAGTAGGCATCCTAGACTTTTTGAATACTAATAGGATAGCTAGCTAAGATTGTAAACCAGCCTAAATGTTTCACCTCAGTTTTTGAATCCAGTAATTATAATTGTTAAAAATGACACAGCTCACAAATTTATTGTAACGTATTTAAAATTATTCTGATACTTATTAATTTGTCATGAAATCATATAAGTAACCGACAAATGCAGACCTAATATTATGAATGAATGTAGAAGATGCATATTACTTACGACATTAAAACTGATCATCTTATTTTCTTCAAAATAATACGTAAATACTTTACAAATGTGGAACATTTGTTTACAAGTATTGTTTTTCTGTTTACTATGGTATTCAGTTTATGAATATCAGAATACACTACTTATTAATTGTAAGTGTTGTTTATGTTTTGAAGTGATTATCCTTTTCGGTATTTTGCCATAACAGTTCTGAAAAACATTTGACGTTTATATTTTGTAAACTTTTTATAATAATAGTCAAAAAAGGTTTTTGTAGATATTATAGTAATTTAATAGTTGAATTCACGAATCAATTGAAGCTAGACCACCATGGAAAACTTAGAAGCACTGGACGGCCGTTTCGTCCTGCTCAAGAGTCCTATACTAGGATGAAACGGGTGTCCAATGTTTCCAGGTTTTTTATAATTGTTTAAATTTAGCACATGGTTTATTTTCTCAAAAGTATTTTCACATACGTTGAAAAAGTTGTGATTATTTGGTCTCAGCAGATAAGTAGATAACGTATTGTCGCTTTAAAAGCGAATAATACTGTGTTTCATTGGAGGTGGGAATACCTACAGTGGGGTGCATGTATATCCATTTGTGATAAGTCGAAAAAGAACTGATGCTAATCTTAGGCATAATTGCAAAACTGCTAATATCACGGTAGTTAGTTTTATTGAAGAGGTTTTATGGCGTTCAGTTTAAGTTACAGGTAGCACTTGACCTAGATTTATCTTATTTGAGGTGCCCATGAAACCAAGCAGAATTGGATAGGGATTTTGTTCTGGCATAGGATTCGTTAACAATTGGTACTTATGAACTAAATGCAGATTGAACTTCAGCTCTCTCTCTTCAGTTGTGTAAATTTTGTAGGCTGGCTTCCTACAGTAAAATTTCAAGCCTGGTCAGTAAGCCATATAGCATTGCGAACACACATTATTAATGATGACAACTATTTTATTCCCGACGTGCTTGAATTTCATTCATTACAACCGTGTAGGCGAACTTGGGGAACATCCCAAAGTAGGTCACTACTAATATAATCTGTTCAAATAATCTACAATTATTAGGGGTCATGGATGCTTGCTGATGATGATTTGCGTAGTGGGGTGAAACAGTGTCCCTTAGAATTTAATTAAAACCTATATGAAATCAACCTATGACGAATAGCGCCTACAAAGTAAAGTGGCCCTTACAAAAACCACCTCAAATAAGCTTCAGTAGTTAGCTCACTAATGGATTACTTTAAGATATCCTCAAAGTACCAGTGAAATGTTGTTAATGGTGAAGTTCAAACACGTTTTATATATATGAGTTCTAGAGTGAACATTAACTCTGAGACGCAGGTACATCCAGCTGACGGGTCGCAAACATGACGAAACGCATATCCTGGATTCCACTGTCACCCGTCATCCATATCTGCTTATTATACTTGTGACTTAAGGTAATATCGAGGCAGTCCGCATAAGATGCACATACTCCAATAAGAGATTGATCATCTGCAGACGAAAACATCAATGGGAAGATTCAAATAACCAATTTAAAAAATATATGAATATATTTGTTATCACAATCCATTTACTAGATGCTAAATCTAGTTAAAATTATCAGGTAAAACCCTTGACTTGATATTTGAATAACATATGGAATAACGTTGAAATATCTTACCAAGACAAGGTATATAGAAAGCTGGAAATTTTCAGACTAGATACTGTACTGCTAAATTAAGTTCATATTAAGCTTTCAATAGATTATGAATTGCTTTCAGTCCACGATATCACAATTTTATAACAAAACAATTATATAATTGAAATATCACATTTTTTTAACTTACCATCTGACCACAGAACTGTGTTCCTTTAATTTTTAACACTAATTCACATTGTTGATTAAGTGAGAATATTTGCCCAGGACGATTATCTATAGATTGACTAGCTAACTTTTCAGCTGAATAAAATGTTGTTTCAGAGTTTAAATGTCTTAAACAATTAGCAGCATTTGATCTAATCATTTTAAAATTAAAAAAAAATGACAACAGATATTGTTACCAAAAATGAAAAGTAATTGTCATAATTAAAAGGATGCTGAAAGAATTGTAGATTTCGGAGTTATCTTAATGTTTACATTTTTGTTGGATAGCTATTCGGCACTTGAGTTATTATATGCTTACATATTTTCTTCTTTTGGTTTATAAAGTTTTGTTGTATAATTTCCCTTGTTTGAGTTATTTCTTAATTAGTTGCAAACGTTTTGCTTAGCTCGCTTTCACTGTAATTCCCTATTTATGTTAATATGTATTATTGTATGAATTTGAGTTATAAGAGGCTATCAGCGACGAAATAGAGATCTGCTTTCTGTGATTACTTATCAGACTGAAGACGGGGTATAGAGAAACGGGATCTCCTTGAACTAATAGGTGTTTGATTATCCCACTCATATCTCATGGGGAATCTTTGTCAGTCGAATCGTGTGAATGTTTACATGGTATGATATTCTTCTATAGATTAAACACATATATACGGAGTGCTGAATACTAATTCTAATTCTGATTGGTGAATCTTACTGAGTAGTATCAATTAAACCAAAATTATAACAGTAATCAAAATGGAAAATCCCAGAAAGAATTAAAAATAATGGTTACAACACATCGTATTCAACAAAGAATTGGTTTAAATTATGACTAAACACTAATCTTTAAAAAAGTTTTTTGAAACAAAATGAACCCAAGGAAAGCAGTCAGCAATAACTGAGTACTAAAATAAATTCAACGATTATTTTTCCCCTTAGACCTATCCTATCAACTCACCGTATCATAAAGTTGCACGCTGGTTAGCAGAAAAGCTAGAACTGGTCCGTTGGAGATTAGCAACATATACGTTAAAAGATTCATTCCAGTTTGCTGAAAGACTAAGTTCATGGTTTCCTTTGATGTAACATCCTTGTTCACTAATATACCACTTTTTGAAACTATTGATATAATTTGTCAGAATTATGATCTCCTACATTTACCAGCCCCAGAATTCAAAAAAACTACTATTAATATGCACAACAGACGTTCATTTCCAGTTTAATAACACCATATTATCGTCAAATCGATGGCGTAGCAATAAGAAGTCCACTAGGTCCAATTCTAGCGGATCTTTTTATGGCGTAACTTGGAAAGACAGTGCTTAAACAAGCGATTAACGAAACGACAGAATACTCCAGATATGTTGATGACACGTTTATTGTCTGTAACAATAAACAGCATGCAATCCGCCTGATAAAACACTTTAATAACGCTCATCCTAACATACAATTCACTATGGAACACGAACAGAATGACATGTTCTACTTTCTTGATGTTGCTATAAAACGTATGAGAGACGGGACAGTCCAACGTTTGGTTTATCGAAAAAGTACATGGAATGGTCTTTACCTGAATTTCAATAGTCTTCGTCCACCCAGTTACAAAAAGGCATTAGTTAAAACACTATTTTATAGGGCAGAAAAGATATGTACCACTGACAACCTTGAAAAAGAATTGATGAACGTGGAAAAATGCTTACGAGACAACTTTTACCCACAAAAGTTTATTGACAAATATAAAAAGCCTAAAAAACAATACTGAAGTAATTAAGGTCAATAAAAAACCAATAACTATAAATCTTAACTTCAAAGGCGATGACTTTGCAAACACAATCAATAGGAGACTGAATACTGCACTAGCCAGAACTTATCCGGCGGCCAAACTTCTAATTCTGTATAAAACAACATGTTCAATTACTCAGTCAAAGGTTGATAAGCATCCTTTTTATGTTACCTCCAATTGCATTTATAAATTTACGTATACCTGTCAAAGAAGCTGCATTGGCCGAACAGAAAGGAGGCCATATCTTAGATTTTTCGAACATGTTCCAACAAGCCTCAGAACAAGACTCTAAGACTATAAACAGTGTAATCACCAAACATCTCCTTGATACAGGACGTCGGATCGATACCCTGCAATCATTTAAGGTGATCAGTAAGCAGCCAAACTCCAGTCTTCTGGAGTTTGCTGAAGCCGTTGTTCTCCGACATCAGAAACTGATTTATGTGTTCAAAAGGAGATGGTTATTAATCTTTCCTTGCCTTGATGACAAATATTCCTTCATTGCATCTTAAAACCTCTATTTAACTCTATCTTGCATTTATTACATCATTGTGCTTTTATTTGGATTGTCTTCCACATTAATAATCTTATTTTATTCGCTGAGCTTTACCAATTTTGTTCCTATCAGCGTTTACTCATTATGTAATCACTTGTTTCTTGTCGTTTGAACTGTTGTCACAATCAATGTTGCAGAGTGTTCTTTTACATAAGGTATATATTTACAATATTCAGTCTATTACATTGATTTACACCCTTGCTATACAATTCGAATATGTAATCATTATAACTTCCAACCAAACCCTCTCGTGTAAGTAATGTAAACCATTTATGTAATTGTGATTTTAAATATTAGAGGTTGTAAGCAGCTGACCAGAACCAACGAAATGAATTCATGCTATTCTGCTAGAACTATTGTTCTTGCTCTTTACAAAATGATAAAGGGAACTATGTGTATGAGATTATTTTTTAATCGATTGATAAGCCTTTTCTTTTCAGAATATTTCAGTAATATCATCAAAATAGGTAACAATTATATAATTTTCATTTTAGAAATTATAAGACCGTTTTGATAATGTACACTATCATATATTCATTAGCATCTTGTATCAGTAATGATTATTAATCAACCTTATCTATTGTACTAGTGCTTGTACAATACTAACTACATTAAACAGTAATGAAATTATTAAATAAATTTACTTAATTTACATTTGATTGTTCACATGTGATTCACACGAAAGATATGTGACATTGTTTATTCTAATGAAACAGATATTTTCTTTCACAAAAAGGATGAACAAATCACAAACACATAAATAAAGTTTAGAAACCACTGTAACACGATTATTAAATACAAATGTGTAGGAAAAAAAAGATTTTATAAAAGTGATTAGTTGTAGATACTTTACATTAATTATGGGAATATGGTAATAAGATCATTTCATTAGTATTAACAAGCTAAATCTGAATTCTGCTTTACAGTTTCTAAAATCGAAATATAACATTAGAAATGGTCACTTGAAAAAAATAATCATCTTCGTTTCGGTCTCATTGGTTAAATGTAAATATAATTAGGGGTTTTTAATTTCCAGTTGTTAAAATTTAAGACTACAACTACTCCTAATCTGTTGTCATATGGATCGTCTCGAAGCAAAATAGATTGATTAATTTTAGTCTTGAGTATTAAGAACGGGAAATTACATGCTGCTAGTAGTACCTTCGTACTTGTTGACTAAATTATGGATATTTAGTATCAATAGCTAAATGGTAAGCGCATCTCAGAGTGAAAATCAAAAGTGAGATAAAGGCCAGAGCAACAGATGAGTTCCATAAAAGAAAAAATCTGACTTCTCGGATTTCACTGCTAACTACATACTAAATATATTTAATATAATTACTTGCCTGTGAATTTCACTTGCTGGTTATATTATCCTGTTTAACATTTTGACTGATTTTCTTCGAATTACTCTCAGTTTGTTATTTGAAAAAAAAGAATCACTAGAGTAAATATTCATTTGTATAATTATTTTGACCAATATAGTATGTCTAAAGTGTAAAAATGTGCTCAGTTAATATTTCATTCTAATTATTCGTGTGTGTTACAATTGGGGATATATTTATTCTCATATGATTAATAATCATAGTCACATTGTCAAAGCTAATTCACTATGGAATGATAGTGTTTATTTGACAATATTGGTCGTCTGAATTACATTTTCAGTCTATTGCTTCCTAAAACTTTAGAATCCCATTTTTATTTTACCTTAACTGTTATTAAAATCGTTCAGCTTTCATACAAAATGTTTTATTGCACAACTCTAATTACTGTAAGTGCCTAAACACTTTATCGATCGTTGAAATGTGTAATTTACCATTAGACAATGACAAGTTATATCATGGTGTTATCATAATGATCTTCTAAAACAATGTAATAAATATATGATATAACATCCAAAATCACTGAACCTGGAGTGTACGTTTTATAAACTATTTAAGATGTTGTATATACAAATCAGATTCAATACGATAACGTATTAAGTTTGAAGTTTTAGTGTTGAGTTTAAAAAGAAGAAAAGTACCCACTCGTGATTTTGGAAGAGAACACGTTTCATTATAGATAGATATGTTAGTTAAATTTTTATAAAAGCGAACAAAGTTCGGAGATATGTTAGGTTGTATCAGATAATAATTAAATATATTGTATGATGGCCTTTATCCAAGAGTAGATGTTCAAGATATTTAATTCAATTTACACAAAAAGTGAAAACAACAAAAATGTAGATAAATATTAAAATGAAAGAATTTTCAAAAATCCTATTTGTAACTCACTCTATAAATAAGTGTATAGCTTGTCGACTACATGCAGACCATCTTAAAGGAAATTGATCAAAGTATAATGTACCAGACATGATGGTATCTCGTCGAACAAATTCGTATTGATGAACATCTGAATTACGATAGTCTTCTCTGTAGTTCCATTCATCACCAGATTGATAATAAGGATATGTACCTAATTTTAAATCGTGAGCGCTACTTCTTGTTTGAGGATCAACCATATGATGATTCTGTTCTTCCAATCCACAATTAGAGTTTAATTCAAAATCATGTTTGGCTCCAAGCCTAGAAAATCGCGTATAAATAAGACGATTGAAATATTACAACAGTATCGGAATGAAGAAATATATTCACTATCATTTCATTATTTAATTCAAGAAGTTAATAAATCTTTGAAGGGTTTATTCAACTAGATCCGAAAATGATACAACTTTATTTTATTAATTTATTACGCACAAACAGATTTTTGAAAAGATACGCAAGAATTAATTTCCTTTTGTATGTATTCAGGCCTTCAAATGATCAGTCTCGATTGGTATATGTGTATCCTGAATGGTTTGTCTCAATGCTGCAATCTGATCATGTGTAGTGTCAGTCGGTGAAGGAACAACAACAGTGGGATGCAAGTATATTTGACTACCGACCATCAAGTAGTACTAAATGAGCTTGTTGCAGTCTATCGCTAGCAGCAATCCAACTTTGCAATCAAGGATGTCTCAAGCAATCACTTTTTCTACGCTTTAGAATTAAGATCGACCTGACGATTTATTGGATTGTAATGGTCGAAATTGAGAGCCATTGAAAAGGAGCTGTTCATCGTAGTTAGATAGCTTAATGAATGAAGCACAGGAGTTTAAACTTGCGTCACTTTCCATCCATTTGTATGGATTTATTAAAATTACATTAATTATTTTCTGAATAGCCTTTTTATTGATAAACTTTAAATACAAATAAGTTTTAATATCATGAGAAAATGTTTTGATGCATTTGTTCAAACGGCTCTTAAATTCAGTGCTGATAGGTTATTTTTTGTCACGTTTATTATTACTGAAAATTTTAAGTTTCTTATAAGGTAATAATGATATCTTTGGCTAGTAGGTTTACTTAACAGTGTTTCATTTAGTTTGATGAATGAGACAATTAGCAGCTTGACATCTATATAACATCTGATAAATTCAGAAAACTTGTTGTTTTAAATGTCATATTACTAGTAGTAAAACGCATTTATGCCTAATTTATATCAATGTACTCTAAGTATATTCTGGCTGTAATAATGAGTAGTAAACCTTATTTTAGAAAAGATGTGATGTGCAAGCAGTGAAGTTTAGGACGCGCGTTTCATCCTGCTTGGGACTCGTCAGCTGGATGCATGCGCACCTCGGGTTTGATGTTCACTCCGGAAAACGAGTCCTGTACCGTGAGCTTTAATCTCAGCGGCTTATTCACTTAACCACTGAGTCTAGTTAGTCACTCGTTTGTGTGACGTGTGTGAGTTTTAGTTAATTTTGAAATGGACTGGATTTTTCGGTTGACTGAAAGTTGGTGCTAAGTAAGATTTATCAACTTTCAAACACAAATATCACTAACGTGATAATACAATCCATTTTAAATTAAACTAAGTATACATTGACCCAGGTAATGACTTGGATTTCTGTGTGCGCATATATTATCACTTATGAATTTATTCCTATTTAAACATGTGATTAACCAGTCATTAACACTTTAAACTAAAGCTGTACATTCCTTATGATCCTTGACTTACTGCATTATTGATCGCCTTAAACAGTTATAAGTGATTTAGATCAATGATCAGATTTAATCGCATAAATTCGATTGATTTTAATCTGAATGTAAAAGGCTGTTGTTCCAGTTATGCTCTTTAATTCTATTAAGCCTTTCGCTTTGGCTGTTTAAGAACCGTCCTATGAATTCCCTGACCGATGAAAATATCACTGAAAATTGTCAACACCTCACTCATTTTGGTAGTTGAAATACAGCGGTTGTTGGTCTTCTTTAAAATACTTTAATTTGTATTTTCATTTCAAAGCTTTAACACTTTATTTCGCTTAGTTTACATAAAGCGAAATTTCGTCAATGGATTATATGAATGATTTTGGTTAGATCTTTTCAATCTGTCTTTACAATTTTTTTTAACCAAAGTAGCTTACTTACGCCTGTTACTCCTATTTGAGGAGCATAGGCTGCCCACCAGCCAATAGATGTTGAGTATATTGGGTAGACAACTATTTTAAATACTTGTACCTTCATGATGATGATTGTAGTAGTTCTTCACGTTTCAGCTCCATACAGTATGACTGCCTCGACATTCGTATTGAAGATTTTCCCAAAGTAGCTCTTTATTGGTAAACCCTAGTTAAACTTGATATTTATTGCAATCGATTGTCTGAGTTTATTTCCGAGTATCTAGCATCAGTTTTCGATAAATACCAGTAGTAAAACTGATAAAGGTATTCGAAATGGAGTTTGTTCAGCACAGAGGTCTCTTAAAATATTAATAATGGTAATGCAGTAAACAGTTCCTTCCAAAAGCTAAATACAGTTCTAGTAACTATCCAAACATAGCTAGTAAATACATTTAAAAGCTTGAGAAAGTGATATGCTGCCTTATGGATGTGTGAAAAATATTATCTAAAAGATCAAGATGGATAGACTTAATATATCAATTATATAGTTTGTAATTTTTCATCTGTTGTGACATAGTAACCCATAACATTTGTGCATAATTCCTTAACTAGTCTCTAATTATGTAGTTCATTGTAGATTTCGATAAATGAGTGGTACGGTAGATACGTAGATGTGTTTAAGATTAAGGACACAAAAAAGCTAACCTTTCGAAAATAGTTTGGCAAGCAATAGTTAATTTTTAGTATTCGTCGCAGTTATTCAAATAATCTGACTATAATTTCATAACTTGTGTTGTTGAGATCAATCACTCATGCAGAGGTCTTATTTATCATATTTTTCAGCATCTATATCGGCCATTTTGTCTTTCATAAGTACATGACAGGAGCTATTTTTCATCCTAAATACCCCAAATTATTTCTCTCTTATCTATCCAAGACACAATTGTTTTCTTATAAAACGTTTTAATGGGTGTCAAATTATCACTACATAATACAGTAACAATGATAATATTTTAACTTACTGATGTCCCAGTTCGTGTGCTATTATATATCCTGTTCCAAATCCGCGATCAAGAACAGCTAAACATGAACTTTCTGGGTTACACATTGATCGATAGTGTGCGACTCCTGCATCAATATGTGTGAAGTAATAACGATCAAAATTAAAAACGAAAACCGTACACATTTTTAGGCAATTTGTTGAAAGCAGAAAAGTGTTTAAGTATGGTAAACAAACATTTGATGATAGGAGATATTCAACAGGAACTCCTTACATGTAAGTATGCACGTTTAAAGATGTGTACATAAACTGCTATTTTAAACCAACAGTAAATACTTTTAAAAAGTGGTGGAATGGATTTTATTGAGGATTTGTTCAGAGAGCTGGTATAAGTTATTTTCGAACTCAAACAGAATTTCATCATTAGTTAGGAATTCAAAATTGATTGATCACTGAACTGTGACCATTGTTAAGTTTGTCTTGTTCTTTGATGCTGAGTGGATTCTATGGATAATGTTGCTATGTGGCCACTAGTCTAAGTGACTCAGGATCATGTGCACTATGCTGAGATACTGGGTGGTTAAAGGTAACCAAGAGAAAACGTTTAACCTAGTTTTCATGTTAGTTATCGCACAGTATACCTAAAATGTCAAGGGAATTCATATTCACTGAAAAGTTCGAACCTGTATCACTCTATTTAACAGACAGAAGCATTATCCATGAGGTATTGGGAGTGTAATTGACCCCTAATAGGGAATTACAGTATAGCTTTGATTGATTTTACTATGAAAATCGGAACTGTTGATGGCAATATTAAGGCTGATAAAATTGACAGTTATTTATATAGACATTCTTTTGAGTATTTCAAATGTCGCAACTATCCCTCGCCATTCTGATCAATCTCGATCTTCTGTCACATTTCAAAGAGCATTCTTCCACGAGTTGATGCCGTTCAAAAAATTTCTTTCAATGTTAAAAAGTAAATTTAGCTGCTACTATGTTCTGACTTAAGAAATTCTATAAACAAAAATTATCAAACTTCTAAAAGTCGAATTAAAAGCCTTTTGAATTTAATGTCGGAAAAGTTATCAACAAGTTGCTGAAAATCAGATCATAGTAGATTGTATAACCATTTGTCATTAGAAAATTCATGCACAGTTCAACTTACCGAGCGCTGTAGATTTGAAATGTCTGAAATAGAAATTGTAGATTGTTTGGTAAAATTATTTTCGTGTACTAGAGGTAATGGAGGGGTTTTTAGAAAATACGTCTGACGTATTTTCTGTCTTACAAGAATATTAATATGCTTCACCCAAGTAAATATTATCGATTGTACTGCGGATTTTGGTCAGCAAGAACATTACTATGTAACTGCTAAAATACGTTACCTAAGATACATATTTCATATTCATATGATATTTGGGCTTTATCACTAATTTTTGGATGGTTTATGAAGATTCATACTACTTAAAAATAATTTACGTTACTAAATAACGTCCTCTGAAAACTGAAGGACGAAAACTACGGTGAGGATCGGCTATCCGATATGGTATTAAATTCAAGACAATCGGGCATCTCAGCAGGCAATCTAACTGAATGAGTGATTTGATTTGGTGAGATAATGATTAGGCATCACCTGTGATACAGTCATCACTCTTGTCACGATAGGTTTTTCGAGCAATATTAAATGATCCTTGTGTTATATGATGATTTGCATAAATCCTAAACTCTGGTAGTTTATTATTAAATACATGGTCTGAATAGCAACATGTTCAAGAAAATTTATTTTCATAAGTTGTTACGCGAAATACTGTAGTTGTCATTGATTTTCGAGGATAGAAAATCAAACTTTGAATCATCATTATCAACCATAAATATAAGCAAAGGTATTCATCATCAATTTGGAATATAATTCTTCTTGCTGACAGTTAATTAGTTAGATTTACGTTCAACTATGACACTAATGTTTGTAACATAACTGAAAATGAAATATAACCTAATACAGCGAGTTAATCTAATAATTTTAGTTAGTCAATGAGCTTTGTAATGATTATTTCTCCATTTCACTTTATTTATAATCGGAGACAAAGAAGTAGATAAAGACTGTCCTATATGTAGATTTATAAACTTTAAATCAGCATACACGTTTTATAGAGCTTGAGATTAGCGCAGCGGACTGCAGTAGATTGCTTTTCCATGAAGATATAAGAAAAGAGAAGTCAGAAACTTGAGTAAATATTATTCCACCATCTGAAATTAAGATTGATTGACTATTAATTTCTTTATCAACTATGTCTAAAAAGCATTCTAGTTATATATTCTAGTTATATATACAAAGGACTTAGTGCCAATGTGGTGTAAGAAATGTTGATGTAAATAGATTAATTTGACCATTAGACTAATGGATAAGTTCTTAGAGAGGTTTTGAATAGCAATATTCTATACTCAAAATTGAAATTGTCACTGAGATGAAGAAATCATGAGTATCTAATTGGTTGCAAATAAACGTTATTCAGAATAATGTGATAAAAGCATATCGTAAATATTCATCGTAGCCATTCATTAGTGATACATTGCAATAATGTAGTTTATTGTATTAAAATATCATAAGACTTATCATCGTAGTATTACTGTCTAAATTAGTATGAAATGATAGCGTGTATTCATGTTCTTAACAACACTTGAGAAAAAATAACGAATTTTCCCAAACCTCACCCAACATTCAATAAAATCGCTGAATCCCAAGTGTACGTTGGCGTTCTTAGTCGATTAACCCATTTGCAAAATCTGGCCATAACTTGTTCTTGTTTACTGTTTAACCAGTCCTCAAGATTATGTCTGCGCTAAAAAAAATAATAATAAATTGTGCGGAGTGACAAACTACTAGCAAAATTAATAGCAAGAAATAATATTAATTAACAAGTTGTGCTTTGAGAGACTTTCATTCATAAGAACTGATCAGCCAAAAGTTGACTGCATTATGATGTTGACTAGTATTGGGTTATCTATTAATTTTGAAGTGAATACGACTGTAACTGTGCACGAATCAGATAATTTGGACTAGTAATTGGGTTAATATATCGTTCTATGAGACAAAATGTATTTTTGCCATAAAAAACGTATCTCTAAATAAGAAAAATAAGCACTCTAACCAAGTAATAAGCGTCTGTCCATTAATGAATTAACCCAAGATCCAATGAAATAAATTACTGTTGGATGCTACGGCCTACAGTTTTAACGACTTTAGCAATAACACGGTGTCACTTGGCAGACCGTGAATGCAATCGTATTTGGAATTCAAAATATTCATGATGAGTTCCAACTGTGTATCTCATGGATATAATTCGAAAATTTAGAATCCTAGACAGCAAGACAGTACTTCAAAGCTTTTTAACTATTTACCAATGTTATTTTGCAGTGAAAGTTCACTTTGGGTTATAAAAAAAATTGACAAACCACTGCTCACAGTTTTATTAACAAGGTCAAAATATTGAAATTATTCAGAACGACCGTCTTGAATAACGACATTGAGAAACAATCTGATACCAGACTGGTTTATAACTACTCACAGAGTTCGTTTAAAGATTTTCTTTTTTTTAAAAGATTTACATGAGCAATATGTTTAGAAGACTTTTCTGATTACTGCATCCTTTAAAATAATATAAAACCATATGAAACTTGATATGTCTGTGTCATTTCAGTAACAAATGAAAAGTGTTAAAAAAGTAAATACTGAATGTAAAAATCTCAAGTAAGTCCTCAGACAGTGACATTAGTTTGTAGCTTAGTAGGATGACTTATGTGGTATTAAGTTCATTTAGATAGATGATCTGACTGATGGTTTTGCCATGAGCTACTAATCATTACCATTGTCTTGAGCGATAAATTTTATATGCCAATAGTTTTATTAATTAGTAAAAATATGTTAGACTTACTGCGTAAACAGGATCCAAAAGTATAATATCCACAACATTTAGCTGTATTGAATTTTTCAAACTTGGATGCCGAAGAAGTGTTGAAACCTAAATAGGAAAGAACAGAAGTCTTATTAAATTTTGTAATACTTAACCTGAGTCGATGTAAAAATTAAAATATGCAACTTTTCATGATATTTTTTTGGCGAAAAGTAGGTCAAGTAGGTCAAGTCTGCTATTTTGCTAGGTCGAGATGACGATTGAGTAGTATTCCAAAATATTTCGAAATTCTAGGTGGAAGTTATAACTTATGGTCCAAAGATAGTTTAGAATAAAACAGTAACTCAATGAGAAGACTGAAAGTGGATTGTGATGTACACAAATCAACTATAATTATAAAAATGATACCACAAAGGTTCCAAACTGGATAGCTGATGCAGGGTTATAGTTGACAATCCATCAACGAATTCTAATGTAGAATAAAACAGCTGTCAACTTCTTTCAGGTTTTTAATGATTTACCGGCTATTGTCATTTTATGATGAAAATTACCATCAAATTACAACAGAAGGACAAAATTCTTTATGGAAAATAGTTATGTTTCATCTAAATGAATCATGTTAAAGAATTATATAGTTTTTGTTTTTGCGATGCAGATCAAACACTAAAGATCACCAACTTGCATCAATAAAATTAATATTGAAACTATTTTACAATACAATCTTCATTGTTTGTGATAGAAGTGAATAATGTTTGTAAGTAACTCTAATTACTGACTGTTCTAGCAATCTACAATGGTGTAAATTAATTTTCAAGTACTTCTGAGGACGGATTTAAAGCTAATTACGGAAATTTAGACGTTAATAAATCACCGTACTGGATGAATAAAAACTTGAGAATAGGACTGTAGTTTATTTACACAGTGTTCGTTCATATTACGGTTTAAACTAAAAAAGACTTTATTTAGACAACCACCGTAGTCCAGGAAGCAATAAACGGACATTTTATTCCAGTACGAAACGTTTTTCAGTAATGTGTATCTATGATCCAACAAAGAATTTTACCCGAAACCACCTGATCTAAGGGTGATTCCAACACCATGACAAAAATAGCTGTCTGGTATTTCCTGTTTCTCAACAACTGTCAAACTATAGTTAGTCAGTGATGTAAAATATAAAATTCAATGCACTTACCAAAACCACTCACGTCACTAAGACCATATTACCTAACTTCAAACAAAACTAACACTTTGTCCAAATCAAAGTAAATGAAATAGAATTCAAATCCCTAACTCTTTAATTTAGTAATAGAGAATTTTTGAACAAAATCACTGTACTTATTATTGTTTTGTTTAAGTTTTATTAAATCGATTTCGATTCCTATGAAAAAGATATTTCATGGTTGATTTTGCTGATTTTCGTTTTCACAATCTTGATCTTTCATTAATGTTTAACCTAAGTACATGGATTTTTAATTAACGATAATGAAATATTCATCAGCTGTCATGAAATAAGATCAAATAGCTTGTTTATATTTTTTCTTCTTGATATATAATATCTATTTCGATATACTGAAATGTGCTGGTTTTAAGTGTCATCATACGGGTTTATATATATATATATATTCACATAGAATACACGCATACTGATTTACGTTTGCCCAAGTGTACGATAATGAAAGTATGTACGTAATGAGCGTATATATGTTGTTGCAAGTAGACATATGTGCTGTGTAGATGAATGTATGCAATAAACATAGACTTGTGTATATGAAAATTATTTGCTTCACTATCATTGTCCTGGAAAAATAAAAATGATAATTGTACGATTTAATACTTGAACTAGTCAGAATAAACTGTGACGTTGAAAGTGTGCATACATTAAAGATCAGAGAATTTATGTTGTTAGAGCTCTTTATAACATTTAGATATACATTAACTGTTTTACGTTACATATCAAAGTATCTATATAAGTGATTAGCTTACTATTTATTTGTTAATGAGTATATGATACCACTGTTCCAACTTGGCGTATTGGTAATAATAATAATAGTACTATTAATGAAGATGGTGATCAGTGGTTAAGCTTACTACTTCGAAAAAGTTTTTTCTAAATCCTGGTCTAAATAAACTCTGGTCAGGGTTATGGATTTATAGTTAAGATGAGTGTTAGGGTTTACAGTTAAAATTGAAAGGCTATAGACAATGAGTGAGGTTGGGGATTTTAGGCTAGAGTCAGTAGTTTAGGCTTGGGGACCCTATGTTTAGATCGCAGCAGAGGATTTACTGCTAGGACTTAGAGTTACGCACGTTCTGCGAAGAATGTTTCGTTTACTTGATGGACTTGACATCGTTTTAACTGTAAGATGGAAAAAAAGATTTTTTTCTTTACCATTTGTAACATTCTGAGCGCTGTATAAGCGTGTTTCGTTTGAGCATTTGAAGTGATAAAATTTCCAAGTTATTTATGTCAAGTTCCTGCGAAAACCTGTCTTTCTTATTGTTTTTGACTTTTACCATTTTTTAGATATTAATTATTACTGCAATAACGTATACTTGTCACAGAAGAACGCTGCGGTTCTTGAGACACAAAAAGAATACTGAATTGACTATGGAATCACATTTAATTCACCTTTCAACAACAAAACGACTTATTAATTAAATGCATTCCTTTCTAATATAGATCTTACTGATGTTTGACAATTCGTCAATAAAAAGTACTGAACAATCAATACTTTGAATTAGAAACAGAATAACTGCTTTTCGAAAACCACATGGATTTAATATCTTAATCAAAAAGAATAGAAAAATGATAAGTAGAATGCAGTTTTAAATGATTGGATTGTTCTATTTGTTTTCTATTTTGTTTTAAAACGCATGATCTTTCAACTGGTTACCACAAACATATTACTACTAACCGGTTTACATTTGAAAAGAAAATGACATTGAATAATTCATTCAAGAGATTCTAAGTTTTTATTGTACTAAATATAACTCAAACTTTTTTCGTCCCTCTGACAATAAGATTGAACGTTTAACTCTAGAATAAAATTACATTATTGCGAAAGATTTACCACAAAATCTGAGGAAACGAAAATGAAAAATTGTCTGATATTAAGGACTAGTACCAAATAAAAAAGTTTGTTTACAAGGTTTTCCGATCAATAAATATTGCGTACAATCACTAAACAACAAAAGATCTCAAATAGTTTAGAATAGTGACTTTATTGCAGTTTGATCAATACTAAAATCTTGACAAGCATGACGTTAGTTTCTACTTAAAAACCAATCGGCGTTAAAAGAATATCATTCCTACACTATGTCAGTCTTCTAACTTGAATAGCTGAGTGATGAAATTTGACTGTGATAATGAGTAAAACAGGTTCTATACTGACATAGACCAATGATTGTTGAAGAACTACGATTGCAGCTTGATAATGACTATCAGCTGGCGTGAAATCTAGATCCAATGGTTTATCTCGATTGATTTCAGTAGTTACCCAGAAAATGTTGATTTGTGATGTGTAAAGCGGAGAATTCAAAAATATATGTAAACTCGCTTTTAACTAACATAAACATTACTTATTTACTAACAAACAATCTGTTAGAACATAGTGGGTATTTGAGGAAGACGAAATATTTTATGGTGAAATATTTTACGTCCACTTTATCGTATAGATATTACATATATGGCCTATTGGTTTTTATACTGTCCTGTTTAAAAGCCTTTACTCGACTTGTTAATTGTCACATTCTAGAATTATTGTCAATTATTTATCTACTTATCGCTCCATTTTATACTAGCTACGACTTAGTTGTGTGCGCATTATGATTTCTTATTGATGTGTTGTAATTACTTAATTATTGTAAATAATATTATGCGTTTATGGTTATCATAACAGAAATTTTATTGGCCTGATGTGTTTGTGATCCGACTCTGGTTATTGGGGTTTGATAAATCAGTGTTTTAAACAAATAGGTATAATGATTTTTGACATCGTTGCCCATTTGTTTTTGGTTAAGTCATGTTATTGGCCAAAGTGAAGGTCACTGGTCTGACGAAGGTTGGGCGAACTTGTACTTAGTTCAGTATATCTGATGATTTGCCTAAAGGACATATAAGAGGATTGATACAATCGTAGATAAATTCCTCTGGAAAAAAAACAATATCATTATGCAATCTTACCGTTGTCATAGTAGAAAGAAGATATTCATTAATTAATGGACCAAATTGTTGTTTCATGCTTTCAGTAACAACAACAAGTAACTCGACTGTATGTGTTCAACATACTGAAAACTTAATATTGGATTATTATTTTGTTGATTGCCTTTCTTCGCTTCATTATTTATTGATAATGCATTTTTTAATGAGTGTGGAACATGATGAATCGACGTGGCCGACCTGTAGATTGTTGTTGGTGATGATACGTTTAACGACGATGATGGACGATCTATAACAAAAATACTTTTCTGATCCATACGAACTGACTGACTATGTCCATGTACATTCATTGTGTAATTTGAGATATTGTTGTAATTACTAGCAGTACGATTTCTAATCGTTTGCTTACAGTTAGTTTTCTGTAATCTGGAATGTTTATAATGATTGTCTCTGAATTGCTTCAATTGATGTTTACTAAGATGTGATATGAGCATCATATGACTCGCAGTGTCAACGCGTTCCTCTGGATGATATGCTATATACAGAATATAGATAAAATCTGAGTAAAAAATCAAATCGCTTCAACAATCGTTTTGTAAAATATCACGCATAATGATTTAATAGAAATGTTTAGAATCTATAGCATTGTTCATGGTGTATCAATACATTCATTATACTTGGTACCAATATACATTGAAATAAACACTGGTTTAGAAGGCCCATGTTCAAAAACTGCTTATATACATATACATAGGTTTATTATTGTGAATTGAACTTGGATCAGTCTCTTTCGGTATACGTACATAGTGAACAAGTTGTTTCTACATTGCCTTCAATTACGAGTCTTAGGGAAGTTGAATTATGAATAATAATTGCGTTTGGGACATACATTTTATCCTATTTTGGGTTCACTAGCTCTACATACCTGCATCCCTGTGTTGATGTTTCCACTGGGGCTCATTAACAGTACTTTCCACATCCGAGTACCAATATGTTATCAACTGGTCTGTTGAGTTTAGAAAGCCACTAGCATATAAAACGGGTAGAATGTTATACGAGGGGGTTTTAAGTTTTTCAGTTTATGATAAAACTTATGTTAGTTGTTGAAACAGAGTATTTTCTACATGAATAATTATTAGAATACTGGTTGATTTAACTGATATTTTTTATGTGAATTGTCTCCGGATGCATGCATTATGGAAGTAAGCTTACAACAGTGAGAAAAAAATATGTCAGTAAAATTAGTTAAAACATACTTAATTGTTACAAACTGAGCATTTTCGGTCAGAAAATGTGATGTAGTAATTTTCTTTACCTTAGATGACTAAGAAACATAATTGTCAGACAATGTACAAATCAACAGACTTTCTTTTTTAAAAAAAATTAGCAGTAATTTAACTTTTCCAAATTAAAATGACAAAGATCCAGGGGAACATTCTTCTTCTTTGAAACTAGATTTTAGTATCCAGGGGTATTATAATTGTTATTACTTATTAACCGTAATAGTTTTTATAGTTGAAAATGTGTACTTGAAATAATAATACTTGATGATTATTTCATCATAACACATTCTTGCAAACAGTTTGTCCATGAAAATAAAAAAATTAAAATAAACTGATTTGTTCTTCAGTGTAATTATATTATTAACTTACATGAATAGGAAGTATAAAATGAATTCATTTGATTAAAATTTGTATTATGAATATGCGGAGTATGTTGTTCTTGATTACTTTCTATAGAAACATTTATAGATTCGTCAGGAGACTAGAAATTAAAAATTAATAAGATAAGAAACATATTGAGTTGTCTGAGAAAAAAATAAAAACAAATTAATTATTATTTGCGTAAATTTATGTTATTTGACTTATTAACTAAATATCTTGATTAGTCGCTGTCTGAATAGCTAAATAATAATTGTCAGGCTGTTTAGTAGTGGATCGAACCTGTAAGAGAATATCACTTTCCTTAAGATTATAAGTGTAAACTGGTAAAACGTTTGAGGTAACCAGGATTTCCTACCAGCTGTTTTCAACTGCTTAACATCTTAAAACAATTCATGTTTTCTCGAGTCATTATGACTGGTGAATAGATTACAACTAGGTTAATAGAATTCGATTATCAGGACTCAATAAATGTGACGTTAATCATTAGTTGAGCATTCAGATGTGCAACGTTCTTCACAAATTATCCATCCAAATCGCAATATTATATTTATTAGAGACTTACTTCGGATGGATTCCTGGTGTTCTAGTGAAAAGCTTCGATCTGTGAATTTTAACTATATATGTGATGCGACATTGACTAATTATGGGGATAGATTGGTATAATGTTGTTTCCTAAATACAATTAAGTTGGAAATATCATTGGAGGTTCACTTGCTTTGAAACTTAACAAGTACCCCTTATTGCAAACTCTCGAGCTAGGACAAAAGTGTCTCTGATGTTAATTTAACGTTACACTGTTATAAATGTTATCTTTAAAATACATCTACTAATGGAATTTTTGATTATATATATATATATATATATATATATATATATATATAGTCAAATATGATGCAAAGCATTCCGTAGATCATCAAAAGAAACAGCAGCAGGTAAATCAGGCATTGTGAGCTGAAAAAGACAATTCTATACGTGGTGAAGACATATCTTCCTTACAGTGGGTAAAACGATGTTATTTATAGACAGTTTTCGGGATATAGGTATTGCAATATGTTTGTCAAAGTACAGTTGATTAAAAAAGTTTGACGTCTCACTTCGGTCTACATATCAGACGGTCAGCCAAGTCAAATCTCATGTGCATAGTAAACTTTACACAGTGCAAATATATTTTCTTTATTAGTGAGATAGAGAGTGGTTTACTCCAACTTCATATAGGATTTTCAGGCATTATAAAATGTGAGGTAAAATACGCTCAAGAAATTTTTCTAGAGGTTTCAGGTTTAGGAATTTCAAGCGTCTTTTTGTGTACTGAACCCTATAACTAATCAACTTAGCTTGGAAAGATTCAGAAAAAACATCATCAACTAGTATTTTTATATGCAATTATTTTGTCTGCAAAACTCTTACAAAAGGTACAGCTTTCCGTCGGGCGTTTACACGATGTAGCACAAAAATAGACTTTGTATATGAAAGAAATTTTCGGTGAAATTGATCTCATGAACATAGGTTTTCATTATTTCCTACGTAGTTTTAAGTAAAAATTAACCACTTATATTTTATCAGAGAATCTCAAAAGAAACAATTTCACCGAAGTTATGGTCATATCAGTACACTATCAGTCGTCTATCTAGAAATTGATAAGTAGGTACAAATATAGTCGAAGAAAATTTACCTAAGAGATAGTTCACTATAACTTTACTGACTTAAGAGTACATGTATAATTAGTCTCTGTTAAAAAGGCGTTTTACTAGATAATCAAAACGTTATGGACAAGGATGGAAGTGTATTTCCGAAAGTAGTTTGCTGTTGGTTTCTAAACATACAAAATGTCATATGAATTACTTCTCATCGGCCAAGTTTCGAACGAGAATCAAGAAAAGAATAAAAAAGATAATAGAACTAGCACAATTACATATAATCTATAGCTGTTCATTTTTTTAGATTATGAGTTTACCAAGGTAAATGTGTGGTATAGAGACAAGCCCATTAGTCTCGAAATGGTGATTTCGAAGTAGCATATGTGAACTAGTAATGCGTAATTTTGATGAACACTTATAAGCTATAAGCTTCTTCAATTCAAAGGTATATAATGGGACCGTGAATAATAAATGAATATGGATGTTTTAAGATATCACTGTTATTTGTGGAAGTGATTCACTAAAGCAGGCCTACCTTTAATTGGTTAGAGGCTAAATTTGAGATAAACAATAGTATTTGCAGTAGATCGGCTTATGAATCACTCTGTATCAGGTAAATCGGCTCAGTGGATGTAATCAAAATAATTGCAGTTCAGTGGTATCATTATTATCGCTCCAATATACTGTGTGGTTTTCAAGTTTTTCCATCAGAAAACGCAAATACAACCAGAGCAGTAACGTACAAGAGTAACGGGATAGATCACTCGCTAGAACTCACGTTCAAAAAGTGAATAAATCATAAAAGCATATCTATAATTAGGAAAATGATTATACTTGGGACCATCTTTATGCCCTTTGTCCTTTTTTTTTCATCATAAACATTTCGTTTAGAATGTGACATCTGATTGATTGACATTAGACTAAAATTTGCTGTTGTTTTTTTAAGTTATTCAAGTTTCTCCCCTTAGATTATATAAAAATTTCACTAAATGAAAAACATTGAGTGCCAACCGTTATTTTAAGTATTAATTTACGACTAAGTTGCTTAGACTACTAGAATAAAAAAATAATGACTTTTCGTATTTGACACTCTTTTGTAATAAAATTTTGAAAAGTAACAATGGCAAACATTACAAACTGAGGTGAATTCAATCCATCCAATGAGCTCTAAAACCCCTTTACAAATGTACTGATTTGTACGAATAAATAAAATGTTTATCAAATATATCTTTTTTGTATAACATATGCTGTCATTTGGTTCATAAATGAAAAAAACAATCATACACATTTTTTCATATTTATACAGGTTCAATTTAAAAGTGAAAAAACAAGGGAGAGAGAGGTTATGACGTAATCAAGTACAAAAAACATGTACAAATTGTTAAGCTTACGATAGACAAACCTGATGAATGGGATAGCAATTACTAAATAACAATCGTAAAGTATATAAAGAATAGATCAGTCAAGAAAATCTTGTTTTCTGACTGTCGTTTAATAAATCTACAAAACTGTTTGTATATGAAAAGCAAAGAAAGTTTTTATTGCACTAACATTTTATCAAAAGTATTTATGAGGGCCGAATATAAGTTTCGTAATAAAGGAAATAAAATGAAAATGACATACGAAATGAAGATGGGCAAGATAATTGTTCACTTGATGAATTTATCAAAAAATTTTCACAGATTGAAATCATGAGTCAGTTGAAGCTAGACCACCATTGAAAACCTGGAAGCCCTGGACGACCGTTTCGTTCTAGTATGGGACTCCTCAGCAGTGCGCATCCACGATCCCGCACCACGCGGGGCTCGAACCCAGGACCTACTGGCTTCGCCCGCGAGCACTTAACCATTAGACCACTTAGCCGGCGTCTAACGGTGTTAACGTCTAACTTCAACTTCGTGGATCCAATCCACACAATATTGATTTTAAACCAAAACCGTATATCTAGCTATATAGTTATGGTTTCGTTACTGAAACTGATTATCTACATTAGTTAGGTAACGTTCTGATATGATGCATACACCGTGACCTTGAAATGATTTGGGCGTTCATCAGTGTATCCCTCTTAAGTTAAGGGATTGGTCTAGAACAAACAACTACTTTCGATCATCTGATGTACCTTAAAGAAACTGTTTTGATTGGGATTAAAATACTGACATTAGTATGACGATATTATATTATTAGTAAGGTAGAACGAAATGGACAGGACTTTCACACTGAACATAAGTTACACACTAAAATACAGGATATTTTCTTTTCTACTGTAAATCAATCAGTGTTAATAGTGATGTTGGAAATCTGAGATTTGAAGTGCTAAAGCAATCATGTAAAAAAGTTTCTTATTAGTGTTTCATAATATTTGTAATACTAACAGTAGTGTCATATTTGATTTCACGTAACTTCTAGTTAAATAAACAGTGGGACTGTTAAAATGCAGAAATTTTCATGAAACTGGTTAGGAGAGTAGCATTTTAAAAACTTTATAAAGTACAAAAATAATTTGTTTTATGGGAAAACAAAGCAATTTTCAATGCTCAACATCGTCATTTTTAAAAAAAATGACAATCATCTAGTGTAATTAATTAATCTACGTTCAAAGCGTCAGTTTGAATTATACATTTGATTTCATTTACTTTGGATTATGGTAGTTATGTATTACTGAAATGCCTCAAATAATTTTACAAAAAACTATATTTCGATGTCTGGATAAAGGCTATTTCATAACTACTTTTAATCTGTTTCAAATTGGTTAGTTAATAACTGGTTTCAAAATAAGAGAATATATGGTGTGACTATAATTTATGGACGACCTTTGAGCGATGCTAGACTGCCCTTGAGAGTGTCCACTTAATAACCAGGACCAAATGAGTGTTTTAAACCTGTTTGAGGAGTTAGAATTATGATTCATAGTTGATGGTTAAGGTTAGGAATTAGATTTATGATTTTCATCACAAACTGACGTCGGCAATAATACCAAAACTCTATTTAGCCAAATGGATGAGTGAATTTCGTGCCAAAATCCTAGATCTGTTGTCTTATACACCTGATTGGTTCGTCCATAAATTATATTCTCGCCGAATATGTATAAGCATTGGGCTCTAAACATCAGTTCTAAACAAAGAACGATTTGAGTGAAATATTTAAGTATGAAAAATATGTTATGTTTAGTGAAAAACAAATTTGTTGTAAAGTACATGTACTTTACTGGTATTCCATATAGAAATAATTAAAAACAGTAAAGATATTATCATGTAAAGGTGACTGCATATTATTGATAAACTATATACACAAGAATTCATTATTTATCATTTTTAAATATCTTGACATTATGATAAGTATGGTATGTTTGTAATAGTGAATAATCTTTTCCTTGATTTTTTTGTTTTTAATTTTTGCCTAAAAATTTTTTGACCATAGATTTGTGTTTCATTCCAACTTATCGATAATTTTGCGGTGGATCGTGTTTTTCAAATTGAAAACGTTAAAAGTAACAAAAAGTGTCTGAAATGTTTGGTTCATCTTTACACATTCCTATTATTTATCAAATAATATTCTTACATTAATATTTAGATAGAATAATTAACCAACGTGCTAAAATCAATAAGTGAATAAATGTTGGTTTTTTTAGTAGTCGATCGATTTAACCTTGAGGATGAAATGAAAAAAAGAAAATCGCATTTTATTGTCTCTTTAGATTATTTAATAAATTATCTTGATCATCTTATAATTTAAAGAATTGTTCTCTATAGAAAATAGAATGCAAAGTGATGGTAAAAGATAAACTTCAGTATGCAATATCATTTTTTTAAAATTATTTGATAAGGAATACTGTACATCCATTCTGATCACAATATAAAAATACTGAAAATGTAGTGTGTTATATCCCGATAAGAATAATGAGTGGTAATTTTTGGGATCTATTTGTGTATAATTGTATAATTGTTAATTAACTAACCTATTCATATTCATGTCTCTCTTATTATAAGCTTTATTTAACCTATGAACTATTATTATACGATTTTCCATTCTTGAATTATTCCCTGTCTATTAATCATTACCTCCCACATTCACAGTGACATTTGGCTAAATCTTGTACAGATGTTGTTTCCTATTTTATGGTACGATATGGTCTGTTTAATTGGTATATAAACACTGTATGTTTGAAATAAATGATTCATATCGCAGAGGCTCGGATTGGTGTTGTGAACTTAAGTGGCTAGGCTAGACAGGAAGGAGGACCGATAGGTACTCTAGACTGCTCATACGGGTTTAAGCGTCACTGGTCCGATCGATAACTCACTGCCCTCTAATTAGCGGTATTAACACGTTATACATTAACAGGGCACGCAGGTCACAAGTTATAACATAGTGCCAAATAAACGACTGACAGTTCATTAGCTTCTTAGCTTTGATAGTGATTCACCGTATAACTCCTAATGATGATGAGATGCCATTAGCAATATTATCTAAACAGGAAGCTACACCGTTGACGGAATAGTGTAAAATATTACATGGGAATAATCATAGGTTTGAATAATTTAGCAGAAACGCTATGGTATTGACACAGCTACAACATTTCCACTAACACAAATTCTACTAAGATTCCAAAGGCTTTTAGATGAGAATTTCGGCCAGATGGAAAAAGAGGTTTGTATTGATCTCATTATACATTAAGGCTATTTTATTCATGTAGCATACTCATAAGTATATTGTTGTTTGAAAACAATGTATGAATTATATATTTTCTAAATAAATACCCGTTTGAAACAGCATACTACAAAATATCATAAAGTATTATGAAAATATCTCGAAAGTTACTGAGATTTCTGTGCAAAGAAAAAGTTATTGTTGTATTCTTACCAAAATGGTTTATTTGTTTTAACTTAAGTTCAAAGGGTTTCATGCAATAATTGAATTAAGAAAAACCAAACCTTAACGATCAATGTGAACATTTCAAGGGTGATTGCCCTTTGTTTATTAAAAAAGCCGTAATCAGTTTTAAAAATGTTATGTCTAGGTATCCATATACATATATCACATGTGGTTGCAAAAATTCGTATCTGGAAAATTATTTTAAAACAAAACTACACACAATTCATAGAGTGAAGAAACGAAATTCTGAGAAAAACAAAGTTTCAATTACTTATATAAACGATTGACTGCAGATGATTCATGAAACCTTGACAAGATATACATGCCTACATGTAAACTTATGAAACGTCCATCATTAACGAACTGAAAACTCAGCAAGTCAACTGAGAAATAAATATAGAAAAGTTTACGAGTTTAAATGGAACTGGAGATTTATCATGAACACGAAAAACAACAACAGGAAATTATGAACTAGTTATCAAAATTAGATCCAAACAAAAACATGAAGTAGGAAGGAATGATTAGTGAAAAAGTAATAAATAAACAACTGTGTAGACTTAGAGCGCCAAAGAAAACAGAACAGTAATAAAAATTTACCCATGTTTTTTACAAGACAGAAGTAGAACTAAACGCCTGCTCGTGTAAATATGCATAAACAAATACAATAATTGGCTGACAGCATAATATTGGATATTTATTACTCTGACTCACTACATTTCTAATAACTTCACATCGTAATCACACATAAACTATGTTTATACATACATATATATTGTCAATGTCTAAATAAAGCTCATTTTTTGGACAAAAGTTAACTGTAAAATACCAGATTCTGGATATCGGCAAAACAGTTTTGCCTTAATATTAGGCGACTGAATATATTTAAATCCTGGTACTAAGGTTGATGTTGTAGCTTCCAGTAATGACAGTAAGTTTCTACCAGATTGTTATGACACAGAGAAATGAAGGGTATCATAATTCAATTTGTAGTAGTTTGAATAATTCTGTTGATAATATTTTGACTAGAATATGGTCAGTCTTGGTTGGCACGTGTGTATACTGTGCGGATCATCTTGATATAACCATTATGATGCAAGTTCTAATAAAATAAGTGGAATCCAGGACCATCGTTTCGTCTCATTTTAGACTCGTTAGCTGCATATACCTGCGGCCTAGAATTGACAACCTATTAAGATCTGTATCTCAGTGACAGTCCCTGAAAACTAAATAAAAATTCATAGCAGTTGCACAAGTGAGTAACTGTCTGGACAATAGCCAAGCGGGTAACGCATTGGCGTTTTAAGCGAATAGTACCAAGTTATAATTTCAGAGTGAAAATCACCTGTGGGATGAACTTATGTTCATCTGATGCGATCTAAATTGAATCAAAATGCGTGTCCATGGATCCGATAAGAGAATTGGTATTTAGTTGATGACAATGGTCCCTAATTTTGTAAGGTTATACATTATGGAATAAATAACAAATTTATTGTTGCGGAAACTGGTAATTCGAATCAATAAAATCTTAGTTGTTCTGAATACCGGTTATCAGTGACTATGAAGCATCCTTATTTTAAGTCGTGTTAAGCATTTGATACTAATAAGCTTTGAAGAATACTTTCCACCCAAATTAAGGTTTAATTGTCAGCAACTCATTTTTTTTCCTCCAATACTTGACGACTGATATGCATTACGTCTTGCAATAAATCAACCAATTTAGAAACGTCTATAAATCAATCAAACAGTGATATCTACGATACGCAAATAATCCTACCCTGGTCTAGTTTTTAAGGATTTATTTGTGTTTTAGTGCTGATGTTCATGTTAGAACAGAAACATAATACATTAGTCAAAGAGTCACAATTGGTTAAAAAGATTATTGTTTATCATGACTCAATATTTTACTGGAACATTATCCAGTGCTTGAATTGATCGGTTCTGGTTAGTGAAGCTGGAAATATTCACTTTTGGATTCTAATACATTGGTCTAGCTGCTAAATGTTCGTGCATGAAACTAAAATTATATATATATATATATATATATATATATATACAAAACTCAAAATTGTAAAACAATGGAATTTTACTTTAACTCTTTCCATAGAAATTATTCTAGTCTTAGATTAAATTTATATATCCTGCAAATTCATCACTGGCGGTAACTTTCAAAATCCAAATATGACTGATACCAAACATCTTTTTGTTATTGTTGTTCAATGATAATAGGTATTTGGACTTAGTCAGCATGATGTTTTAAACCTACCATTTGTGGTAGTCAGTACTCGTCACTATGACGGGATCTATAATATTGAACGGACTAACGCTTCCTAAACACGCGTATAATCACTGAAAGTTTTATAGCCGGTTTGACTAAAGGGAATTAGCTTAAATATTCTGTTAACCGACAAACTCATATAATCTACGAGGACAACTCATTTAATAAATTGGAGGAGGATTTTTACCCAGTTTTACAGTCAAATTACTTGAAGAGCTGTTCAAACATATCGTCTCCAAATTATAGTCCCAATAAACGGAATGAACGTAATTTTTTTTAAAGATAATGGATACCATGGTAAACAAGAGAGGAACAAACCAAAATGTGTACTTCAGTGATAGATGAAAATCCACACTTGAAGTGCTTTATTGCATTTACTTAAATGAAATTTATTTATAGACTCGTCATCTACAGCAAAAGGTTTTTAGAGGAACTATGTATAGTATCTTGTGATACACTAACATTGTATAGTGATCAATTTAGGGATTTACTAACCATAATCCTATTAAAAACTTATACAAATAAGTAAAATTCAGACAGTTTGCAATAAATATCAAAAGAAATGACACGAGGAAAAATGGCTGAAAGGAAATTAGATTTATTACTTTATGTCCTAACTAATGATTTATGTGGTTTAATTGATTTACTCTTGTCTGAATACTAAGACGCTTTTAGAATATTCATCTATCTCCTCTATTAAGAAAAATAGTGAGAAGTTATAAATAACATAAATTTTTCCAAGTCTGGAAAATTGGTGCCTGTATATGTATCTTTTTTATACAAGTCGTGAGAAGCTTCAGTTGCTAAAACCTGGTGAAAATATTAAAAAAACGCTTCAAGGCTTTTGATTATACTTCTCTTATTATAATAAAAACACGTATTTTAAACTGAAGTGACCTCAGAACGTCAGTTTTACATTTGTTAAATGAGTAATTGCTAGATGGAACTAAACTACTTCATAAGATGGAAATTCCAATCTGTTCTATCTGAATTCTTATCACACTTAAAAGCGAACATTTCATCTAACAGTAATATAAAGTGATTTCATGAATAGATTTACTATTCTCATATAAGCATTAAAGTAGGAAAGTAAACAAAATTCGGTGAAAAGGGACACCCTCTCTGAATTTAGCGATTGTACAAATAATCTATGATAAAATCAAATGTAAACATTTACTTTAATTAGTTCACACCACATTCTAAGCCAATGAATATTGATTCTGTCACTGATTATTTCTAATTTCTCAGTTTAAATTAAGAATACATGTAAATATATTTAAGCAAAAAGCAACTTACCATTTTATTGTGATACTCGTTTGAATGTTCAAGTGGTTGACAAACTTGATATATCAGTGATAACAAAGTTGTCATATGTTGATTGTGTGATAATATATTTTGTTTTAATTGATAATCAATTTTAATGTCATAGTGTAGGGAAGATTGTCCATTCCTTATGTAATAGTCTGAAATGGAAAATAAATAAAATATGTTTATATAATATGCATTATTTGTTCATATATTATGATATATATATATGAACTAATCTAGTTAATTCATCATTAGTCGGTTATTACTGAAAAACGGACATTCGGTAATATGTTATAAAATGTAATATTAGACAGTAATACCTGAATTGTTGATTTTTCTTCAACTTGTATCGTGAACTGACTTCAAACAGACAACTAATGGAGAGTAAGATACGTAGAACAAACATTTTTTCCTAATTTGGGGCTCCTTATGAATGCTTGGATTATGTACAAAAATCTTTGGACTGAGTTTTTAAGACTGTCAGCGGCATTTTCTATATTGAAACTTTACTGATTATTAAATGATGTTATTGAAAAGTCCTGAAGCGATTATGAGTTCACTTAATCTGAGAACGGAACAAAGACTCTGCGACTTAACGACAGATAGGCTAGCTATTCCAACGCGTTCCAGCCCCGCTAAGTAGAGAGAGAGAGAAGTCCAAGTTCGGAAGAGGGAAATATAACCCACAACCAGCCAGAAGTACGAACAACCACAACTAGTCTAGTCGAAAATACACTCATTTTTGTATTAATTCATACACACATTTTTTGATAAATAATTAGAATAAAATCGGATATATAAAAAATCCTTATAGTTGATGTTAATTTTTAATAAAAGAATATCGTATATTATGCAGAATAAAATACCATACGAGAAAGGTAAGGAAATACTACATTGAGTAATCATCAAAAAACGGAAGTAATATTGAATAAAACTCATAATAAGTAAAGCGATGGAATTTTCTGTCATATTAGTTATTTAGTATAATCTAATTTCCATTGATTTACAATTACTACTCGTAAAATCCAGTAGTAAGTAGCATCTATTTTTATAACGAAATTTTATTTGTTCCTGTTATTTTATATGATCATTGTTTATTTCTTCATTTGAACAGAGAACATTTTAGTTTGAAGGTGAATTACAAATGTTCATTTTTTCAATGTATATGCAATAAACCGTGAGAAAGTTTGTGACTAAATGACATCGTTGACACAATCCGTTCATGTTGTACATATGCTAATATTACCAAGGAAGAATTATACATTCTTAAAAATTAAGTTCATAGTCATTAAAAAAGTTTGTGACTATTTAAACATGGTAATTTAGTGAATAACGCTCTAAAGCGAAAGATACTGATTTTGCGTCCCAATATGAATATCACGACTGGTGAACAGCTAAGTCTAGTTCTTTAATCCAGAACAGAACTAAACGTGCATCCTAGGTTATATTGCTAACCAACGTATAACATATAACGTAATAAAACTATCGAGGAAGTTCGATAGGAGTGTATGGATATCAGTACAGACCTCTTAATTACAGACTTTCGCATAAATAACGGTAGAATATAAAGGTTTACAAATTAATTAACGTCCTCGCACAATTCTGAACAGATAAATCAACAAGTAGAAAACGTAATATGCTCAGATGACCACAAATAATACAGTTTTTGACCATATATGTATTTACATTAATTATTAGTAGTATTATTTAAATAGGTTAGATATATTAACGCTTTTTTAAAAGCAAACCAGTTACATGATACTATGATATTCTTCTAGACTAAAATACACCTACTTAATTTACTTTTTTTTCAGGAACATTCTGAAGTTCAAAAACAGTTCATTTTGTTATTTATTTCCTCAAGTGTTTCTTTCCATGAAATAATCCAAACAGCAACAAGAAAAAACATCATACCGATATAAAAATATCAATGGAATAGAGAATAACAATAATAATAACCTGTCAAAAATATACTACTTGTAAACAAAAAATAAATAGACATAACAAGTCAAAAGTTTATAATATTTAAACAATTTGGTGAAATATTCATAATATGCATTGAAATCCTTCCTATTGAAAAAGAATTTATTCTACAGTTGATTAGTGACTAACAGAAAGTTTCAGAATGAGCATATCCAGTTTACAACATAGAAACTGTTCAATCACAACCTTTATCATTATCAACAACTGGAAATTCAGAAATTTCTACAATAAATAATCTTGAAATAGATATTTTGATACGTATCTCTGAATTTACTGAACATAGTTGAAACAATTAGTTTCGCTACAAAATAATGAGTTCAGTAGTTTTCGTTGTCATTAGTTTAATATTCAGACAATTCCATGTGCTATATTGATTGATACTGAGCAGCCACTTCAATCTTCTGGGAGCACCTAATAGCCAACTATATATATAATGCCACAAATTTCCAAATTACGAGCTATTGTAAGAAGACTACAGCCTATCACTAAGCTATTTACTTCGAGCATCAAGAAGAACTATTTTGATAGTAGCCTTACATCACCATTTCACTACTTCTTAGTGTAATAACAGCCGCTTGAAAAAGAATTCACATATCAGATATATTTTTCTGTGAAAAAAATTTAGAAGTGAAACAGGCAGAAAATAATTGCAGAACATGAATGGTATCTAACCCCTGTTAAAATGTTCCTTTATACACTGATATTTTTAAATATTCACAGATTAGCAAAAGATAAAATATAAATTCGCTGAAACATTGTTTATTTTCTACTGAGGAAACATATGGCATCAAAAAATAGCCTTCATTATTATCATTATTAATGTATGCTGTAAATAAGAACATACACCTTAAAATGTCTACTACCTATCTACTGTTTATCTAAAGTATAATCTTAAAAATAACTTCTCCCTAATAAATAACATGTAATTCACGAATATCTTAGTTTACAAATAAATACACATGACTTATCTAGCACATGCCTTTATAGTATCATTAAGTCACTTAATATATTGAATTGGGATATTTCATAATACTTCTTGTATCCGCCATATCCATACATTGCCTGAATTTATATTCAGCATGTTAACATTTTATACTGTATTTCATATTTAATTCACCATAGAACTGTTGAATTGACATTCGTTACGATGTATGCTAACAAATTGACATACTTTTACGCCTGCATGAAAATGAATCAAGTAGTTCGAAGGAATTATATTAGCTAGAAAAGGTGTACTTGACGAATCATCATGTTTATCTGTTGAAAGACTGTGTTGATTTGTGTCGACAGTAAATTAATATTCACCCTAGTGGTTAACATTTCAATGACATAAAACTAAATGATCATTAAAACAGAGAATAAAAAATGCTTTCAACTCAAGTTGGTAAAGCTGAGAACTGTAGATGTTAATTGATCAGTAAGCAAATGAAACATAAATGTGCAAATCGGAAATGGTTAATTTAATTAAAGGGAATGATTAAAAGTTTCATATTAATTCAATATGTTTATAAGTAGCATAGAATTGCCAGTAGGATAAAGCAAGATTGAATGATTTAAATGCTGACAATCAAATAAGCACAAAACTCCTACTCAAATAAAAATTGACAAATTAAACCTGTGATTTATTGGTGAGAATTGTCAAAATATATAGAGAATTGTCTGATATTCATGGTACAGTAAAGTTATCAGCTAAGATTTCAAAACCCTATATATATATACCGTTTGAATGAATATATTGTACTTTTAAATGAACGTGATCTCATGATTTCCTTCAGTAGATTATTATTTGAAACTCCTTTTGTCCTGCAAATTCTATCGGCAAAGGTTTTTCATAGTAGTTTAATGAAAACAATTTGTGTTTAGAATGCTACCAACAAAAGTTAATTTTTCATCAAGGTTTTTTTAATGTGTAGTACATCCAGATCTGATCACGAATCTGAAAATGTTATTTACATCATTTATTTGAACAGAAATGACTTAACAATATAAATTTCATATTCACCAAATAAGTTAGTAATGATGTGGCGTCTAATATGAAACGTATTTGATTTGAGTTCCAGCGTGAGCATCAAAACTGGGATGATGGTACATTCATTCGACGAGTATTAAATAAAACGATACGTAAACCGTGAATATAACCGCTGACCACACCCCATATATTCTACAGATACAACTTATTTGTATGCTTAAAAATTTATATCAATGTTAGTAAACTCCAAGAGTATGATGTCATTTGCCTACATAATTACATACGAATTGACAGAGATTGAAAATCAAGCTGTATCTTATATTAACATAGTAAGTAACATGAAATTAAACTTCGGTAAACAGTTAGGTCACATAGTTATCAGGCAATTACTAAGTTTGTAATAACTGCACTTTACTTTTGACCTCATCTGCTATAATTACCCGCTATCAATATCCTGTTTACAGTACAATTATTATACATGCACAAACTTTTTTGACCAATAAAGACTTGTAGTAGCTTGAAGATATTTTTACTTCCATTTCAACCTGGTATATTTTCCAGTTAATAAATTTTAATTATACATATGTGTACTGCTTACATCTTCAATAAAAAAAAAGATAACACCATGTAAAGTACAATTTGATTCTCTGTGAAATTGATTTTTATCTTATTATATTCAATAAAATTACAGTATCTGCATAATTAAATTGTATAAATGTATTTACAGGTGTTATTGTTATGGTAACAAGTGGGAAATTGTTGCGTACATGTATATATTTGAATACATGTACATCAGATTAATAAAGTGCAAACTTTTCGTTAGACAGAAAGCTGAATGTTACTATAGTTAAATCATAATTGAACAAATTTTCAAAGTCTTAAATAAACACAATTTTGCTCTAGTGTTATCCTCTGATTTCTGAACTGTGATCCGTCAACAAAGAGCTAAACAACAGACTGATACGTTCCCTTTAATAGACTATCAATTCAAAATCTCGTAGAATTTCTTCTAAAATCTTTTTAATTATAGATAAATGTGAAGTTGTCCATCCGTTTTCCAAGGTTAAATTAATGTACAGTATCCAGTGGCTTTATGAATTTTGCTTTTGAGTAATTTTGTGTAATTTTTACTGGAAATTTTATTTTGAGTAGCTGAAGTTATTTGCATCTGTCTGCTATTAACAAGTGAGTGTGAAGTATCCCAAAATGCCTGATAATAAGCAGATAAAAATCACATTAAATCCCTGAAAATGATGTACATGGTACGTTTCTCGAACCCTGAAGAACGGATGCGTAACCACACGCTTATGTACTATGTATACGTTTTCGCTTTATTTATATTTCTTACATACTGATTCTAAATTTGAAAAATTCTATTAAGAATCTTGTATTGGAAATTTTTACATTTATTTTATTACACGTTAATAATAGCTAATCATTTTTTATTTTGTCAAGTACTTGTAATTTACCTTACTATGGGTGGAATGTGTTAGAGTATAATTAAAATGAAATGTTTAATCTTTTGTTAGTCAGTTGCACTAACAACTGAATTTTATTTTGACTCAGCTTTTGAGTATCACATACTAGTGACAATGATAACTGTATCAAATGAACTTGGAATGTAATTTTATTCGATTTCATAACAACTATGAGAAAGCTTTTGTTTACATTCATTTCTAAAGTTTAAGAAAAGTATCGGCCAGAGAATGCCGACTGAATATGGATTTTCGAGGAGATATTAACCATTACAATTCATGTAAACAAGACTAATGAAAACAATGTTTAGTTTGTAACCGGCATATTTGTATAAGATTAATGTTAATCCAAATTGTATTCATATGAAAACAAAATCACATTCATTTGTCGAGTTCGTAATGAAAATCCATCATATTCATTCATATATATATATATATTGATTGAATAACTAATAGACCATTAAACTGATGATCTTTTAATGTAATTTGCTATCAAGAATAAAACATATTGATTAAGCGTTTTGAAAAATCAAGTCTATTTCTGATCTCATTAAATGTATATTTACAGTTTTATGGCCCACTAGTCTGACTCCGATTTGGATAAAAGTATGAATATTTTATAAACCTAAATCTTCTATTTAACTACGTTTATTACATAGGCTAATCTCGTTCGTGTGACGACGTTAACAAGAAGCCAAATACAAGTTTCGTTGGAAGACATTCACAATAAAAAGCGAAGCCAAGGAGAGTTGGCTTACTCACCATCGTGATAAATTAACTAGGACTAAAAATGTAAACTTTTCAATCATGATTCAGTAATTTTAATCATGTTTGTATATATCTTCAGATTGCGGGATTCCTATAAAAAAACTTCTGGTCACCATAAAAAAGGTTTTCATGGTTATAATAATGTGAATTTAATCTTTACAACACATTCAATAATTTAGTTCTCCTTCGCAACATAAATAGATATGCGAAGGTGATGGTGGCTAGCAGTGGAATCCAGGACGCGCGTTTTGTCCTATTTGGAACATGTAAGCTGGATGTACCTGCATCTCAGATTTGATGTTCACTCCTTGACTCGAAGCCAGTACCTTTCACTTTAAACTCCATAGTGTTATCCACCTAGCTACTATGTTCAGATAGGTACCAGCTTCTGCAGTGGATTAAATGTGTATAGAATAAATTAAGGGGTATTAAAAAAATTGAATTTAGTGTGTATAAAAGTTATCAATGATTGGATTATCATATAATTTATTCAGGCCTCTTTCTCAAACAAAATAAAAATTGTTAACAACAAAATTTGCACTAAAACTTCTACGTTTTCATGTAATATCACATAATTTATTCAGTTTTTGGGGGCTGAAAGTAAACGCACTTTGAAAACAAGAGATTCTATAATGTAAAACTAGTATTACGTTTGTTATTTGTAATAGTTCATCAAAAAGCTAATTACGATGCAATGAAATATATATTGTCTCAGTGGTCTAGCAGTTGAACGTTCGCAAACAAGAAGAGTAAGATACTGAATTTGATCAAAGTTATGGTTGTGTACTAGAATAGAGTCTGAAGCTGGGTGTAAATGGATGTACAGCCCTTTCCGGTCTTAAATAATTACCAAATTTCGCTCGATGAATGATTTCAATAAAATTTATGTCTGTTTAATTATTTTTTACAGAACTTATTTAGAATATTTCATTCTTATAATATTGATTGTAATAATAATGATAGAAATAATAAATATTTTTGGAATTTTTCTCGTTTAGGTTAATAATGATATAAATAAGCATTTGACCTTTTCGTTATTTGACTTATAAATTTAAGGTACATTCTATTGATGGAAAAAAGTAGTTAGAAACTACTACATGTTATAGCAGTCGTTATGATGTTAATCATTTATCATACGAAATGCTTTTTATTCAATAAGAAGAATGTTTAAATCGATGAGTGGGTTTGTAGAATGTTTGTGTCATATATTGAGATCCATTGGAATAGAAATTAAAAATAACACGGTTTTGAAAACGTCGTTTCATTTTAGAACGAAATACTTGAATAATATGCACCCACATGGCTTTGACGATTTTTCTGAACTCAGAATAACGAGATTTTGTTGTAAATGGTTCAACTGATTTGGCATTCATTGGGATATCCAGTGCTCCTTAGTTTTCAATTGTACTGTAGACAATGTTAGCTGGTGATAAAGGATGCCTATAAATGAAACCTCCAACAAAAGTAAGAATAAAGTGTCAGAGAATTCACTTTTGTATAATTGCTGGGATTCAGTACACTATAGTGATATCTAATAATCATGAATGGATACTAATTGTGTGAAATGCACCGAAGGTTCTGAAGGAATTAGAAACTTCATAGGTAAATTTTCTCAAAGCATCGTCTTCATGTTTATCATAATATTACTTTGTAGTTATCAGTGCACTGTTGTTTAAATGTGAAACGTGGAAGCAATATGAATATTGGCATGATTTTCATACTGCATCGTTGTAGATATATTTCAATTACACTGTTCTTTTTAGAATTATCTTACTGTTTCGCAGCTAGTTTTTCATGAGGGATGATCGATTCCCAAATGTTTCATAGGTATAATTGGCAGAACAAATTCACACACATCAAGAATACATGAAGCAATAGCTTTTTATTCTTTCTACGTAAGAAGACATTTCGTACACACAAAGTGATCTGATCATAATTTGCTGATATCCAGGATTACATTTTTCGGTTCATACTGGATTGTAAGGTTCTCAAATGAATATTTAAATATTATTTCTCGTTTCTGGATAGACGTTTTGAAAATTAAAATTATCTTTAATCTTAGAAAAGATTGTTCACAGTTTGTCTCTTTCGAAACCCGGTTTAGTGTACTTGGATTCCGGCGTTTATGGTTTTACAAAATCCACTATTTGAAATGTATGTGGTTCGGATTATCACTCTTAATTTTGGGATAATCGAAATCAGTACAGATAAAATTAGAATTCATATCCGTTGCACATATAAATTGTTATTTGGATTCAGTAGCTAAGTAGATAACTCACTGATATGTGAAGTGACAGCCACCCCATTCAAATACCGTAATAAAAATCAACACTATGATACAGCCACACCCAGCTGACGAGACCCGAATGAGACGAAATGAGTACCCTGTTTTCTGACCCCAACCATATTCCATTTATTCTATAAAAACTTGTCATAATGTCTATATCAAGGCAATCGGCACAGCTTCCACATATTCTAACAAAGACTGATCAAAATTCAGTCAAAATATCAATAACAGTATTATCAAAATCATCATAAGTCGGATTAGAATTTTGTATGAAACACCGATTTCCATTCTTTATAAATTTAATTAGCTTTCTCAACAGAGTCACAATGCATTAACTTTGCATAATTTTTTAAAATTAACATCTTACATTGACTATAAATTAACTTATGATATTTTTGATAGTTAGTTTGTACGCAAGGTAATTTTCTGTATTTTTCATGTACATTTTTTCTGGTTTGCATTTTTCTATATATTTATGCTTGTAAAATAACGTATCGCAAAAGCCTACATGCTTTTATTTAAGCATACCTACTTGTCTTTGCATATACTTTCAAATAATTAGTAACTATATAGAAATATATTCATATTTATATCTAGGTTTTTTCCAGGGTGATGATTAAATTTAAAATAAAGGAAACTGACTAGATAAACTAATGCATGCAACAAACTAGTTCATGTAATTGTAAAATAATCAATAAGGGTTATTCACTTTATATCCGTTTAGATTATACGCAAATATAAACATCTGGTTATGTGTGTAAGAATAAAATGGATATCTATATAGAAATAGATGTGTACTTCTGCTATTCGAATACGATTGCGTAATAAATAACTAGGTCTTTTTCACAAGTGCAGTCAATCAATTCTGATTTAAATGAATTTACATAAGACGGATACATATATAAAAGCAATATATATATATATATATATATATATATATATATATATATATATATATATATATATATATATATATATATATATATATATATATGAAAAATTCGATTAGTAGTTTGATGCACTTAATCGCTTTCGGACGGATTAATATCGGACCTCATTATTCAACATTTAAGTGAATTTCGTTAGAATCACTGGTTAATATTGTAATAAATTGATCTAAAATTTTATGTTTGAACAAAAGCATGATCATACAATAGTTAACAATGAATCCGCAACCAAATAAATATCACAACACCAGTTTCAACTCGGCCTCCATTGTTAGCTGCAAATAAAGATAACCGTTCTGGCTGTTCATAAAATGTTACGGCTTGCAAACCTAATCTCGGCAAATAAAGTATATTATAGTTAAGCACTGTCATTGTTTGTTTGACAAATAAAACGATGACAATACTGAATACTAGTGTGAGTGACCAAGAATAAGTAAAGAATTTGAGTACGAATGCATTTGATTCAAATAGATATATATTTTAACCACAGTGTAGTGAATTGATAAAACACATGTATTTAGCTGCACCGTCCTCTAGAATATCGTAGTACATATTATCTAGATAGCATCATTAACATAGAAATATGAGTTGCTACATACTACAATACTTCATAATATTGAGCAATGATGGAATATTTAACACAAACAAATAACTTACCTTGAAAATTATTGCAATCATAATTTGAATTAATTAAGTAATTATTTTGTGAAAGTAAATATTGAGTATTGCTCCATTTAGTCGCATTATCGATACGTTCAGTTTTACATATAATATCAGAATACCCTAGTTGAAAATATTCTACTACTTTTACAGGATTTATACAAAATTCTACCATGTTATACGATTGTGACAGATTGATGATTTGATCGCTATTGTAAAATGGATATTGAAATGTTTTGAAATCTCTACGTAAATATTCTAAATGTATACAGTTATTGGTTAGTATCAACAGCGTGTACATTAGAAGGGTCGTGATAGATGCAGTTTTTGTGGATAATTGCGAAAAACGAAAGAAATGTAAAATATTCCTATAAAGCCAACAGTAATTCATCATAATGCTAAAAAAAACAAATATTCTCAGCTCAAATTAGACGTTTTCTTCTCAACAATTATGATAATGAATTGTAAAACTGATGAGGGTAATAGTTAGTAAAAAATGTCAATGTATTTCTTGAACTGATTCTATGCATCCATATGATGGAAGGAGAAATGAAAAAAGGTCAAGGTAATTGGATGATTAGCTGTAAACAATTTGACTGTTTATTTTCTAAGTAACGAATTAATTATTAAATTGTCCTTAAGCATAGTAGTATTTATACACGGTTATATTTTTATTTCCGGAAAGATTGTTCACAATACGTGTGAATAACATTGTTTTTATATCGAAAAAGAAATAAACAAATAATTTCAGTGTTTAAAATGAATGGTACTTTCAAATGGATGATTAATGGCAATACAACTATGCAAATTATAATTAGAGATTGTCAATAAAGTTGTATGAAGTAACCTGAGAATTTGAAGTAATTGATAGACAGATTGATAAGTCTCCATGTGATTTAGTCATGTGCATGAATTTAATTCACTTGTATTTTATTTAAAGAAAAAGGTTTCTATGATCATTCTATAGTTTTACTTATTTCATCAACTCATTTTTTGTTTTTTTGTTTTTTTTGTGTATAGCCAGCTGTACGTAATTATTCATTTGTTTTTAATGGTGATATTCTTAAAATGTGGCGAAGAGATCATATTTTTGTTTACTATAATATTACAGATTCTAGATAATTCATATAGAATAATAATCTAAAGATCGTTTACAAAGATTATTAATAGTTTGGTGAAATTTTTTAATTTTGAGTGATTATTCTTTAGTTATCATTGAACATCGATATCAAGGGAATGCTTCAAGCGTTGAATATTGAAACGTATCCTTTGTGACTGCAATACATAGATGTTCTTCCTTAGTTGAATAAAAATCAACGAGAAGGTTATCAAATATATTTATAATTAGATAATTATAAAGAAAACAAGTTCTTGTTAGTAATAAATTTCACTCGTTCCTTTAAATAATCCGTGACAGACTTATATCAGAAAATAAGCAGACATTTAGGCAACCTCTGCCTGTAAATAGTGATCATATCTAACCGGTAATCGAAAGCAACCGGCCGGCCGGCCGGCTTCTTGTTAGACGATCATGTTTATTTTAGTGTATTAAATCTAGACATGTACACATTTACGTACAGGCAATAGTGCAACCTACATAAAGTAACCGAACACAGGTACAGTCATCAAAACAGCTTATTACTTACCATTTGTATACAGACATTCATTGGTTAATACGTGTGTGCATTGATTTCTTACAGTAATGCACAATCGTTAGCAAATACAGGTATAAACGTTTGTATACCTATTCTACAGATTACTACTATATATTATACATATAAATATTACATATTATATATAAACCCTATGGATTAAATTTAATCCAATCCAGTTCAGACTAAAAATAATTCTGTTTACACAAACTTAATCAAAACAGCATACTTCAAGGAGATCTTATTTGTTTACATATTGTGTTATCAGTACAAATGAGGATTATTTAGAGTACAATCAAGGAATACTGAATACTTGACCATTTATCTCCAGGATTATTTGGATCAAATAACGTGTTTTTTTCCAAACTTTACCGTTAGCTCGTCATAATTCAACTTTTTTTTAAACTGGAAGGTTAGTTCTAGTTTACAGTCATCGGTTTCCAGTCAAAACGACATAGGTTTGAACTTTGATATGCAAAGTTTGGTTCACTATTATCGTTAGTTCGTATACAATTAGTTGTTCATAAAAGTGTATATGAATTCACAGTATGTAGATTATTATGCTTTTATTCAACTCACTCGTTTCCATAGGCAATATTAGGCAGGTAGGATGTTTAAATAATTGCATAAAATCAATATTAAATGAATATACTTTGAGCTTAACTACTACAAAATATTCAGCCTGAAAGAACATTGAGACCATTTAAGCACAAATTTACAACTGTTGAAAGATTCCAGTTATGTAGAAACTAAAGTATAGGTTCTCTTGTCACCAATGAGCTAAGCTTTATTTTGTATAGCAACCTTCTATGAATAATTTCCCAATACATTTCCGTCCTTTGATTTAAATTGGAGTATGTGTATAATTCTTCCATTATTAATTTGATTTCAATTAGCCATATTTATGACACTTCTAGTATTGCTTTAAATTTGATTTAAATTTCAACAAATAAAAAATCATAGTTTCAACATAGGGATGTTGTCAAATGACGTGAATTGTTCATGATTGGATTTTGAGCAAAACTTCAGCAATATTATTTTCTCACTATATACCACATTCACGTATGCGATAATAAATTAAAGACGCAGTATTTGCATCATTAAATGACTTGAAGTTGACAATTACAGAACACCAGAATAAACTGCATAGCTGATTTGTTCTAAAATTATGCTTTTCAAATGTGCAAATCAGTTACACTACCAGATTTCAAGATCTAGTTGCACGTTACACTTTTGCGACGATGTTAGCATCCAATGGTTTGTGTGTATGATTTTAGCCAGTTCGCCATAATTCGCAATCTTCATCCATTACCATTGGTAATACATGTCTCAGGCCTAAATCAATCGAACTTTATTGATTACTGCTGCAAATTCTAAAGTGGTTAACCATCCCGAATGTTCTGTATTGATAAAAAGCTATTATGTTCCACTAAAATATGTACAAAACATAGGATATCCAAGATTTTTGATGAGATTCAGATGTTTAAGGCACGAATATTGGATATACTTTTATTTATTCCTTAAAATATTGTGGTTATATCATGGCAGATGCCGATCTCAGAGACTATACATGGTGAATAAAGATAAAAATACCGTCCACCCCTTTAGTTATTTGACATTTTTGCTCGTGACATATTTTGTACACAATAAGTGATCAATAAAATGTTTGCAGATATATATGAAGAATGTTAGATATTTGGAGGCAATATGCAGTAAGCTCTATTCAAACTAGTCTTTGTGGTAGTCATCACTTGTCATGAAGGTATATTCGCAGTTTATGAAAAAATCTGTCGGCTATATCGCTTGCTTGTGCATCCGTAGATATTGTTACTGGGCTTTTTTTTACCACAGTTAGCATCCTGTGAGAATCTGACAAATACTCGCTGCTACATGGTATTTGAATGTTATTACCAGTCAGTAACTGCATCGTGTAGTCATCATGAAGTCTTTAACATTATGAATAATATGCAATAGATTTGAATTACAATAACAGCTAGAAAGAAGTTCCTTTCCGCTTTATTATACTTTACTTCTGGAACTTAAAAGCCGTTTGATCAATCATCCACATGTTAAATATTTTCTAGTGTAACTGAGGATGTTTGTATCCTATAGTGCATATTTTGAAATAATGAATATCACGAACTGATCTTTTTAAGAAAACCACCGGAAATCAAGAAGCCTTAGATAGAAGACTTGTCTTAATGTGGAACTCCTGAACAAATCGACCACTGAGCGGATCATGTATGACTGATACTGTTTTGTTTTAATTACTGATTCATGGAGGCCTTCACTGACACATTCATTCATTCTGCAATCATTTTCCAACTGTGTACGCGATTTAGAAATTAATTCACTTAGTTCCGTCACATCTTCAAAGCATGGATGATTCAGCAGCCGTGTGTGAAATTTGTCTATAAATTTCAACCGATTCTTTTTAAAACGCTGCTGTTGTCGCTGAAATAACAATTGCAATTGTTCGGAAGGGAGAGCCATTTTCTGTTTCTGAATGAATCAGCGCGGTTAGAGAAAATACTGTATGACTATTTAGCAAACAATGTCGTTCGAGGACACAGACGACATTTCTGTTTGCTGATTGTTCGTAATAATTACAGTAATTTTATTCCGATTACTGGCTGACCTTGGTTCTTTATTTTGTAGATTGAGGCCTCAGAATTTTTTTGCCACGTTACATAGGTGAGACGATTGAACGTTAAGTATCATATAGACAATGAAACGTCTTTTAAAATAGTTTACAAAATAATTATATTTTATTTTGAAATTCTGAGAACAATGAATGATTGTTTCGTCCTAACTATTTGAAAGATGTGCATCTACTATGTAACTAGGGATCAAACATTGGACCATTATTGATAGATGCGGAGGGTTGTCTTTGGTCACCGATTAGTCATTAGTCATTGTTTCGTATTTAAAACTAATATTTTTTTCCTAGTCAAGAGTCTTTTTTCAAGTTACATATTACTTTGATTACAGAATAAGGTCTAACAATGAATATTTTAAGCACGGAAGATATTTTTTTATCTATCCTCAATTCAGATTAATGGCAAGTTAGTTCATGATTTACAAATATTTATTAGAATTAGCTCTCTTTTAAATGAACTTATATTATCATGATACACAAGCAGTTTTTCTGTGTAGATGACATTTAAAACCCAAGTTCTGTGAAGAAATACAAGCAGTAAATAATCATAGTGGCGTAATAAAAACATTTAAATACTAGGTTAATGGTGTAAATGAAGGAATCCCATGCTAAGACGAAAAGACCGTCCAATGCTGCCAGGTTTTCCATAATGGTCAAGTAAACTGCGAAAATCCAGAAATCTCCAAAAATCCTCTACACTAATTTTTACTCTTATCAAGAAATTCTTAAGAAAACGACACTCTATAGAAACCGGGTCACGTTTTTTTGAACATAGGACAATGAACAATCAAATAAAACATTTCACTCTACTATGAGGATTTACAAAATATTGACTGAAGACTTGCAACAGCAAAGGATTCAGGATTCATTCACTTGTAGAACTTATAAATGTTTATTAAATGAAGAAGAGTTGATGTGTTTATTTAGAATTTAAGAAAAATGCTCAAATACGAGGAAGATTTTAATACACAATACAATAAAATAGATCATTTATTTTGAACTGAATCAATGTTACACTATTCCGGTAATTCATGAGATAGTTAACTTTTTACTTATATCTCTATTGATAAGTATTCTGAACACTGTAGGAATTATTGTATTAAAAAGTATGAAAACAGCATTTTGAAAGGAGATTGAGTGTTTTATGTGTAATATTCATCCCCTAACATCCACTGAATTGATGTTCAGTCCCACGCTGAAAGTACAAGATTTGATATTCGTTAGATAAATAACTGGTTTCTTACCCTCATTTTTGTATATGTTTTCATTTATCTTAAATGTTTTAGACTCGTTGCCACCTATTTGCGGTATGTAATTGATATGCTAGAATAAACTTAGGCTTTCATACTTTTTTGTTGACAATAGACCATTATGACGCGCAAAGTTAGGAGCGCTGTTACTTAATCAGTCGTTCTTATTTTGTATTTTCTAACATTAATTCATTTCAAACTGTCATCTTATGCTGTTTGGAAATATTCGAACATATGCAGCAACTACAGGCTAAATGAAATGTTTAATTGAAGTTAAATTGAACCCCATGAAAATCACTAAACTCCTGTAATTGAAATTCTTCATAAGCGAACCTACTTTAATTACGACTTTTAAAACATCGCAAGTTTCAAAAACTCCTGACACATCACTTCCTTCTAATGAGTACGAACCTGTTGTTGTGGTGTTCTGTGTTCTTCGTTTTATCTAGTTTTTGTAGATACCGTTTATAACTAATAAGTTACCCAGTCGTTGGTGGCTAAGATTTATTGTAGCCAATGGACAACTAAGCATAGTATTAACCTAAATTTATCAAATAAATCATCACACATACAGTTTTACACTTTGTAAAACTAAAGACTTCTAAGTAATAAGTTCCAGATAATAGACATTTTAAAAATCACTCATTCAATATACACATTATATAAGGTGAAATATCTTATTTCGAAATTTTATTCTGCTAAGATTTCGGCTCTACGATTTTTGCAATATTGAATTATTTATTTCAAAGTGCTTATAGAACGTTTTTATTCCTTTTATCTCTTTTCATTGTATGTCATTAATTTTAAAATGAATGGGTTATACTATTTACAGTAGGCTGATACTCACACGTAAATTTATTCCCCTAAATGTAGGCTTAATATAAAGCTATTCATTTGTGTTTTGGTCTTCAAAAAGTGTATGGTAGTCATCATGTTCAAGCATTTTTCTATTCGTTTAGGTTGGTTTGTGAATATTATGAATGCCGTTGTTGCTAGAGTATCGGGTATTGATGAACGCCAGAAACAACAGATGCATTTTCGCGTCACAAAAGTTTTTTCAATTGAATGCATTTGCGTACTAATTTGACGACAGAGAGTAAACACAATAGCGAAGCATTTGAAATATCTAAAAAAAAGAGTACATTTTGGAAATCTTGTAAATTTTTGACGAACACTTATTCATCAGCTTTTGTGAATCTTTCAACGACATTAAGAGTGAGATCTATTTTCTTCCGCAAATTATTGTTCGATATTCTATTGTCCATAAAGGTAAATGATAACGTTATGAATGTATCACTCTTTTTTATAAAATGTCATGTTATCTTTCTCTGTTTTTCCTTAGGTCCTAATAATGTAGTTGTATCAGTCAAAAATACGAACTATGTGTTAGCCTATCGGCTGCTTTTCTGACTGGATGTTTGAAAAATGAATGAATTCAGCATCCAAACATATTTGAATGTGAGTAATTTACATGTGACACAATAGTAATTAAATAAGAAAGAAAGATTAGTTCAGCGAAGAGTTCTCTTTTCGGCGAATTCATTTTCAAAGCTGTACAATCGCAAATATATATACTTATTTTTACAGGGTGATAATAATACTGATAATAAACTTATGTTATACATGGTGACGGTGAGGTTAAATAAACAAAGGTATTAGAAAAATTTTTTTAAAACAAGGAAAGTTTAATGTTTGATAGTTAATGGCTTAGATATTCATCGGGTAAGGGTAGCTCAGCATGATAAAATAACATAAAATGTTGAAACAGAGATGAAATGTAATCGGAATGATCGTGGAAATAAAAACAAACCGGTTGGGGGTACAAGATTTGAAGGGAAGATGGAAGGTGAAGCAGGTGGCTGTAAAAGAACAAGAGTATGAAGAAAGAGAAAAATTTTTAATACCTTAAGACCATGGTAAAAGAAGAGGTTGTACCAGTCTCTTTTGTACACATAATTCTGGTTTTTCAAAATGTATGGCTATTGCCTCGGCGATGCAAAGAAGATGCAGTCTAATTGTCTTAGGAAGGCTTCTACTTACCTTGTAGATGACTTTGAACGCAGAGTCTGTCTTGATTGAGTGACCTGTGTTCACAAGGTGTTCGATTATAGAACTTCTTATTGAGCCGCTGCCTCCTCTTCTTAGCCAAGCCGGACAATGTTCTTGAATTCTTTTGGATAAAGTACGCATCGAACGACCTATATACCTAGCTCCACAAGAGCAGGTAAATTGGTAAATGCACATTGAGTTGGTCAGATGCGATAATTTATCTTTCAGATTATTGGTGAACAGTGATCGGCTGGAGAATAATATTCGCAATGTTGCTGCGAAGAATGTTCTTTTTAAAGAATCAGAAATTCTCCTCTTTAAGATATATGCGGCTCTATCACCTTTGAAGTCGATGTTCATGTATAAAATTTTCTTTTCTACTGCAATTGTTTGTGGTTTTGGCATTTTCGGTTTCATGTTCTTATCAATGAATATAGAAGGATATCCGTTTTTGATAAGTATCTCTTTTAAAAAACTCAATTCTTCCTCTACGACCTCGGGGCTACAGATTCTTCGTATTCTTGTGGCGAGAGTTATTATTAAGTTTCTTTTTCGGCTGATGGGAACCCAACTGTGGAAATTTGATAGTTGGCCATTCCACATGGGTTTCCTGTAGATAGATCTTTTTAAAGTACCATCTTGTTTCCTTGTTATATCTACATCAAGGAAGTGAATATTTTGTTTGCTTTCAACTTCAAGTGTGAATTTTATTGATGGGTGACAATTATTAAATGTATTTAGGAGATCACTTAAGTTACATTTGTTATCACAAATGATAAAGATATCATCCACATAGCCGAAAAAGAAACTTAATAATAACTCTCGCCACAAGAATACGAAGAATCTGTAGCCCCGAGGTCGTAGAGGAACAATTGAGTTTTTTAAAAGAGATACTTATCAAAAACGGATATCCTTCTATATTCATTGATAAGAACATGAAACCGAAAATGCCAAAACCACAAACAATTGCAGTAGAAAAGAAAATTTTATACATGAACATCGACTTCGAAGGTGATAGGGCCGCATATCATAACTACTCAACAAATGGTTCATTTTATCGAGTCATTTATAAGGATCAGACATTATTGTTTTCCGTAATGAGATACTTCAAATATGTTTGATCTAATAAGGCAGCGATATAACAGACAGATTTAGAAATTTAGGACTGTAGATTTTGAGTGAAAATGAATTATCGATTATTCAGTTTAAAAATACGAGTTTTATTTAGTGATTGAAATAACCGTCCACATTTTATAGACTCAGCTCAATATCTTCATCTCATGTCAAATCATATATGTGCAAACACTTCTGAAGAGTGAATATCAGACTAAGACAGAGCATCTTCCAACAGCTACTTTGAAATTCATAGTTCTTGCAGATATTTCTGTAATGAAAAAAAATTCTCGAAATTTCATAACTGTCTTCAAGAAGACATTTGATTGACACTAAAGATGATGAATGATATTATAATTATTCTAACTTTTCATCATGAAATGACCTAATGACATGGTTTCAAGATGTCATCGCATTGTAAATTATGGGGAAACTGTATGAAATTAGTAGATGTCTTGAAGTCTGTCAATTATTAATGACCGACATAAAGTTTGCGGTAGAAGATAAAATGAGTTCACAATTTTTGTTTAGTATTTTTCCACTTCAATTAGTATGTGAAACGAAATGTTTATCCAATTCAGTGAAGTGCGTCTGTTTAATTTAGTGATCTACATTATGCGGATGAGTTATAAAATTTCATGTAATTCAATACGATGTGAATTTCGTGTTCATCCT